GAAATGTGATGTATATTTTCAAAGAAAATATTATAAGTCTCCATACTATTAGATTAAGGTATAAGCTAAGCTTGAAGTTCTATGAATTATGCTAAGCGAATAATACCAATACACTGGCATAATGTGTGTAAAATTTTGATGGAGACTTGTTCATGAAGCAATGCACAATCCTGAAGTTAATGATTATTCATTTAATCAGTACAGAAAAGTACAGGTTCGTCCACCAAAGTTTCAGAGATAGTTGAAGCTTTTCGTTTAAAATCATTAACGTAGTCTTTCAAGGAAATATAAGATGGTGCTTCTCCCAATGTGGTGGATTTTAACGGACAGTGATAAAACGGGGACCTACTAGTTACACATTTAACCAATTTCAGAATGGAACAGATGTCTACAGATGCCATAAATCCATTCAAGACAATGATCGGAGTTGAAAGTAAATGACAGTCACCGTAGAAATGAAGACCGCGACACTGATATGGCTACTAAAATGAGCTAAACAATTAGAGGGCTTTACCTAACTTCGAGTAACTCAGAAATCGAAAGGAACAAATGAATTAGAAATAAAGATTTCAGGTGGTTGGTTGATAAATCAAAATTTTTCTTACTGAAAATAATCTAAATAATTCTACCGCATAGTTTATTCTCTCGATGGACCGATAATTTTGATGAATTCAGTTTGGTAATCAATGTATCAAAGAGGGGGATTTCGCTAAATAATAATTTTATGAAGTGGCTATCTGGAAAGGTGTTGTATTCTGATGATAATCAGCGACAATGAAACAGAGTACAAGACGGTGGGTGGTAAGCCATCGTGCTGAGATGTTTCAAAATATGTATTGTTGAGAGTTTACTGTTTAACTTATATGATTATGTATAAACAAACATTCAATTCGATTTTGTGGCATTATTTGTTCGATAATTAAAGTCCCTATGCTTATGAGAAACTCCGCCTGTAGCTCTTCTAGAGTTACTGCCGGTCCCAAGTGCGGGTAAAGGAGGAGGGTTGGGCATAAGGTTAGTGTCCCCATTCCGTAGAAAACTAACTCACTAAAAAAACGCTAACCATAAAAAAATATTCAAACCATTTTAACTCTGCCCTGGGAGTTAGAAGGTCTTCATTTAGAAGAATTATGACGCTTCATGGTGAAAGCCAACTTCCTTCGGAAGCCACGAGGCCGATGCACCTTATAACAACCAGAGCAACAATTTTTATAGGTACATGGAACTTCCGAACGATGTGGGAGACTGGGAAGATAAGTCAAATAGCAACGGAAATGAGGAGATACAACTTGGCAGTACTGGGAATCAGCGAAACCCATTGGACACAAGCTGGACAACAAAGGCTAGCTACGGGAGAGATGCTGTTATACTCCGGCCACGAAAAAGAAAATGCTTCACACACTCAGTGAGTTGCTCTTATGCTGTCCAAATTAGCACGAAATGCACTTGTAGGATGGGAATCTCACGGATCCAGAATCATAAAAGCATCATTCAAAACAAAGAGCGAGGGGATCACAATGAATATTATCCAATGTTATGCACCCACCAATGATAGCAACGACGACATTAAAGATCAATTCTACGAGCGGCTGCAATCAATCATAGAGAAGTGCCCAAGAAAGGACCTCACCATTCTAATGGGAGATCTAAATGCCAAAGTCGGAATAGACAACACCGGATATGAAGATATCATGGGACGACATTGACTGGGAGAGAGAAATGAAAATGGGGAAAGATTTGCAAATCTGAGTGCATTCAACAAATTGGTCATAGGAGGCACAATATTTCCACACAAGCGTATACACAAAGCTACATGGATCTCACCGGACCACACTACAGAGAACCAGATAGATCATATTTGCATCAACAAAATATTCCGAAGTACAATGGAAGATGTGAGAACCAGGAGAGGTGCTGACATAGCTTCAGATCACCACCTAAATGTAGCCAATTTAAAACTGAAGCTAAAAAAGAACTGGACAACTGGACAAACAGCAATACAAAGGTTTAATACGGCCTTCCTTCGAGATACTGACAGACTCAATGAATTCAAGATAGCTCTTAACAACAGGTTCCAAGCCTTACAAGATCTACTGAAGGAAGAAGAAACTACGATGCAGGACAACTGGAAAGGCATCAAAGAAGCATTAAATTCAACGTGTCAAGAGGTTCTGGGCCTAAAGAAACACCATCATAAGGAATGGATCTCTATAGAAACTCTAGACAAGATCAAAGAAAGGAAGAACAAGAAGGTAGCAATTAACAACAACCGAACACGAGCAGAGAAAGTCCAAGCACAAGCTGAATAAATAGAAGTAAACAAGCAAGTGAAGAGGAGCATTAGAGCCGACAAGAAGAAATACGTGGAAGAACTAGCAACGACGGCGGAAAAAGTTGCAAGGGAAGGAAATATGAAACAACTTTACGATATAACGAAGAAACTAGCAGGGAAATACAGTAAACCAGAGAGACCGGTCAAGGACAAAGAAGGCAGGCCAATAACTGAAATTCAACAACAGCGGAGCAGATGGGTAGAATACTTCGAGGAACTCCTGAATAAGCCGGCCCCAATGAGTCCACCGGACATCGAGGCAGCACACACAGATCTTCCTATAGATGTCAATCCACCAAAGACGGAAGAAATCAGAATAGCGATCAGACAAATCAAGAGCGGGAAAGCAGCAGGACCCGACAATATACCAGCTGAAGCACTGAAGTGAGATATCGACGTAACTACAGGCATGCTTCATACTCTATTCAAGAGGATTCGGGAGGAGGAACACCTCATCAAGATTCCAAAGAAAGGAGATCTGAGCAAATGTAAAAACTACAGAGGCATCACACTGCTGTCAATACCAGGGAAAGTCTTTAACAGAGTGTTGCTGAACCGGATGAAAGATGCAGTAGACGCCCAACTTCGAGATCAACAAGCTGGATTCCGTAAGGATCGGTCGTGCACAGACCAAATCACGACACTACGGATCATCGTCGAACAATCAATTGAGTGGAACTCAACACTGTACATCAACTTCATTGATTATGAAAAGGCATTTGACAGTGTACATGACGGGTAGAGAACGTTATGGAAACTTCTTCGACACTACGGAGTTCCTGAGAAGATTATCAATATTATCCGGAACTCATACGACGGACTACAGTGCAAGGTCGTGCATGGAGGACAGATGGCAAACACATTCCAAGTAAGGACCGGAGTCAGACAAGACTGTTCACTCTCCCCCTTCCTCTTTCTTCTGGTGGTCGACTGGATTATGAGGACCTCGACATCTGAGGAAAGACACGGAATACAATGGACAGCTCAGAATCAATTAGACGATTTCGACTTCGCAGATGACCTAGCCCTCCTATCACATACCCACCAACAAATGCAGATAAAGACAGCCAGTGTAGCAGCAGTCTCTGCATCAGTGGGTCTCAGTATACACAAAGAGAAAACCAAGGTCCTCAAATTCAAAACGAAGAACAGCAATCAAATCACTCTTGATGGCGAAACTCTGGAAAATGTAGAATCCTTCACATACTTGGGAAGCATCATCGATGAACAAGGAGGTTCAGATGCAGACCTAAAGTTAAGGATTGGAAAAGCAAGGGCCGCATTCCTTCAGTTGAAGAACATATGGAACTCAAAACAACTGTCAACCAATATCAAAGTGAGAATCTTCGATACCAACGTCAAGGCAGTTCTACTGTATGGAGATGAAACTTGGAGAACTACAACAACCACAATCAAGAAGGTACAAGTATTTATGAATAGCTATCTGTGCAAGATACAAAACATCCATTGGCCGGATATCATCAGCAACAGCCTCCTGTGGGAGAGAACAAACCAGCTTCCAGCTGAAGAAGAAATTAGGAAAAGACGATGGAAATGGATAGGACATACATTACGCAAACCATCAAACTGCATCACGAGGCAAGCCCTAACTTGAAATCCTGAAGGGAAACGGAAAAGAGGAAGGCCAAAGAACACATTACATCGGGAAATAGAAGCAGATATGAAAAAGATGAATAACAACTGGAAGGAGCTGGAAAGGATTGTCCAGGACAGGGTTGGATGGAGAATGCTGGTGAGCGGCCTATGCTCCTTCACGAGGAGTAACAGGCGTAAGTAAGTAATGCTTATGAGAGCATACAAGTTTATAGTAATTTATACTCAAGTTTAGCGGTTGGTACTTGACACTAATTCACTTGTCTACATTTTCAAAATTCGGCCTCTTATGAACAGAATGTGATTATGTTTCAGTCATATCGGTAAATTATCATCCTTGATTTTCACTTCATTTCCTTCATTTCATAGATATACATTACAATTCAGTGTAGTAGATTAGAAATGCCGTTTATCACTCACTATGTAATTCCTTCGAAGCATTTCTTTCAAATCTTGGTAGGAAAATTTTATTTTCTTCTACAGATTTATAAATGATCACATTCTAATGATTGGAACACACTCGGAATCGGCTGAACGAAATATATTTTCCAAATATGGTTTACATTATCCAATCAATAACTCCTCTGAAACATAGAACAAAGCAAATATACGCATTGTATCAAGTTGCCATACTATATTAGCACAACGAGATGAAATGTTCGAGACATATCTTGGACTAGTAAAATTAAAAACAGTAGAAAACATAAGGTACAGATGATATAATTCGAAAAAAAATGAGGTCATGGAATTAAAAAATATCTATTCTAATTAACTGAAAACAAGCACAATCAATCACATATATGAAAACAAATAAAAACACTGATACTTTAGTTCCCGTTATTATGTGTTCGCTGTTTCGATTATTTTCTTCCTAGTTGTAAATAACTGTAAGTACTCCGTGATAGCATTAAAACTGATATAACGGATAGTTTAAAAATATTTCACTTTCAATTTTACTACGGTAAAACGGTAATGAGATTGGTCACGCAATATCAGATCAAAGATTGACCACAAAGAATAGAGAACCAGAGTGAAGGCTAGATAATACTTTATTCAACACAGTTACAAGGAGTCACTCTCAGTGAGTCTGGAGTAGAAATGAATGAGAGGAAAGGAAATGACATATATAATAGTTACTAGGCTAAGTGCCTGTTTGTTTACGCTCAACGATCAATTATATTTTACTTACAATACAACACGTCAAAAACCATCAAGTATGAAGTATCAATAGTGAACCTCAACTTCAGCTTCACATTATTATATTCCCTGTGACAAATATCCTTCTAAAACATATTACTTATCTTTTCAAACAATTTATATTTAGACCTCTAAGGTTTTCCATGCTAGATTAGTTAGTGAATTAACCTCATCATACCTGTACACCAGCATGGATTATGTAACTGTTTTTAGAATATTTATTTAATTGATGATTCATAGTGATAGTTAAATTAATAATGATGTTCAAGTATGGAAGATCTGATCTTTGTAATGACTTGTATGCACTCCTCATTACGTTCAAAGTGAGTTCATTCTGTACAATCAATAAGTAACAAGTGCAAATAAATCGCTTGTAACGTAGATCATTCTTAAATATATATGTGCTTGGATTAACTGTCCATCCATTATCTGTAATAGAATATACATTATTCGCTTTATATGTAAACTGAATCACCTTTTATTGTCCGTCTACTACTCATGTGCACGTATAAAATATAAGTGGGTATTCAAAATACATTTCATATTCGACTTTTATGAACATGATTAGTCGACAGAAGGCATGTGAATTTCAAAACAATAAATATCTCGTTAGTATCAGTATCCTCCGATCATCGTGAAATCAACATAGTGCTTCATCTTCAAGTAGGAAATTTCCACCTCACCAATTCTAACAAAAATCGATTGATACAGACTATTATATCCTAACGAAGAATAAATGAATGGTAGCTGTTAGGAATTATTTATAGACTATTATTACATATATTCCTATTGGATTATTATATTATATGGATATTCATATTCCTTTTATTATAAGCTTTTATTTGACCTATTAATTACTATTACACAATTAACTATTCTTAAGTTATCCTCAATCTATTAATCACAGCCTCTCACATTTACAACTACTTTTAGCTTGATCTTGGATAATTGTTATTTTCTATTTTATGGTATGATGAGGTCTGATTTACTTGTATATAAACTATGTCTGAAATACATCATTCATATAGTGGAAGCTGATATTGATGTTTTGGACTCAAACAGACAGGGTTAGGCAAGAAGAACCAATAAGGACTGATAGTTAACTCTAGGCTGCTTGTACTGGTTAACGCATCATTGGTTTGGGATAGTGTCAAAGTCACACATGATAATTAACCGAATAAAAGTCATAACACAGACTGAGTATACACAAAAAGGAAGAAAAACACTGAGATCTAATCTCATTTGATGCAGAAAGTTTAATTATCCTAAACATGATTATTATGTTATTAAGTACAAATATGAGAAATCACTAAAAAATAAACAAAACGAAATGTCGTGTGAAGGACAAAGAAAAAAGACAATCATCACATTACTAAACACATAAGCACAAAACAAAAATATAAAGATAACACAAAAAAGAAGAAAAAAAGGTGATTTCTAGTCGTATTACTTAGAAAAAGGAGTATATAAGTGTATAAAATACAAATCTATCTATCTATATCAAAAGCCAGAAGAAAAAAAGAGAAAAAGAAAACAGAAAAAACAAAAATTGGTTCTACCTACTTTATTTGTATAATAATTTGTTAATTATTACATTGGAGAAACAAACAAACAACAACAACAGCACGTTATGCCATTGAATATTCCCTGTGTTTTCATTGATAAAACATTGACGTTGAATATACATGTGCATATATATATCTTGTTCAATTGACTGATTGTGTGGGGGGGGTGTGAGAGAGTGAGTGATTCATTAAAATAGTAAAATCTGTTAGAATATTAACTGTTAAAATAATGGTATATTTCTAATGAAAATTTTATTCTATGAAATGAAAAATGTCGTTGCCGTGCTTCAATAATGATTGTTCTCGTTCGGTACAAATAACAAATGAATTGACCAAGAAAAAAAAAATCAATGTACAAATAACTCAATAGAAAGAGAAAACAAAACGAAACAAATTACGTAATAGTAACAACAACAACAACACAATATTTAGTAGGCAAGATAAACAAATAAATGAGTGAAGTAGAACAAAGAAATTAAACTAACTATTTATATAATTTAAATGAAAGAATGACAATATTGAACAAAAAAAATGGGATAAACATTGAAAAAAAACAACATATTATATAAGTTTGGGTTTTAAATCATATTCTTGTTATTATGATTGCTTAAATCTTCGAATCCAATAGATGGTCGGTTATCATGTAAATTAGGCACAGTAAGATGCATTGGTTGTGATGACTAGGAGTAGAGAGAGAGAGAGTGTGAGAGAGAGAGAAAGCAGATAGGACAGAAGTAAAAGGGTGAGATATTTTCATGTTTACAAGTGAATTCTAGGTGCTGACATTACATGCCTAAAGAAGTGAATGATAGTGTATAATGTTGAAGTAAGATTTTGTTGTGAATTGGTATTACTTATGTGAAGCAGTAGACAGTCGTTTTGTCCTAGTATGGAACTCTTCTGCAATGTGCGTGCACTCACAACCCTCTTCAGGATAGAACTTAGTATCCTTAAATCCTACGGTTAGCGTGTTACCATTTAGATCACTGAAGAGACATATAGTGGTCTACATTTCCAACTATTCTCGATGTAGCGTAGTAGGTAACTGTTTTACTGCTCACATCAGACATAAAGCCTTGCTACAACTATAGCTGATCACAAAGTCAATCATTACTGAACAAATGCATAGTGCAGAATAAAATGAATTCATATTATTCTGCACCAATCTTTGTTCTTGCTCTCTTTAAAATAATAAAGGGAACTATATGTATGAAAAATGCTTAGTGTTTAGTCAAAAGATTTGTAGGGAAGTTAACAGATAACCATCCCTAGATAAATCCGATTTCAACTCATCTCTTCAAATCCCTCAGATAAATGTCCAATATATTTAATCCTATCTAAATTTGACAAACAACAGTCTGATGTTTTAGTTTGAAGCTCTCTACCAGAATGTACTATTGTTCATGTGAAATGGAATTCAAGACCTTTAAACTACAGAGCAAACTTGTTATCACTGAGTTGTTGAGCTAGAAACAGATGACCAATATTTGTAGACTAATGTACGCTAGCGATGTAATATGACCGTTATTATCGAAAAGATAAATGAATAACGATACTTATCATAGTTTCGATTGATTACACATATCACAGTATAGATTTATCACAAAGTTTAATATCGTCAAACTAGAGCAGAACTAATAGCTATTCCCTTATTGTTTGTTTTTTGAAAAAAGAAAACTAGGAGTGATTACAATGAAACGTATGCGATGGGAAACGGATATCATTAAAGGGAAGTTTTTGCAATGTTCCATAAATTTTCTATTTACAATACTTAACTGTGAGCAAACATATATCCAATAAAACGATTTTTGCTCTCAGTAAAAGGACGAATACAGCAAAGAAATATTTCTTTTCAATCAGTTTTTCATCATGGCTTCATAGTAATGTGTATATCTTTAATAATATTAAAGAAATATACTCTTTGTCAGTAAAATCCAAGTCGCTTTTTGTAAATAACTGACTTTATATACATGTTTAAAACTCATAAATTAGTGTTACACATACAGATAACTATAATAATTCTGAATCGCTTCCTAATATGATAGGTTTTAATACAACCGTTCATTGATGAGTAATACCATTAGATACAAGCTCAGTAGTCTAGAGGTAAAGCGTTCACGCGAGACGAAAGTTCATCGATTCGAGTCCCGAGTGCGGGATCGCTGATGAGCACTGTCAAGGAGTCCTATACTAGAACGAAACGGCCGTCAAGTGCTTCCGGGTTTTCAATGGTGGTCTAGCTTAGATTGACCCATGAATTCAGCCATTAAAACAAATATGTCAGAATATAGGCTAATAATACATCGTTCAAAATGAAAATACTTACCAGTGTAACAGGTGCTGGCCTTTCAAAACTCACATATTTATAAACAAGCGATTGAGAACAAATTTCATTTCTATCAATATTTTCTTCTTGATCGTTGTTCTCAGTCACTTCATTATTAATATTACAATTACTAGATTGAAGTTTCGCATGTTGTTGTTTTAACATGTAAATTTTCTGAAAGTTTACATCTTTTGTAATCGCATTATTATATTGATGATTGCCAACTTCTGCATTTAAAATAATTGCATTTGTAATATTGGTTTCATGAACTATTTGCTTTCTAACACTCTTAGGGACATCCGGTACAGCTGCCATGATCACATTAGTTAGAATAGTCGCTATAGTCTATTATAATTAATTAATAATTATGGTCATAAAGATTAATATTATATATATGCATTATATGTTAAACGAATAAAGATTTTTGGGTTTTATTAAAGCGATTTTCTTAAAAACTTGATATTAGTCAAACAGTTATAAAGAATACAAAAGCTTTCTGTTGTTACTTTCAGCTCGCCAATCGGAATACGACTTATACAATTCTAGCACTGTGCCAAACCAATGACTTATCGACCGGTATGAGCAACCTAACGTCCTTACTGGTCCTTTTACTTCATAACCAAGCCAATTGAGTCCACAACACCAATAACAGCTTCAACTATACGAGTCATTTATTGCAAACACACCTGATTTATATGCAAAATGGACCACATCACATCATAAATTAGGAAATAACATTTGCACAAGACCAAACGAAAAAGTGACTGTGAACGTAGGAGACTGTAATTACTAAACTCAGCCAGTTAAAACATAGGACCAGGCAAATAAATGCATCGGTCCAAGTTTCGACACCGCATTAGCACAACAAGATGAACACCAAATCCATAGAAGTAGTCACTTCAATGGTAATGTTCAAAAGACAGATTGTGTATAAGGATATAGTACAGGAAGAAAGAATTAGTTCATAGAAAGAAAGGTATACAGCAATTTTGATCTCACGGTTTAAAGGGAGAGAAAGAGTGTAAACACATACACCACTGTGATCGATTCTAAGCCATGTCACCAAGAGTCTCCAACCATTGGTTACGATAGTCACGCGGACCCCAACCAAGTAGTCTGCATCTATCAACATGGCTCAGACCAGAAGTTGGTGACTTCAAGCACCGATGCCACGTTTTGATTTGGCCGCCCCCTAAATTACTTCCAACCGTCTTCAACACTAGTCAGCATTGCGCGTCGTGGTAATCGGTGTTCAGATATACGTAACACGTGGCCCAACCGTCTCAGTCGATGAAGATTCACAACCTCGTCAACTGATTTACCATCATTCCCTAATACCCTGCGTCTTACTTCACTATTACTTACCCGGTGGTCCCAGCAGATGCCAATAATATTTCTAAGACATCTGTGGTCAAATATTAGTAGCTTACCTATATCTTCTACTCTTAATGGCCATATTTCGCATCCGTAAAGTAGAACAGAACGAACTGCCAAGCAGTATACTTTTCCCTTAATTGATAGACGGATATCTCGCCCTCACCATAAGTGTCGTAAGTTGGCAAAAGCCAAACGAGCTGTCTGAACCCGCGATGAGATTTCGTTAGATATCAACCCATTATGGCTGGTCAGACTTCCAAGTTAAGTGAAGTTGTCGACGCGTTCGACTACTTCACTCCCTATCCTTAGTTCAGATGTTGATGCAGGCCAGTCCTGAAGCAACAACTTGCATTTAGAGGGGAAGAAACGCAACCCAAACATCCTGGCTATTAATAAACTGGACATAACTTAAGAGCAGTATATCATATAATAATAATTTATAGATCAAAACGAAGCTTAGAATAAGAGGAATATAAACATATATAATCTAGCTACTAAATAGTTATAATATAAGAATATACGTATAGTATTAGTTCATAAATGGATCCCAGCAGTTACAATCCATTATTGTCGTCGGGATATAACACTTTGACTGATTGTTCGGTTTACTCACTAGTCATTATATCTTATCATTGCATTAGTATAAGAATGTGTTTGTGGTTATTGTAGTAAATTAACAAAAATTATGTACTTGGATAATTCTACATCTATGGGTGTCCTATGATCCTTCATGAGGGGTAATAAGCGTAAGTAAGTAAGTTAATTATGATCTCTCCGTAATAATTATTACGAATTACAAAAACAATAAACTAGCTATACACTTGGTAGAGCTGACAGTTATAGGAGTTAATTGTATTATGCAGTTCACTATTGAACTTATTCACTAAACTGCCTGTTTTTATTTAGTCAATGGTTTTTTTTCTTGACCAATTATCCAGTGGCTGTGAATGATAACCAGAGATTCTTAATACTTTTTTGTTATATCCCGATAAGAATAATGAATGGTAACTTTTGGGATTCGTTTATGGACCAATATTATGAGTATATTTTTATCGTATAATTGTTATGTAACTAAACTGTTCATATTCATGTCGCTCTTATTATAAGCTTTAATTTGACCCATAGACTATTACTATACGATTTACCATTCTTGAGTTATGGCCTGTCTATTAATTACTATCTCCCCCATTCACAGTCAAATATTGTACAAATGTTATTTTCTATTTTATGGTACGTTGTGGTCTGTTTGATTGGTAATATAAACCCCGTATGTTTGAAATAAAGGATTCATATTGAAGAAGCTGAGATTGGTGTTCTGGACTTAACTAGACAGGAAGCGAAACCAATAAGGTCTCACTGGTTCGATCGGTAATTCGCTGCTCTCTGATTGGCGGCATCATTGCGTTATACAATAAACAGAGCACATAGGTTCACAAGTTATAACATTTTTAATCCATGAGATCTATTTGATCTAATGAAGTCCAATTAAATGATGAAAATACTGTGTAGATGAATTCTCTTTTGTAAACTATTAATCCATAATTTTAAAACTTATAATATGCTTTAAATGCTTGAGAGTAATTCAACACAAATAAGAGATTACACAACTCAATCATATAAGATATAAAAGCATAACAATAAGAAAATAACTAATTAATGATAAATCCAGAACAGTGACATAAATAATAATATATTTTAGGATATCTATTGGATTGTATACAATTAATAGCAAATTCTAAGCTTGTTTTCGCTTCTGTGAGACGTGCATTAAACTTCGGAAACTCATTGAGTGTCTTAAATGCAACAGGGTCCCCATGCGATTTTAGAATATTAAAGATTCCCATTGTGAAAATTAGAACAGCACATATAAGCGAACAATTGTTTTCAATTAGATCGTCATCAGGCTTTACTCTAATATACATGAATATTTATACGAGTCTATTTACCCACGTTTAGCCTTCTATCTCCAACGTTTTACTAATGATAAGACTTCTGTTATCGTATTTTATTATTCTTACTACTATCAGTACACCTGTCTTCCTAGCCTGATGACGATCTAATTGAAAACAATATTGTTCGCTTATATGTGTTGTTCTAATTTTCACAATGGGAATCTTTAATATTCTAAAATCACATGGGGACCCTGTTGCATTTAAGACACTCAATGAGTTTCTGAAGTTTAATACACGTCTCACAGAAATAAATAATAATGGTTTGTAAATTAAACAAAAGCTCACACACAGGAAAATATAAAACAATAATAATTCACAAATCTTATAACTATACAGTGAAAAGATAAACATTATTTCTCCATAGAACAGTTCTGCAAGCTTATCCTTTGTCGAATCTTTTTTGATATAATAATAAAATTACCTAATTCACGTATTAAAGAATTAACTGGTCAGTAAGGGGCTGTGGAGATTGTTGAGTTTCATTGAGATCATGAACCAATCAATGTTAGGTTGTTTCGTGATCTCAATGGAACGTAAAAATATTCACAAGCCTATAGTGATAATCATCATGTAGTGACTAGTGACTAACTTCGACAGGTAATTCTCAGAGCTCTTCTCAGAAGCGGCGACCAGTGGAGTCCAACCATGTCTAGTGTATGGCAGTTACCTACCGAAGACAGTAGAAAATGATTGCACAACATCGTGAATTGATTGCAGTTGGAAATTAACACTGTTGAATCCCGACTCAATGATCTGGAGGTTTAATGTTCGCGCGAGACTAATGATCCTGGGTTTGAATCCTGCGTGTGAGATCGTGGATGAGCACTGCTGAGGAGTTCCATACTCGAATGAAACGGCCGTTCGGTGCTTCAAGGTTTTCAGTGGTGGTACAAATTTGGTCGATTCATGATCTCAATGAAATTAATTCATCGCTTTGTTATTTATTACTGTTATTTACATAATGTATTTGGCTTATACATATTTTTATCGATTAAGAAATATTATATGAATAATTTACAAATGAATTCTATCGAACAGTTGTACCGTGAGGGTAATATAATTATATAACAGAATTACTATTATAGGTGTTAAACACGAGTGTCACTAGATATCATATACCTAATAATTTTACTTAGATTAACTTTTTGATCCATACTAAAAAGGAATATGTACATTCAGTGGTCATTCAATGATGCAACTCATGAAGTACAGATTCGTTTATTCAACTTTGAGACTAAAATGAAGCCGGCTCGTGGTACTCAAACCTAAGTCTTGAGTGTTTGGAAGTCGATGCCTCTAAGTCATTTCTTCAAAAACATGGATTGATTCTAACGACGTTTAACATCGATGATCGAATGAGGACCGGTATATTCAAAGCCGTATGATCGCCGACTAACTCTATACAGTACACATCCAAGGTCTTAACGTAAATCAGATACATTCACAGTCAAAATCAACGTAAAAATCGAAAATGTAATTAGAAATATAGAAGTGTATACAACATATAAGTTGCAATAACCTAAATTAAATGAATAAAAAAATAAGCGAACCTCATTCAAGAAAATAAAACGTTTAACTTACTTCAAAAGCAAAAACAAAAATGAATTTAGCTGCCAACACATGATAATAAACGGAAGTGAATACATATGGTTCTGAAGACCAAGGCGGTGACCGATAAGAATCATATCTTGTGTAAAACGACAAAAAAAACACAAACACACAGTAATATTTAAACAGAAAATGTTTACTTTTACACAAGAAAAATCTATTTCAAGAAATTTTTTATCATGAAAAAAAACAAACTTACTCTCATCAATAATAAATTTTATTAGTGACTAAAGGTTAGATACAAATAATGTATTCCTTTTGAATGGATTTAGACTGATGTTAATATCACTATTAATTATGAAAATAGTTTGTGAGCTTGCCAAAACATGGTCATTTTCTTCTTAAATAATTTCTTTTAAACTAATTACTGTCTTATGCAGACTCACCTAAACTAATGACCACATTGAAACTTGGCTTGGTAGAATTCGATCTGCACTAAGAAGGATCTGACACACATGACATTGATCACTACCCAGTGATCAACTAATTGTAAATACATTTCAGTCCTATAGGAGATCATTCGCTGCTCTCACAGCTCAGTGGTAACGTCTATGACTGTGAAGCTGGGTGACACGAGGTCGAATCCTTCAGAAAGCTTCAGTTCCCTCAAGATTACAGGTACACCTTGCTGATGAGTACCAAATAGCACGAAACCTAGGTTTAAGCCTAGATTTAAAGTTTTAAAACACTCGCTATATATCGAAAAAAGAACAAAGTAATCGTAATTGATAAGACAATTTCTTTTATCGATAAGCCTACACACACTCTCTCAGCGCCAATGTTTATTTAACCTAAGTAGTACAAAATACATAATGACAAATCAATCAATCGGAATAATCTGAAATTATTACAAGAGTTAAAATGTTGATTGAGAAAGTGATAATCTAAGTAACAAGTGGAGTTAAACAATACTTGAATTTCAATAAACTAAATATAAATAGTGAATATGCTATGGAATTTGTTATGACACGCAATTTCTTAAGCTAATACTGATACACGAAATTCCTCTATACACAATCAATAAATTATTTTCAAACAAGTCAATCGACTTTGTTTGGCATTAGACACCTTAGATTAGTATATACTGCAAACAGAGGTATGAAACCAAACAGAAACACATTCGAATGGCTGGACAACTATATTTTTGAAATGTATACACACCTTAAAGAATGATACACATACATACAACACAGTTATCGTTCAAATTTAATAATACCTGCAATAAGTTTCATTAGTTGGAACATCAAAACGAGTTGTAGACATATAGGAGAGAGTGAAATTCACAAAACCTTTCATAGTACCATCTGGACTATAAGTATAACGGTATACACATCGGTCAATAAACTGTGTAGTAAATGCAATAATACAAGCCTAGATTGAAATAAGGAAATAGAATAGAAATAAAAAATACATGGTTAATTTAGTAATCTTTATCAATCAGTATACAGTCACATTGCAACATGTTTAACAGACTTATTCAAAGAAGATAAAGGTGCAAGGCGTAAATGATAGCTTGTCTATTTAGTCACACAAAATTTCATTTCATCCATAGGAGTTTTTAAAATTCTAATGAACAGTTAAATACTTACATTCATTTTGTATCGTTTACTTCAGTCTTCCCTCTAATGTTTGGGGTTGCAATTGATCAGTTTCTTATGGACATATGTGCATCTTGTGCGAATTACCTTGATATTACCTCAAGTTATAAGTATTATAAGCAGAGATAGATAGTGACTAGTAGTGGAATCTAGGTCAAATCCCAAATAGGATGAAACGTTTGTCCTAGACTTCCACTGCTAGCAACTAACCATCTTTGCTTATAAGTTAATTACTTAGCTACATTTCACTTAACAATAAGTTAGACCCTTTACAAACTGTTATGATAACATAATCGAAATAATAATATTTACTGGAAAGTTATTTAAATGAAACTTAAAAGAAAAAGTTGTCTGCGTTTGGAGATAGTTACTGGCGTGTAATGACCTAATTCTAGATATATTGTTTGTTTGACGGAATGAGACACTTTAATTCGGAATGTTTTGTGTTCACTTATCAATTAGTAAACGAAAATGAGTCGCCTCAAATTTTCTGTCAATACTTTAGCAACCATCTGTCTATCTGTATATGAAAGAGAAAGGTAGTTCCCATGAAATTTCAAGAATATATGACAGGAGTCAAAAGTATCACGGTTTTACCAATGTCGCCATAGAAGGATGATATTATATTCGAACGAAAACTAGAGGAATAGTAACTTCCAGGACTAATTAGTCGACTATTATTAAAAATATATTCCTATTATATAATTATTAGTAACTAGGCTACCAACACATATATATGTTTCTATTAAAACGAGCTTTAGACTAGCCCGCTAACCAGTCTTTTACGATTTACCATTCTTAATGTATTCCCAATCTATTACTTACAGTCTCTCCTATTTACAGCCACTTTTTGGCTTGATCATGTGGTCGGGTACGTCCGTATATAAACTATTTATGCTTGAAATATAATATGCGTATAGTGGATTACTATGTTCTGGACTAAACGGGCGGGGCAGGGAGAGAAGTTGCCGAATCGAAGACCGATAAGAGATTAGCGTTGAGTCAACGATATTAGTGCTGAACGGATTACGATTGGTGTCTTGTCACGTGGTACTAATAAGGAGACATTAGTTATGACAAATACACATGAATTCACTGAAGAGCAAGAGATCTTCAAAATTCATATTATCCAGTCATATTATCTAGTCACGTTTATCTTGTATTAACATTTGGTCTATAAGCATGTAATTTTATTACGTGAAAAAAACTATTCTATTCGGGAAATGTTACATCTTGTAACAGCTATTCATTCGAAGGCTTACGTCAATAACTCTGTTTTGTGACCAGCTATCACAGGATCATATTGTGTTATTGAATGTTACCAATCGATTAACATTATATTTATCAAAATATATCCGAGCGTATTTACTTACAAATGATCCAATTCCAATCCGTTAATCAAGTGTCTCTAAAACTCCAACTGGGGAGTTGTTATGGACCAACAAATATCAGTCCTATACAACTTCGTGCACACTACAGCATCAAATTGCAAAGTGACTATCTCTCCACTTTTCCTATTCAGTCCCAGCATCGGCAACCAATGCTCGATTTGGAAGATGCTGAGATGATATTTGTAGGATATATACAAGTCAATGAAGTCATTGTTTAAAGACAGTGATACTACTTAATGACCCCAAATACACACTGTCGGATCACAGTATGAGAACTGAAGGTCCTGAGTTAGATCTTGTGTGGAAAAAGCGAAGAAAAGGAAAGTGATAAGTATGAAAAGAAGGACTTACATTAGTTCGAATAGCAATGCTTGCGAGAACAGTAATGATCGACAACCATATACCTGAAAGAAAAATAAAAGACGATAATTTAAAATGCTTCTATACACCAGACATAAAGTGATAATTTAATTACTAACTTATATGTTTATTATTCATACATAAAGTATCGTAGAGATATAAATGATCACTATTTATTTATCAGCGAAATAGTATGAACGTTTTAAAATTGACACTAAATGGTACAATGATAGTGTTTAGTGATGGTCAATAGTAAAATCTCGCACATATATTTCATTCTATCTGTAAATTAGTAACTGGATAAGTTTCCATCATGGAACTTTTGGTGCACAGCTAACCTGTTAATATTAAAAGTCTTCATTTAATGAATGTTGATTCTAATGCTATGTGGTTATGTACTGTATTTATATAACGGAACAAATGAACATTGTTTATTTTGATATTAATTCTCAATACGAAGGGTTTTATGAAGTGTTCTTTCAATTGTGGATATTCTAGTCGGTTCATCATAATGAATGGTAAGTATTAACTAAACTTCAATTTGTTAAGATTATGAAGTTAATCAATCTGCCATTTTAGTAGAATGTTATGGTACCATTAATTTATTCATAAATAATATATAGATACTGACACATTATATGACCATCGATTTTAAAGGTGATATAGCTACATACATTATAAGAGGAGGATTTCCAACTCACTCAACAGAAGGTTCTCCACAGAAATTTTGTGATTATTATTCTCTAGCTAACCAGTATTCAACAACTATCGCTTTTGACCAATTCTATGTGGATTTTTCAATTTACCTGTTCATGCGGAGCCAGGCATCTAGGTCGTTCGATGAGTAGTTTATCCCAAAGAATTCAAGAACAACACCTAGTTTGGCTGAAAAGAGGCGGAAATGCCTCAATAAGAAGCTTTATAATCGAAAAGCTTGTTAACACAGATCACTCAACCAAAACGGACTCTGCATTTAAAGTCCTTTACAAGTTAAGTAGAAAGCTATCAAAGGCAGTTAGCTCCTACCTTCATAGCATAGCCAGAGCACTTGTTATACCATTTAGAAAAATCAGAATTCTGAGTACAAAGAAAACTAAGACAGCCTCTTTTACTACCACGGTCTTATTCTCCTATGATTTCTATTTTTCTCCCAACCGACTGCTTCCTTCCTCTCTTTTTCTTCGTAAACCTTTTACCCCCAGATGATTAGTTTGTGTTTCTATGATCATTTTTGATCACAATTTTTTTTCGATCCCCACATTGTATCTTATCACCCTAAGCTTTCCCTTCCTAATTATAATCCGTTTTCACTAACAACATCATTATTAGTTTCCTTAGTAAAAATAACGTTTTTATGCATTTATTCACTTTACCTCACTGTTATCATGTTCAGCAAAATTTCATTATCCCTATTATTACAATTATTACCATTTTGAAAATTAAGTATATAGTTACGATTGAATAACTTTGAAAATACATCCAATGAAAAGTGAACTCTTCACTGAATCAAACTTTCTTATTTTATATCTTAAAGAGTATATTCCATTTACATATGTATTAGTTTGAGCTGAGACACAATGAACCAATAGTGAGTGATAAAATTGTAAAGAAGAAAGATTAAAATATATTGAATCGAGCAATGAGAAACAACAATATCACTTACCAATTGTTTGAACTCTTTCAAGAACTGGACGACGATATTGATTCACTAATTTTTTAGCATCACCACGAATCTCAAACAGATTGTTTAATAAACCAAATAATGGTGCAAGTGGAAATGCAGGGACAAACATAGTGATGAATCCATATTGAATCACTAAAAAAAATTGATCATAAAAATACTCGTGAAAAAATGGAAAAAAAACCTGTGAAGTAAATGAGAAGACACCGAACTCTAGCCAAATAAGTCTATTATGCTGAACATATTCCCACTTCAAAAGACTGACAACTAGACGTGGAATTTTTTATCACGACATATGCATGTTAAGTATAGCCTACTATGTCATGGTAGGACTGACAAGTGAGGCAGTTTGGTTACGATATGTTTCACCTTGTTAATTTTGTCATCCACGTTATTGAATATAAACATTCTGGGTAAGATTTTATCCTTCAAATTGAAATAGGAAAACGAGAAGACCTGGTCAACAGGTTAAGATGCACTACGTTAGAAAGTCATTTATTGGATCGTATAGTCTTAATGTAAAGTCATATAAGTTAGGTATTCTTAGAAACTCTAGCCGACTGAGATTACTATTTCAAAAAATAAATAAGCTTAATACTGAGTATTTTATAATTCCATAAATTTTCTGTAGAAGTCAATTTATGAATTCTATCGTTATTATTTGTGTCACATATAGAAACAAAGTTTAAACAAAACTTAGATTTGTCGTTATTATTTAATGAACACTTACAATTTAGTGCATTGTAAAATTAGCCAGGAAATATTAAGGTCAGTGGTTAAGACTATTTATAATGTTTTCAATTAGTATGTAATACATTATTTATTTATTTAAGCACGTAAACATTGGTACAAGGAGGCACGAAATATATATGTGGCACAATTCTCCATTCGATTTGTGTAAAGGCTGGAATACTGGCTGGGCGACCAAAACAGGTGGCTTTCTTAAGGGGCCACTTCCCGACCATTTAACCTAGAGGTCTAATCCACAAGGGAATGGAGCAACGTTAGATGTAGTCCGATGATAGCCGGTGACAAACAATAGGTTCATACGCCATTTGCTCCCTCAGGATACTGGAGCTCATGTGTACCATTGGTTTGAAATCATGGTTTTCCAACTTCCGTCGGTGTGTCATACATGACACTATCAGTCGGTTTCCATCTATTTGATATATAATCTCAGATATAATAACACAAATAAATAAATAATGTTCCCTTCAACCTACCACCAAAATAATATCAAGTAAAGAAAATAAATAATAAAAAAAAGAAAACGGAATCACTTACTCATTTCTAAGTACTCATTAAACAATGGTCTAGATCCAGGATCTAACATATTAAAATCAGCACGACATAGAATATTTCGTCCACGCAACGAACGATATTTTGCTGGTAAAAGAGAAGTAGTCACTGAATTCCGTTCATTATAATTTGTACTGTTCATATAATTATGATTAGCATGATTAGATGAACGTTTCATTGAACGAAATTTGAAAAATAATTTCAACAGAATACTAAATGGAATAAATAAAAGTTAGGCAAGAAATGAATGATAAACCAGAAAAATTATTCAATAAAGTATGATATAATAAATTAAAAAAGCGCAGAAAAAAATGATTATGTAGACAAAAAGGCAACATGATAATCTTATGGTGAAGGTAGAAGCCTGCTTGAATATACGCGTCACATGTTCCTTATCTGTTTCTTCGTTTCTTTTAACACATCATTACGTCTATGTTGAGTCGGCTTTCGGAGAACTTCAACGGAGCCTCCAGAGGCCCAAAAAGAGCCAAAGAGTCCTAGCCAATAAGAGCATGATGGAGCATTCTAGAATACCAACGTGGCGTGCTACTATTTGTCAGTAGCATAATATATCGTTAACAGATTGGCCGAAATATGGTGTTGATTTAACAAACGTTAACATCTTTAAATACCCATGTTTTCCGTACAAAAACGAACCTTGGAGTAAAGTGTTTCTCTCATACTTTGCGTCTTCTTTCTGGTGTTCAGGTCGCTGTATAGTTCTAGCGTGCGGGTTATCAGAATAGCTTAGGAACGAATATAGCGTCCAAATCAGCAAAACTTAAGTCTATTAAGAGAATAACCTATTCAGGTGAGTTTATGAAAAGTTTACAACCTTTTACTCTACAAGATTCGAAAAACGCACAATCAAACACATCGTGGTGGCTGGCAATATACATTGAAAACAATCAATATTATCCAGATATCGATTCCCGAACAACTAACATCTAACTGGCGATCAATCAATATTCATCGTCAGGATCGATAAAGATATGAGGAAAGGAAACTTATCGCAATAATTTTTGCGGAGAATTCATTATTGTACCAAAATTATAATACTGGATAAAGCCATTAATAATAATAATAATAATAATAATAATAATAATAATAATAATAATAAATATTTGTAATTTTCGACAGTTAACATTCAAGACTGAAAATGAACAGTCTTTATTGACAAATGTGTATTCTACGAGGTACATTCAGCTGATGAATCGCAAATAGAACGAAACATATGTCATAGATTCCACTGTTAATCATATGCCATAATATCATTAATTAATTCTTACAAAACAGAAATCTGAAAAAGAATCTCATACAATTTTCGTGTTGTTTTCTATGTTTATCAGATTACAAATAACTTGTTAGGGTAGCCCAATAGCTGTAAAATATATACTACTCATAATGATTAAACATTCCTATTCTATGAGATTTAGAAAATCCTTCTACTGTTACCTCACTATTTCAAAATTCACTTGTCTGTTGAAAATCTGAGTGTTTATATCAGAAAACATCACACCAGACAAGATTCATAGTAAAAATTTATCACTTGGTTTTAAATACAGTGGGTTTTTATAATAAAAAATTGAAAAGCAACTGCAGACTAGAGAAAAATGGACAAAATGTATATATTTACGATTCCATATAGAATATATACTTCTTTATAATGCATAGTAATTAGTTTAATGAGTTTGTGCAAATAGTTACACTTGTAATAGACATCACAGACTGACATCAGTGGCATATTGATAGAAGTTAGTGACTAAACGTCAAACGCCAACCACGGAATTCGAAGAACATGGTTCCTATCTCCAATAGGGTTAGAGATTCATACTGCTGAGGAGCCCCATACTAGGACGAAACGGCTCTTCATTGTTTCCTGGTTTTCAAAGACTGTCTAAATACAGTTGTTTAGTGATATCAACCATAAAAATGGATAGAAAATTGTTTGAACAACTTACGGCATTAAAGATTCTTGAATAAAACTAAATATTTGTTTACCAACCATAATTATAACTAGTTGTATGAATAATTCGAATAGACAATCACCTTGGTCACACTGTTTAAAAAGAAAACAGATGATAATAGAAATGCAAGTACATAACAGAAATAAACACAGACAAAAACATATTCATGAAGAAATTATGTTATTATGTACAATTCACGTTTTATTAAAATAGGAGATCTTCAGAATTCACTTGATTAAAGACAATTAAGAATAAACTGTGACTCTATTGAAAGCCTAAAAACGATGAACAGCATATAGACCATGAGGAAACTCTTGGAGTCTGAGGTGTCTTAGCATACATTGTTAAATGATGTGAGTGAGAACATATTGGTTCATTTATTGAACTAATAATGTTGGTATTTATGCCACATAATTAACCAAATTCTATTGAATAATGTAAAAAATGTGGGATATTTTCAGTTAGCGCTTTTGTTTTTTTAAAGGAAACAGTGAAGTTTAGCTAAGCTGAACATGAAACAGATTTCCAACGATAAGTTACAACATATCGTGAGGTAAATAGAATTTTGCAGTGAATACCATGAGCTGACTGTAGCCAGATAACCACTGAAAACAAGAAAACACTGGACAAGTGCATCGACCTGGGATGCCACTTCTCAGAAGTTTTTATCCATGATCTAATCAGGGATTAAGTTTAAGGCCTTCAGGCCTCGCAGCGAGTCCTTAGCCTTCATATCGCTAGGTTGACATCTAGTGTTTTATCTTCCTAAATTCAGTGGATTTTTGGTATTGCATCACTATTATTAATAACTGTCATTCGCCCGACATGGTTGAACTCCATAAGATCTCAAGAGTTATCGTTCAAATCTAGTCAATAAAGAGCATGTATCTATTCTTCTTCTTATTATTATTATAGCAGAGAGTTGTAGGGATTGCCGAAATTGTAATTTCTACAATAAATTCAGGATTGTCAAGCTTATTAAGATCTATAGAATGGAATTGAAGAGATTATTTAGCTAGTCAGTTTTAGCAGTTTTCAGTTATCAGTTAGAGTCAACGTAAATGGTAAAGATTGTTCATCTTGTAGATATCAACGAATATGTACATGGACAATTATGTAATGGAACATATATATGAAACATGAAACTTCTGTTCGAATTCCTTCAATGAGTTTGAAAGGAATAAGTAACTGTGTTGAAATCATGCGTTAATCTAAGTGTTATGAACTCCTATCACAACACAGCTACTTCTAATGCTTAATATTACTCGGATAATTTACTTCATTCAACAAGCCCCCAAATCAGAACGAGGTTGAACAGGAACGTACTTATATTACAAATAAATAGGGTTGAATGAAAGTAGGAATCAAAATATGGATAACATTAGTATATTTATAATTTTACACAATAAAATTTTAGTCCTCGCCAAGTATCTGCATGCGCTGATTAGCTAAGAAATAGCGAATCTGAGTGCCGTGACATAATCCTGCACAGAGCATGATTTAATTCATTCTATATCCCAGTAACACTACGCTAGATCACTGTTAAAATCTAAAATTCTTAAGCATCAATGATTGATTTGTAATAACTCACCGTTAAGAAATAATTTAAATATGTTTGTAATTATAAATTAACTTCAGGGCAAGCATTCAAAGAAAAGAATCAGGAATTCGTCATTTATAAAACAATGACAAAAATCAAATTTATTAGGATTATGTCAATACGTTTCTGGACTATGATAATATTTCGTAACCCTAACTTCAATACATTGAACGAGAATATTTCTATCCTCTTCTTTGCTGCCGGGTTAACTAGAGGAAATAATTATCGGTTTAGTAATTGATGCCATTTTGTGATAACCTTAGAATATCACTTCGAAAAGTTAGTTGGTGACATGTCAACTATAGTGATTAAAATCCATGAATTGAGTATTTGTCACTAAATAAAGATTATGGTAAAAATGTATTGAGAGTCCATGAGCAGAGTTCAAACTGAATAATTTGATTTAACGAAAATTCATCGTAATCGACATTCAGCAGTATAAAACTGTTAAGATTGTTGAATTCCATTGAAATCACAGACCAATCTAAGCCAGACAACCATTGGGAACCTGGAAGCACTTAATGACTGTTCCATTCTGCTTAGCAGTGCAGATCTAAACCACCAAAAACCTGGGATCGAGTTCAAGATCTCGAGTATCGAGCACGACCGGTTAACCACTGAGCGAGGATACAATGGTGTACAATCCTAACTTTAATCAAGTGACGATCGGTCAGTGGTTTCGATAAAATTAATCAATACTTATTTTCTTTTTAGTAAGTTGTTTTTGGAGACTGTACATCACTAACAATTCGAACAATCTGATAACAGTGATTTCAGACATTATTATGAGAAATGAAGGACGGCATAGATGAACTCGAACACAAAGAAGGCAAATATGATAAGAAAAATCCGTATAAAACTCATTAGTCTGGATATTATATTCGAATCCATATAACAGTGTTAGGTTTAATGACAATAAAAAGTCATTCCTGGACAGATTACTGAGTTGAAATTTACAAAGACTGAAGCTTCAAAGAGTTTAATTATCAGCCTAAATGATTAACATACAAAAATGTAGAGGCTGAGTTAAGATGGTGGTTGGAGGTAGTCAACAAGAAACCCTGGATCCAGGTTCCATGTTATTCGGTACTCGTCGGCAAAGTGTACCTGTAATCTTGAGGGAACTGATGCTCCCTGATGGATTCGATCCCGTGTCACCAGGTATCACAGTCAGAGATATCAGGGAGCATCAGTTCCCCCAAGATTATAGGTACACCTTGCTGACAAGTGCCAAATAGCACGAAACCCGGGTCCAGGATTTCCTGTTGACTACCTCCAACCACCATCTTATTCCAATATAGTAAACGCAATGTCGAGTCACCTAGACTAGTATCCACAACGCAACTTATTCGATAGCATTCAATCTGCACTAAGAAGGACCTGACGCACATGACATTGATCACCATCCAGTGATCAATCAACTGTGAAGGCTGAGTTAAGATTAATCTTATAATATGTGTGTTTGGAAATTGTGGGATGTGGAAGTTCTTTGGTTAGTAAAAATGTGAGTAGTGTAAAGGATCGGTTATATATATATATATATATATATATATAATCATATAGTCATATATGGTCGTATGAAAAATTGTCACTAGATGTGATATATGTATATTCACAGGTTAGATGAATATTAGACAGGAATTTGTTGTAATATTACACATTTTGTACCGAAAGTTTTTTAACCGCAACCAAATACGGACAGGTATTTAAGAAGGTTCATTCTTCATATAAAAATCTAAGATTTTAATTAAAATAATTTATAATGGTAATCAACGATAACGACCGTTCATTATCTATCTCTTTTTCTTCTTGTTTAAGCACACCTACAATAGTTATGTGAAAATATGGTCTCTTTTCTTTGAACAATAAAATCTGAAGTATTAGCTTATATTTCATACATCAAAATTCAAATAAGCAACATAATCTGAGATATAAACGTACGTGAAAAATTTAACAATAACTTAACAATAAATTATATGAATCAATAATAACATCAATATCAAAGACGTTAACAACTCTTGTATTACAGATTGGAACTCCTATCTGCACATGATTCATTTTGATCAACCAAGTAGTTATACTAGCCGTTACATGTACACACAATCGAGAATAGTTATTTGTACTTGATAAAGAGTTATATTATTCACTAATCTATATTACACATTGTGATTTTTGGGATTAGTCAATTAACTAAGCAGAAGCTATCTTCAAGAAAGATAGTAGAGAATGAAGGATCATAAAATTATATTACTAAAACTGTGTAGTTAACTCCGCATGTAGCTCTTCTATAGTTACTGCCGGTCTCAAGTGCGGGTAAAGGAGGAGGGTTGGGCATGGGGTTAGCGACCACATCCCGTAGAAAACTAACTCGCTAAAAAAACGCTAACCAGAAAAAAATATTCAAACCATTTTAACTCTGCCCTGAGAGTTAGAAGGTCTACATTTAGAAGAATTATGACGCTTCATGGTGAAAGCCGAGTTCCTTCGGAAGCCACGAGGCCGATGCACCTTATAACAACCAGAGCAACAATTTTTATAGGTACATGGAAAGTCCGAACGATGTGGGAGACTCGGAAGACCAGTCAAATAGCAACGGAAATGAGGAGATACAACTTGGCAGTACTGGGAATCAGCGAAACCCATTGGACACAAGCTGGACAACAAAGGTTAAATAGGGGAGACATGCTGCTATACTCCGGCCACGAAGATGAAAATGCTTCACACACTCAGGGAGTTGCTCTAATGCTGTCCAAAGTAGCACGAAATGCACTTGTAGGATGGGAATCTCACGGATCCAGAATTATCAAAGCATTAATCATAGAGAAATGTCCAAGAAAGGACCTCACCATTCTAATGGGAGATCTACATGCCAAAGTCGGAATAGACAACACCGGATATGAAGATATCATGGGACGACATTGACTGGGAGAGAGGAACGAAAATGGAGAAAGATTTGCAAATCTGTGTGCATTCGACAAACTGGTCATAGGAGGCACAATATTTCCACACAAACGTATATACAAGGCTACACGGATCTCACCGGACCACACTACAGCAAATGTGAAAACTACAGAGGCATCACACTGCTGTCAATACCAGGGAAAGTCTTCAACAGATTGTTGCTGAACCGGATGAAGGATGCAGTAGACACCCAACTTCGAGATCAACAAGCTGGATTCCGTAAGGATCGGTTGTGCACAGACCAAATCACGACACTACGGATCATCGTCGAACAATCAGTTGAGTGAAACTCAACACTGTATATCAACTTCATTGATTATGAAAAGGCATTTGACAGTGTAGATGACGGGTAGAGGACGTTATGGAAACTTCTTCGACACTATGGAGTTCCTGAGAAGATTATCAATATTATCCGGAACTCATACGACGGACTACAGTGCAAGGTCGTGCATGGAGGACAGCTGACAGACGCATTCCAAGTAAGGACCGGAGTCAAACAAGGCTGTTTACTCTCTCCCTTCCTTTTTCTTCTGGTGGTCGACTGGATTATGAGGACCTCGACATCTGAAGGAAAACACGGAATACAATGGACAGCTCAGAATCAATCAGACGATTTGGACTTCGCAGATGACCTAGCACTCCTATCACATACACACCAACAAATGCAGATAAAGACAGCCAGTGTAGCAGCAGTCTCTGCATCAGTGGGTCTCAGTATACACAAAGAGAAAACCAAGGTCCTCAAATTCAAAACGAAGAACAGCAATCAAATCACTCTTGATGGCGAAACTCTGGAAAATGTAGAATCCTTCACATACTTGGGAAGCATCATCGATGAACAAGGAGGTTCAGATGCAGACGTAAAGTCAAGGATTGGAAAAGCAAGGGCCGCATTCCTTCAGTTGAAGAACATATGGAACTCAAAACAACTTTCAACCAATATCAAAGTGAGAATCTTCGATACCAACGTCAAGGCAGTTCTACTGTATGGAGATGAAACTTGGAAAACTACAACAGCCACAATCAAGAAAGTACAAGTATTTATGAATAGCTGTCTGCGCAAGATACTCAACATCCATTGACCGGATACCATCAGCAACAGCCTCCTGTGGGAGAGAACAAACCAGCTTCCAGCTAAAGAAGAAATTAGGAAAAGACGATGGAAATGGATAGGACATACATCAGGTAAATCATCAAACTGCATCACGAGGCAAGCCCTAACTTGAAATCCTGAAGGGAAACGGAAAAGAGGAAGGCCAAAGAACACATTACGTCGGGAAATAGAAGCAGATATGAAAAAGATAAATAACAACTGGAAGGAGCTGGAAAGGATTTTCCATGACAGGGTTGGATGGAGAATGCTGGTGTTCGGCCCATGCTCCTTCACGAGGAGTAACAGGCGCAAGTAAGTAAGTAAAAATGTGTAGTTATTGAGATCATTTATCGAGAAGTCCGGTATGATCAAATGCTGAATCATCTAATCAGGTGTGAATAACCGAGTGTACAAGTGATCAGTAAAATATGATGTTATAATTGTAGTTAAGCTTCGATCTAATGAGTTACTCATCATTGACAGGTAGTTCAGAAATCCTCTGGATATTAAACAAAAAAGGTGTAAATTGTTATGTGTTCAATCTCTAGTTTGTATATGTAAACCAGTAAACTATATGAACAAAGATCGATGATGGCTATCATCGAAATCCAGAATGAGCGTTTCATCCCATTCGGGACTCGTCAGTTGAATATATCTGCATACCAGTGTTGGTATATATCTAAATATATGGCATCAACTTCAGAGGTGTTTAATATAAATCTCTCCGATTACTGACTTCTAGTCAATCAGTTATTACCAACGTTGAGTCTGGCATAAGTATGTTGATATGATAGGAAGAACAGCCGAAATTCGATTGATTTACTCATTACGAGTTTTGTTCAAAATTACTTCCGCTTTGTTCAATATGATGATTATTCAGTGTAGTATCTGTTTTGTTTTCTCCTATGATATTTTATTCTGTATAATATACGATATTCTTGTATTCAATTGACATGAACTATGCTCAGTATGTGACTTGTTATTTATGTGATTTCATCCTAATTATTAATCAAAATGGGTGTACAATTAATATATAAATGAGTGTGTTTTCGACTAGGGTCGTCGCCGTTGTGTTTTGGGGTTAATAAACCTTCACTTATATCAGTCTTTGTATTTTTACTTTCGCGTCGTAGGTATTGCGGAGGTCCCTCGTCCCGAGTATAAGTGATGAGCGTTTCCGACACAACAATCGGCGACGACCAGACATGAAACGTAGCGTTCAAAACAACAAGACATATCATATGTATTAGCCCAAATTGCAGTGACAATGAGGAAGATTAAAGATTGGATATAGAATTCGTGAAAAAAAAACAGGATAAAAAATATGCACGAAAGAATAATGGAAATGGAAGGAAAACTGAGATGTAAAAGACAGCATAGTCCACCTATAATAAATAATTTAATTTACAAAAATATACATATAATCGTATAAATAGAAAATAGTATGTAATGCTTACACCAGTTGACTGGATTAATATATGATCACTGCCAGGAACAGCTGAAGTTGTACCTTGTATAAATGCAATATAAAATATTGACGAATAATAATTGACAAATTGTAATAGGTATAATTTTAGCGTCAAACTATTATCATATTCCACTTGTGTACGATGATGTTCAACATCAGTCAATTTAATGGCCATACGATCATAAATCTGAAAAATTAAAAATAGAATGAATTATTAAAATCAATAAAAACTATCAGTATAGGTAATTCACGGAGTTCTAGTGAGAAGCCATGACTAGCGGAGTACAACCGTATTGGTTGTGAGGTAGTTAACCACCGCAGACAATGGGAAATGATTGAAGATAGACTCTCGCCCGGTGGTGTAGAGGTTAAGCGTTCGCACATGAGATCGAAGGTGTTGGGTTCAGCAACCGAGCACGGGATCGCGGATGTGCGCTAAGCAGGACCATGCTGAGACGAAACGGTCATCCAGTGCTGCCAGGTTTCCAAAGGTTGCTTAGCATTGATTAACTCATGATCTCAATGTAAAATAAAATTAGATATTGTTTGGTAAAACATATTAACATTAATCAAAGCTGGGAAACAAATTTCAAAAAAATTTGTTTTAATATTTGTAGATGCCTAAAAACTAACAGTAGCTGGAGTATGTTTTTATCTCTGTTCAAAAAAAATATGGTAGCTGGAAGTAATCAACACACTCGACGAAGGTTTTATGATATTAGGTACTCATCAACAAGGCATACCTGCAATTTTACTCTTACTAAGGCATATCAGCTTTCTCAAGATTGCAGCTACACCTTACTCACAGTTGTCAACTAGCAAGTCCAGTAGAATTTCCTACTGATTACCAACAACCAGCTAATTTCAAAAATTACTTTCTGTAGACAATTTTAGATAACTTAAATCTACAATAGAAAAATAACTGAATGATTATTGTCAATTCGTCTTACAACACAGTAAAGTGTTCAGTAATGTGATACAGACCGCGTTACAATACGGATCAAAATTTGGAGCAGAAAACTAACTACTGCTAACATCAACCCTACGGTTCGAAATATTGAGCTCCAATTTATCCACTCACTCTTAGTAAAAAGCTGATGAGTCGAAATTTATCTAAAATCAAAAATCTACCACTATAAACCTTATAAGAACGTTACTGAAAAGAAACGTTTTCGACAATAAATTAAAATATTCCACTTTTTGTGTATTTATCAATGTTGTGTGTTGTGGTTCAACTTAATTTTAATGTACCACTCCCAGTAGCATACCAAATCCACTAAGCAAATGAAAAGATTACAGTAGGTAATTTCAATTGCCAAAACGAATTTCGATATGCTCCTATCATGAGTATATACATAGATATGCTTGTTCTTTTAACTTAGATGCAACAAGACGATTTGGACTTCGAAGATGACCTAGCTCTTCTATCCCATACATAGCAACGAATGCAGGTGAAGAAACCCAGTATAGCAGTGGGATCTGCAACAGTTGGCCTCAGCACACACAGTGAAAGGAGCGAGATCCTCAAATACAACATAGCGAACACCAACCAAGTCACACTTGATGGAGTTCTCAAAGAGGTGGACACTTTCACGAACATAGGAGGGTCTGATGCAGATGTACAGGTAAGGATTTTCAAAGCAAGGGCAGTATTTCTATAGTTGAAGAACACATGAGACTCAAAATAACTGTCAAAGTCAAAATCTTCAATACGAACGTCAAAACAGTTCTTTGGTACGGAGCTGAAACTTCGAGAACTACTACAACTATCATCAATAAAGTACAAATATTTATAAACAATTGTCTACGCAAGATGCTGATTATCCACAGACTCTCATATCATACCTTCCCAACATGTACAAATTTTATAATAAATGAATACAATCAGTGATGTAATTAAACGTACTAGTTTTAAAAAGAATATTGTCACTAAATTAACTAAAGATCCAGTCATAGTAGCAATCATACCAGAGGTACTTTGTACCATAGGATTATGATGACGATACAAAATTGCTTTGATCACTAATTTGTATAAAACCACACCAACAAGAAAAGCTAATGTGAGCATCACCTGTGAAACAGAAAGTATGCATATACATAAACAATAAAAAGTGAGATAATAGCATGAATTTATAATCTTCAACTGAACAAAATTATCAATTTGTGACCATTTCAAAAAGACCACAAAAATAATTTTTTTGAAAGAAAAACAAGTAATATATATCTGAATCATTAGTTAAAATAACTTTATCTCAATCCGTCAGTCATAACTAACGTAGAATTTAGTGCATATGCCAAGGTTGAATACGATAGTTTCAGACAAATGGAGTATTGAGTAAAAAGTTAATAATAAATCGATATATTTTATGTCATACCTAAATGAGTAGAAAATTGTATTTCAGACGTTTCGTAACTTAATTTAGACCATTTCTTTAGAGTTCATCAATTACCGATTTCCGTTAGGATCACGGAAACGTCAAAAATACAATTTTCTACTCATTGGATTAAAGCATGCTTAATGCACGATTGCTTTGGTGCACGCTGATTGCCTAATTCTTATCCAATCAGCACCAGTCGATAGTTGGAGAATACTCTAGAATCTTCTCATGTAAAAACTATAAATATACTGACGTTTTTCCCTATTGTGCTTCTTACTTGCTTCTTACTTCCATCTAACCTTGTTATTTGGAATATAATCTCTTTCCTGTTCAACCGTGTTCTGATTTGGGGTCTTGTCGAGTGATTTGGTGTCCAAGAATACAAAGCAATAGGAATAGCTGGGGTCATAACCGTAAGAAAGAGATTATAACAAATGTTCCTTGGTAATAATTAAAGAGAACAAGAAGTAAAAAATCAATATGTAAATACATTTTGACATGAGAAAAATAAGAAAAACATTAACGAGAGAAAAAAAGTTTAATCAATTTAGTGAAAGTTTTGTAATGAAATACGAGATGATGAGAAACCTTACAGTATTGGTCAAGATATTTTTATTATTATTAAAAACAGAAAAAAAAACAAGAGAAAACTTGACCAAAATACTTTTATTGGTAAATTGAATATGAATATGAAAATAGTTAGTTAGAAGTGTACAAAATTTTATTTTATTACAATGAAACTCATGTATGAATATTTCATGCATGAATAACAACATAATTATCAGTATGGGGTTGTGGAGATCATTTAAGCTTTTGATTGAAATCATGAACCGGTTGATGTTGTGCGATTACTCAGCAGTGCGTAACCCACAATAGGATGAAACGGCCATCCAGTGATTCCAGGTTTTCAGTGGTCGTTTAACATCAATCGGTTCATGATTTCAATAAAATCTTAATACTCTCCAAAACCCCATACTGATAATTACTATGTGCTGAATAATGACTAGCTTCGTGAGGGAATTCTCGGAGTTCTAGTGAGAAGCCGTGACCAGTGTCGGATAGAGATAGGTATCTACCTCAGTACAATGGAAGACGGTCGCGTAATTTCGTGGATTGGTTGAAGTTAGACATTAAGACCTCTGGATGCCGGCTCAGTGGTTTAAAGGTTAAGCGATCGTGCGCGAAACCGAAGACCCTGGGTTCGAGTTCCGCGGTGGGATCGCGGACGTGGTCTGGTGAGGAGTTTCACAATAGGACGAAACGACAGTCCAGTGGTTCCAAGTATTCAATGGTGATCAATCGTTTCATGCTCTCAGTCAAAAAATAATATAATTATCAATGAATAAATTATATGGTTAGTGTTGTTAAAAATTTATGATTCTTTATAAGATGCAGTTGAGATCTAGTACTACTGGTTAAAAAAATCTATCAACTTCATGATTGAAATCTAAAAACTAACTTAATTTTAATTTAAACAACTAGAATGTATTCTTATGCGGTTCTTTACTAAAAATGATAATTTAAAACCTATTTTAATAGTAGGAAATACTAAACTGAATCATTAACAAGTCAATTATCATCAACTAATGACGGCAAAATAAATCATGTCGCTGGTCAACTAGAATAAAGAAAACAATAAAAGTCTATTCAGATCGCGTGCAAAGCAGTTACCCATCAAAAACAATGGAAGATGGTCGCGCAAAACCGTAGATTGATTGAAGTTAGACCTTGACACCGTTAGGCTCAGTGGTCAAGGGGTCCTGGATTCGAAACCCGTGTGTGGGGTCGCGGGTGCGCCCTGCTGAGGAGCCACATGCTGAAACGAAACGGCCGTCCAGTGCTTCCAGGTTTCAATGGTATTTTAACATTGATCGGTTCATGATTTCAATGAAATCTGGTTGAAACCATTGGATTAACACAATATAATCGATTGTTTGCTTTCTATTTATACGGCACATAAGACTTCGGAAGTGGCAAACAGCATATATATTAAAAAACATAATGACAACTAATTACAGAGATTAGCATTGGAACATAAAATCCCAAACTCATATATTGCAACAAACGTATCGCCTATTTAAGCTTCATCGTAAACAGTTTTGGCCATGTTAATTATTACATAAAATATTGAATTCGTTAACCACAATACTAGAAGCGCTTATCTATAAACACGAATATTTTTCACTACTTTCAACAGGTAATTAAAAAGATGAGCGAAGAGAACAGGATATTGTCAATCTTGAAGAAGAGTTTCACATTTAAATGATAGAAAGTCAGTATCATGTATATAGACACTAATCGTTGAATGAAATAGTGCGATTTAGGTAGTTTATGTAATTCCAAACATGGTAATATCCACATAACCACGGTTCTTTTATGGAGAAGAAACCTGATTCATCACGAGTTTCCTTCAAAACTGTTTCCAGAATGCTGTAGCCTCTAAAATTTCTTGCAGATGCTTGTTCTATTAAGTCGGTTAATATTTACTAGCTACTATGGGCTAGTACTCAATATGTTTGACTTTTTAAGTTAAATGCAAACTTGCATTATAATATTTCTGACAGTTCAACAACAAATATATAATGTATCTTAAATGTACTGTAACAAATCATAACTAGGACTTACAGTTTCAGGACTAAACACACACTATACGGCTATATTCAAAACATTACTTAGAGTAAAACTGTTATCTAACAGTTATGCTGAAACCATTGTTAGGTATTTTCATCATTTCAAGATTTTGAAAGTAATTGAAAAAAACACACAACCAAGATAACATAAAAAGAGAACTTACAGTTAACAGAACAGTAGAGAAACTGAGAAAGATAATTGGTACTTTACGTCGCCAAAATGGAATAAATGGTTCTACATACTATTAAAAAAATAGAAAGAAAATTTACATAGTATTCCCCGCAAATTGACCATAAATAAAATGTTATTGAAAACAAGGAAGCACTTACCAAACATCTATTTCATCTTAGCAAGAGGTCTCTCAGGAGTACATACTAATGAACCCAATAGGCGGAGCGTACCTAAGAAATTCAGATCTTTAGATTAATACCTAATTATTAAAACCATTGGATCAGCACCCAATAGTATATATGTTCAACTACATACTTGAGTAATTTGTTATGAAAATGTTTTCCCCCCGAAAATCATACTCTTTTGAAGGGTTTCACACAATTCCTAAACACCTAGTAATAATTTGCAGGTAATTAATAACACAGTAAAAAACTTAAGGACCAGAGATTTTATTGGTTGTAGTTAAGTTTTAACTTTATGTACATTAATAAAAAACATGAATAATATCAAATTAATCACTATAAAATAATCAATAAATACAATTCACTATCTGTGTATATCATTTTTTCTCTAATTGGAGTATACTTAGAAACAACTAGAAAGCAAAGCCCAGGTTGGTTGGAGAATCCTAGTTAGCAGCTTATGTTCTACAAAAAGGTAACAGGCATTAATAAGTAATGTGTGTCATTTTCTCTCTACTCAAAGTGTATGCAATGCATTTTTCATACTTGAAATCACAATTATTAACAGAAATATGTTATAGTACATTGAATAAAAACTGATAATTGTTTAAAAGTCCAAAATAAAACAGAGTAAACTCAAAGTGGAGAGAATTAAACAGCATTAGAAAAAATAATTATAATAATAAATTTATACTTACTCCACTTAAAGGATTCATTTTACGAGGACACATTTTACTAAGTAATGCCATAAATTCTGGTCTCGGCGGTTGATCCATTGGTTCCAGTGAGTATACATTCCAACGATAAGCAAATGAGACTTGCCTACGTTTCCACATTTCGAAAAATATTACAGCTATTTCATAAAAATGTAGAAATGACAGAAAGATAAGAAAATATGATTCATTCTACCATTTATTAAGTAGTAATAAAAATATAAATAATGAAGTAAAACTAAATATTCCTACTTAAATAAATTTGAGTATTTGTTGAGATAGATTGACTAAGCTATTGACGTGTCGAAGCTACAGATATAGAAAGAGAAAGACATAAAAATTCACTATTTCATGAACGAGATATAGGTAAAAACTTACATAAATGACTAGCCACTGACCACCATTGAGTATAATGGTATTTTTTGTTCCACTTTCATGCCACCGAATGTCCTTGTGCAGCCGAGAGTGAGGAAAGTTGGCTATCCCTCTCGAAATACTCTCACAGAACCACGTGTATACAACCACTGCAAGGGAAGTCCTACTCGCTGTCTCCTCGTTTTCAGGGTGTAAATTTTACAAAATTGAGAGGACGAAAAACGAATATTTGGCACCTTGACCGGTTTGGTGGATATGGAGGATTCACCGAAAGAAGTTGGAAAACCCTCATTCCAAACCAATTGTGCACATGGGTCCCATGATCCTAAGAAAACAAACAGCGTAGGAACCAATGGTTGTTCACTGGTTACCATCATGAGACTACATCTCCTTACATTGCTCCACTGCCTTGTAGATTAGGTGTCTATGTTAAAGGGTGGGTTAGTGGCTTCGTAAGAAAACCACGTGCTTCGGTTTGAGCTCCCGATCAGTTTACCAACCCCCACAGTAATCAAATGGTCTGTGAGGCGCTTATATATTTGTTGACTCCTTTTACCAATGTTTACGAGCTTAAATAAGTATATAAAAGAATGTACAGAAAATGTACGAATCCATCTATTCAACGACAGAGGGTTAGAATTGAGTATAGAAGTCAAGATAGGGTGATCGATGGGTCTGATACAGAAGCAAATGAATACCAGTTAACCATGATGAGAAATGATCCTAATGATACAGAAACCCTTTAGTTACACCTCTATATATTCATTTACAACATCGGTTCTACTCTTTTAGAAAAAACTCTATATGTTTGTAAAGTATACACAGTAAGCAAAATAGCTTCTTCGCCAAACATCTTTATCCGTCTCCAGTTTTAGAAATAGTTTTCCAGAGGGTATAACAATTCCGAGAAATTGGAAGGCTCAGAATTGTGCTACATAGTTGAAGGTAGTTGATAAGTAACTTTGTTTGATTTTGATTTAATAGCTAGTTGGTATTAGTCAGTAAAGCGTTCCAGAAATTATTAAGAGAATTAGTCACTACTCAGCTTCATAGTATGAAACCTTACCACTGAGCTATTCGAGCTGTAAATGACCTCCTGAAAAACTGAGATATTTACAGTTAAGTGACCACCGAGTAGTGACCGATGTCATGTTTGTCAGGTGCTTTAGTGCTGATCGATCAAGAAATTCAGAAATGTATTAATCATCTAGACGACAAATATTCCAGACTTTTATTCATATAAGAAATAAAACAAAAATGAGTTATGTTTTATTACACGTAGTATAAAATTCTTGAAAACGTTATAAAGAGAACCGACATACCCCACAAAGACATAACCACAGCAAATAAAACAGTCCCTTCATGATCCACTAATCGCATTAACTTAGTACGTAAACAAGATCTGTCCAGAGTCCAAAATTTGCATTTAGATGATTTACATAATGGACACATATATATGTTGTGACCAAGATCACATACTTCATGGCTTGAAAACAATATCGATATTAACAAAAAAAAAGCTGAGTTGTAGGAACCATACAATAAAAAAGAGAAGTGTTTTGACTAATAAAATGAATTAATGAAAATATTATATATGAATTAATTAAAGGCAATAATTCGGATGTGCTTAATGAACATACGTGAATGGAGTATAGGGGAGAGGTGCTTGAAATCTGATAACAGAAGTCTTCTTTCAGTCAATTTATGTAACTTATTAACTAGATACAGTTTAATTTACTCAGCTTTGAAGTATACCAACTATGGGATGGCTATAGTGGTGAGAACCAACGTAACATGGAGTGAAGTTTAAAAAATTGTAATGTATTGAATAAAATTTGAACAATTTCACCAGTAAATCACTGATTCTTTAACTTAAAATCACCATGGTGAGTCATAGTATCCATATGAGATGAAAGCTTGATTTCCATGATTTAAAAAACAAATATTTAACGATCAAGAAAACATTTTTGTTTTACTGAAAACTGTATACGTTAAAATAGGTAAATAGAGTTTGTTGAGTTCTTCAATATAAAAAGACATTCGTAAATTCACATTATCGACATCAATTATTGAGTTAGGCTTCATTTAATAGCTATAACAAATGTTTTATAATTCGAGGTGTATTTGTTTAGGTTTTAGTGTTTAGAAATGTTATGACGGGTGTGACTGCAGGTTTTGATAAGCAGCGTTTATTGATCGATTCGGTGACAGTGTAAACACGAACGAACGGCCTACAGTTCTGATTGGTCCTGCTTCCCTGTCCAGCCCAGCCAGTTGAGTCCAGAACACAAGCCACAGCCTCTGAGATATGAATCATTATATTTCAAACATACTTTGTTTATATACCAATCAAGCATACCACATCGTACCATAAAATAGAAAACAACATTTTGTACAATACTCAACAAGTGAACAGATATCGACCAAGAAGAAATGTCCATTTAAAGTCCAAGGACACCATTGGACTTAACATGATAATTATTGGTCTATTCCTCCGCATCCACAACAAGAAAGATAGACATTTCAAATATTGATAAGATTAAAACATTGGTCAAATCTATTTTAATCCGGGAATTATAATACACTATGTAAAAAAGAACCCAGCTGAAAAGGACAACTAACTTATTGTAAATGTATAACATTTCACTAAAATTTCTTCAGGTAAATAGTCAAAAGTCAGAATTATTGAATATAGATAAATTTACAAAGTAACAACATACTAAACGATTATTCAACCATGTTTAATATTGTTATATATTAATGTCTAGTGTGTGAAATTGAGTCGTCTAATGTGAAATATATTCAATTCGTAGTAATTAATAGAGAAATCTACGTACATTTATGAAAATTTGTATTTGAAAACAAAACAAATGACCATATATAAGTAGTAAGCTATAGTTGGGATTCAATAATTCATTCTAGTTGTTAGCCGTATATTAAACTTATCAGGACACATAGATTGCCAATAAATAAATGGTTTAATTCTTGTGTTGCTATGTTGACATTTTTATAAAACAATGTTTTTTTTTTAAAAAAGTAATATGTATAAAATATTTTGACCTTTACAAGTGCACGAAACAATTTTGATCACGATTGTGAAAGCAACGACACAAAGAAAAAAGTAACGAATGAAAATATTCATTAATGACATTAATATTAAAACATTTCCGATAAGATTAATCAGGCGTCGAATATTCAATCATTGAAACCAGCTAGTTAGTAATTCACAACGTAGAACCTGGCGCATGTATACATTAGTTCGAGCTCTTACACCAAATTAGCTTAGCAAGATAAAAAGTATCAAGAAAAACCCCACAGTATAAGTGGTAACAGCAGTAGTGGGAGTAATAGCAGAAAATATTAACCGCTCAAAAGATATACATGAATATGAATTATACAGTCTATGGTATACAGACATTTACCAAAGGCTCTGGGTTCGATTCCCATTTGCAGGGTCGTGGGTATGCACTGCTAAAAAACTCCGCACTACGACGAAATGGTCATCTAATGATCTCACTTTCACAATAATTATAAAACTTAAATCGGTTCTTCATTTAAATAAGGTAACTATCTTTCTTCAAATGTTCTCATAAGGTAGGAATACAAATGTTATGTCATCCTGAAAATAGAATCTTAAGTAATGAAAGCTTTCATTTATTCAAACGTTTATACATTTGAATATTATCGGTTATCTAATTTGAAATTTACATAAAATCACACCACTGCGACCTGCTGGAATATATACGTCACCTGTTCTTGTCATCTAGATATTTGAACAACTTATCTGGTTCTTCGTTTCTTTTAACACATCATTACGTCTATTAACAGTGTAACTTATTCAGGTGAGTTTATGAAACGTTTACAACCTTTTACTCTACAACGTTCGAAAAACGCACAATCAAACACATCGTGGTGGCTGGCAATACACATTGAAAACAATCAATATTATCCAGATGTCGATTCCTGAACAACTAACATCTAACTGGCGATCAATCAATATTCATCGTCACGATCGATAAAGATATGAGGAAAGGAAACTTATCGCAATAATTTTTGCGGAGAATTCATTATTGTACCAAAATTATAATACTGGATAAAGCCATTAACAATAATAATAATCTCTGACTATTATGAGGTGAATAAAAGGTACAATCACTGATAGCTAATAATGGTCCAACAAATTAATTTTTTCTGCAATTACGATACACAGTTCTTCGATATATATATATATATATATATATATATATAAACATGCACAGACGTCGATTTACGTGAAAACATCTAAAACCAAGTTATTGATTAATCTGCAGATAACATATGCACTATTTCATTGATTACTTTTCATATTGTAATTCTTTGAAAAAATTACTTCCAAACAAGTTAGTGATTTTTAATTAGTGAAAAGAAGTTTCTGATAAAGAGAAAATGAATATTTGATAGCTTTATCCTATGATTTGTTCAATAATTAATTTTACTTATTTAAACTCGTAAACATTGGTAAAAGGAGTCAACAAATATATAAGCGCCTCACAGACCATTTGATTACTGTGGGGGTTGGTAAACTGACCGGGAGCTCAAACCGAAGCACGTGGTTTTCTTACGAAGCCACTAACCTACCCTTTAACATAGACACCTAATCTACAAGGCAGTGGAGCAATGTAAGGAGATGTAGTCCCATGATGGTAACCAGTGAACAACCATTGGTTCCTAAGCTGTTTGTTTTCTTAGGATCATGGGACCCATGTGCACAATTGGTTTGGAATGAGGGTTTTCTAACTCCTCTAGATGAATCCTCCATATCCACCAAACCGATCAAGGAGCCAAATATTCGTTTTTCGTCCTCTCAATTTTGTAAAAAAAACACCCTGAAAACGAGGAGACAGCGAATAGGACTTCCCTTGCAGTGGTTGTATACACGTGGTTCTGTGAGAGTATTTCGAGAGGGATATCCAACTTTCCTCACTCTCGGCTGTACCAGGGCATTTGAGGGGTGATTTGTTCAATAAACGAGTTATTTTCTGGTGTTAATGTATTTGCTTTCGAACCAAATTCTATGTACAACAGTTTATGATACTATGCGGATGTGCAAATAGAAATAGATGGAGCTGGACTCGAAATTGATACCTGATGACTGAAAGCCGAACATCTTAACCAATACGCTTTTGTTTCATCTCACTAGGTGTCAAGAGTCCTAGTGAAGATTGTTCTTAAAGAAAAATTCATAACTTATGTTTTTCGATTCTCTCATCATTGACTTACAATTCGTAATAGACCAAAAAGAGTTATCAGACAGTAGTCAATAATCATTTAAGTAGTAGAGGGAAGTGATAAATGCATTAAATGAACTAGTAATTTACAGGTTTGGATCCGCCTCTATCTACTTCACTTTCGGAAGCTTAATGAATTAGTTCTTAGTCAACACAAACGATTTCAAAAAAGTCGAACACATGAACATATATTCGGTACATAAGTCATTATTTATATTGATTATATTTTCAAATGGTAGTGTTGAGACACTAGTTCATTGAAAGATAGATTATATTAGGTAGAAAAACAGTAAACAATAATCCATTTCATTCAAATTTGAACAACCATGATAAGTAAACCAGAAAAAGGATAAATCTATCAAAAGTGAAAATGACACCAAAAGGTATCATGATTCGGCTGGACATTGTGTGTTGAAATCAAGTTTATTGAAAATAATCTGGTTAGATATTTTTGTTGGTGAATAAAATTCACAAAATAAAAACAAGGGTTTTTTTCGACAAATTCACAATGAACACCATATCAACAAACAATAAATAAACATTCTGATAGTACATGGATGTATATATATATATATATTTATATATAAAAGGTTTGAATAATTTTTTCTGGTTAGCGTTTTTTTAGCGAGTTAGTTTTCTACGGGATGGGGACGCTAACCCCATGCCCAACCCTCCTCCTTTATCCGGGCTTGGGACCGGCAGTAGCCCCCTGAGGGACTCCAGGCGGAAACCTGGAGAACTACAAAAGCCATCATCCAGAAAATACAGGTGTTTATTAACAATTGTCTACGCAAAATACTTCAGATCCATTGGCCGGACACTATTAGCAACAACGTACTGTGGGAGAGAACAAACCAGATCCCAGTGGAGGAAGAAATCAGGAAGAAGCGCTGGAAGTGGATAGAACACACATTGAGGAAAGCATCCAACTGTGTCACAAGACAAGCCCTCACATGGAATCCTCAAGGCCAAAGGAGAAGAGGAAGACCAAAGAACACATTACGCCGGGAAATGGAGATGGACATGAGAAAAATGAACAAGAATTGGATGGAACTAGAAAAGAAGGCCCAGGATAGAGTGGGTTGGAGAATGCTGGTCAGCGGCCTATGCTCCATTGGGAGTAACAGGTGTAAGTAAGTAAGTAATTTATATATAAATCCAAACTATGGCAGTTAAAATATTATCTTTTTGTGAAAATGTCTTAAAAACAACAATATACAATTTATAGAACTTACATAATCGAGTCGGATTTTAAATCCAATAAACCGAAAAGAAAAACAAGAATTCCAAATATTGCAATTGGTAAAAGCCAAGCTGTGTAGAAACCAAGCCAAGCAAAATAAAAAGCCACAGCTTCACCGAAATAATATCTAATTTAAATTATAAGATGGAAAAAAGCTTTTAAATTACTGTGTGAAATATAAATCTAGTTTTAGGACAACAGTATTTGTGGTGATTGTACAATTGTAATGGTTTAAGTCACGAACAGATCTTAGCTAAACCACCAATAAGAACATGGAAGCACTTCTCGGCATTTTGTCTCAGTATGAGATTCCTCATCAATGCCCATCCATAAACCTGTACGCAGGAATCGAACACAAGACCTTTAATCTCATGCGTTAACACTGAGCGAGGATCCAGTAGTGTACTTGTATAACTAGTCAATTTACAACGCTATCCGACCTTTATCCATTACTTGGAGTGTATAACTTGCCCAATGTGACTGAATTCCATTGTTCACGGCTTCTCACTAGAATTCCAGGATTCTCATCTTGTCACCAGTGAGTACAATATTATCAGTATAGGGAGATTTGTGAATACTGTAGAATTTTCAGTCTGAATCATTAAATAACCTTATCTTCACTATCATCAAAAACTTGTAATCGATTGGAGCTAGATACGTATTCTATTGCATGCTGGCTCAATGCTTTATAGAACAAGCTTTCACTCGCGAGGTTGAGGGTCTTCGGTTCGATTTCTGGGTACAGGTTTATGGATGAGCACTGATGAGGAATCTCATACTGGGATAGAACGGCTGTTCAGTGCTTCCAGCTTCTCAATAGTGGTTAAGCTAAAGTATGTTCGCTATTTAAGTTATAATAAGTCTATTATTCTTATGACATTATATTATGAAGTGTCAATTCTTTCTGAATTCTTGTCTGACGGATAGACTTGTCCTGATTTACTTAAACGGCTCGCTGAGTAATCGATTACCTTTCAAATAATAAACACAGTAGGACGACTATATAGAGTATTTGAATATTCATGTCCGAATAAATTCTTAGTTTATGAATGAAAATGTATCACAAAAAAGTACAGAGTAAGCAACTTAAGATCCAGTTCTTTACACAATCAAGGAGTTTAAACAATCACTATATAAATAGAAGCTTGAATAACTCACAATTCACCTGATGTACAATATTAACCCATGGATAGATAGATACTGTTGACCTTACCAATGTATCTAAAATAATTTCCAGTGAGGATATTGCTTTTTTTAATTTTTATTAGGATTTCATTCAGAAAACTTTGTAATATTTTACGTACATAGGTCTATTGTTTAGCTAAAATCATATACATATCGTCATTTATGCGCATGAATCTTTGCTAAATATGCGAAGAGGGGATAAAATGCATGATCATATTTTAATTAAGTGTTATATTTAATAAAACATTCTTTTGTATTAATTTGGTATTATATATTCTCACAACGGGGATTCGTGAAGATTGGAGTATGTCCACATTTGAATTTACGAGTTGGTCTAAGCTCGATCACTAATGAAAACCTGGAAGCACCGGATGACCATTTCATCCTAGTATGGGACTCCTCTGTAGAGCTTATTCATGATCCCGCACGCGGATTTCGAACCCAGGATTTTCGATCGCGTGAGCGAACTCTTAACCTCTAGACCACTTACTTAAGCTGCACTCTAAAATACTTCTAGATATTGATGATCACAATCTGGTATAGAATTATTTAGAGTTGCCTGTTTAATATTCGGTAAAAAAAGCCCTACTTATTTGCCCAAATGAATTTTGCAGCCAATGGCACACTGAAGTGTACGACAAAAAGACATTCATTCTAGTAAAACAGTCATTAAGCATTTATAGGACCCATAAGAAAACTGTTGTCAAATGCAAAACACAATAAAAATGACTGACGGACTATTTAAAAATTAGGAGAAACATTCTCATGATATCAAGCAATATTATATCCTGAAAATGTAAAGACCTGTTTTGCATTTCAAAAAATCATCCAAACACTTACCGAATATAACTGATAGGTTGGCATTTAAATAACATTTTATATGAAGCCCAATAACGTTGAAGTAAGATTCGATTATTGAATTCGGTCGGCGCCAGAGTATTACCAGCAGGCTGTAAGTAATGTGACAGATAACTAGACTAAAATGAGTTTTTTTTCAGCGAATAAATACTTAACTGATTGAATTTTGAAAAATGACTTGTTGAATGTTATATCCTAGTGAAGATTAAATTACGGGTAACTTCTGAGACCTATAAATGGACTAATATTATATATTATACTTAATGTATAACTTTACAGTAGCTAGATTGTGTATATCTATATTCCTCTTATTATAAGCTTTATTTTGACCTATAGATCAAAATTAAGCGATTTGCTGTTCTTAAGTTCTGTTCAGTTTATTGATTACAGTCTCTCATGTTCACAGGCACTTTTGGCTTGGTTTTTTAAAAATGTTATTTCCTATTATATCCTAAAATATGGTAGTTTATCACGAGAATGACCTGGCGCAATTTTAGAATAAATAGATTATGGCTAGTACTGGAGTCCAATACAAGCATTCCGTCCTGCTTGGGACTTGTCGGATGAATAAGCTTGCAGCTCAGTGTTGATATTCACATTGGAGCTAGAAAAGAATTGTAAATATCATCACGGATAGTTCAGCGAAATATGGTAATAACAACCTAATGTAAATTTGTAATGAACTTAGAGAGCTTACATTAATAAGTCAAGATAATGACTTCAACCTTGAGAGACAGTCGTTATAGATGGACCAATGTATCAAAATTTTAGAATATTATTTGTCGGATCTTAAATTACTGACCGAGTCACACTGTGTTCCTTGCTAAATTCTGAGGCCTTGTATTCTACTCCTGTATACAAAAGTCACAGTTTCCCAATCCTGATAAATTCCCAACCTTAAACGAATTAACTATACAATACACTCGATTATATTTCAGTGTTCCATTAGTTGAAATCATCTAAAAAATTTATACAAAAAACTTTTACTTCCATGTCCTATTCAGTGAAAATAATATTTGCGAATTCTTAAAGAATGAAAACCATTAATTTAAGTAGTAAAAAACAAACTGAAATGTGTTCCCTATTAGTTTACCCAATCACCTTTATCTCAAAAAATAACACCACAATTTCTGTATTAGAAAGGATGACATTAAAGAAAAACAATAATAAATAAAAGTATTTATTTCTTTGATTTTCATTGAAATGAATTCGTTATGAAAGTAAACAATATGTACGTAGAATTTCATTGAAGATGAAAACAACGCCATAATCGTATACAATAAATCAGTAAACTGAATAACAAAAATGAAAATCATGAAGTGAATATGTAATTTGTAAGCAAATGATTGAAAACTAACAAATAAACTTGATGGCTGAGATTATCAGTCAAACTTTCAATGTTCAAGTATTGTGAGTTATATTGAGCACTTGCAGTGGTTAACCCAATGGCAAGCCCATACAGATTAATTTATTCATTCTTCTTGAGTCAATTTTGACCATGTCGATTATTCGTCTCTCTTTGCCTTAATTTGATCTGACTATAAATAACGATTCACACTTGGTTAAAGAGATTAGGTTCACACGCCCTCTCCACCGCATGTCATTTTGTTTCGCCCTCTTCTCTTCGGTTCGCCCCTCTATCTTTCTAGGTTAATGAGTGTACGAAATATACGTATTCAAAAATTCATTCTCATATTTGACTTATTTAATTCTTTATTCACTGACGCGACCAAAGTCGATGATAATAAACGAGTGACAATAGGTATATTTCAATAACAATCATAATACTATTTAAAGGGAGTCAGATATAGGGCCACTAAAAACTTTCGATGTTTTTTTCGTCTAATAATTGGGTTGTTATTGCATATCAGAGTGAAATTCTCACCATAGATTTCATTTCAAAATTTAACTTTCAACTTATTTGTGTTGTTTTTATTCTATAGTTTGAGTTGCGCTACACTGACATGTTTGTAACGTATAGTCACGAATAACTCCAGACTCTTTAAATGAAACTTTCAATAAGAACTACAATACATAGTACCCACCTACGAAATGAACGAGAAAATGGCCGACAGTACTGAACATAATACATAATACTTGAACACTGAGAACATGATGAATAATCTCAAACTAAAATGAAATGTGTTTTCATTGAAAACATAAAATTATGGTACAAAATAAGATGAAGATCAACAACTAAACACCAAATTATACATACACACATACACAGTAAGATAAACAAAGCTTCAACATATCAAACAGTTAGTGAGTGAGTATACTAACACAAATAAGGTTATAACATCAATTATTTTACATATAACTGATAAGCAACCTAAACAAAAAATGGATGACCTAAGAAAAATAGGTTAAAAAGTGTTCGATACATAGAATATCAATACTCGAGCCATTAATGGGTAAATGATAATGTTTTAGGCATTAGTTTGAAGTCACCATTTACAATTATACTATTAAGAGAGTTCGTTGGGGTTTAACTAACTTCATGTTGTTAAACCCTAAGTGAATGCTTTTTCTTCATGTTATGATTGGAAGTAGTGTATTTTGGAACTAGTAGACAATCGTTAGGAAGATGAACTTAGAATCTTCAGAGAACTGATATTTCTTCAAAGATCCAAACCTACATCAGTCGGTGTTGGTAGAATTTGATCAACAGTAACGAGATAAAATGACATCGTTATCTATTCAGTGAAGAATAAATGTTAACATGATAATATTGCAAGAGGTAATGAAGTTTGAAGACTACTTGGTTGGGGTCTGATCAATTACGAATCATAACTGTATCATACGTAAACACAAGCTAAAGAAAAAAGCAGACATCAAAGTGTACTCAAGTATTGAATAAGTCCTGAATGTCATTTGGGTTAGCTTAGCGACCTTATTAACATATTATTTCACAGAAAATTCGAAATAAGAATGTAATGTGAACCAGTGACTATGTGTTCTTATGTATGGATGTATGAATATTAGCTATTTTATTAGAGGATGAATGATGTACAAAGAATCAAAAGAGATATGAATGTATGAACCAACACGTTTGATAGTTTTTTTGTGTAAATCACTAAGCTTAGATAAATTATTTATTAGAATCAATCAAGCCAGTGTGGATGGCACAGGAACTTAGAGATGGGATTGCATAAGTTTCGCAGCACAAAAACATTTCAATTAAATTGAAGATGTGGACTACAATGAAATGAAGACATCATACTAAGACATCTGTAAGCATGGAAATTACTATACGTTGTCGAAAAGTAAAGTACTTCTACGAGAATTTCAGAAGCCTACACCTTAACTCACACTTTATAGTGGGCTGTTAGAAGCAGTCGCAAGGTTAGCGTAGCTGAGTAATTATGCAAGTGCTGGTGATTACGTGACAGATGAGGTCAGTTTAATTATAGAGGAATTCAGAGCGGCTAATGACAATTTGGGACGCCTTTAGTATAATCGTGATGTTAAATCAGCTATAAAAGGTCGAATTTACAATGTGTTGGTGAGGGTAATATTGCCCTATTCTTTTGAAACCCAGCCGAATTGGAGAATCTCAGGGTCCAATCATCGTTGTATCCGAAGGACTGTTGGAATCTGACAAATAAACCGTGTTAGAAAGGCCGGGGTTTAACAATGTGACTTTGAGAGCAGTCACGAAAGCTCAACTGATGTTGCTATACTGGTACACTGATTTAGGTAACGTGGATAGTTTTTACGAATGTTATCTAAATTGTAAATTATTTCTCCGCGCTAGGGCTGGGTGGTAGAAAGCAGAGGTTGTCATTTTATAATAGATAATCGTGGAATAAAAGAGAACTATAAAGGATTGGAGGCATCTGTCGGTCCAACATGACTTCCTGGTTGGAATCCTAGCAATCATGCAACTCAGTTGCTTAATATATTATCAGACATTATTCTAAACAGAAGGCTATGGCGATGCTATTACAGTTTTGAGTTACACTGTATCGAAAAATGAGAAAAATTCCCTTTACATGAAAAAATCCATTTTGGCTATATGTACTCTGTTACCCCTTCTTAATTTCTTCTTCTGTATTTTGTGTGGTACACACTATTAAAAGTACACAGCTGCACCAGGTATTACGTATTAAACAAATCATAAGATATAAATGTTCAATAGTTTATTCAATAATGAGGTTGTAAGAAAATATTGCTGAAGCGTTTCAAACTAGGAACAGATTATACATATCAAGTTCATGGTTTTGACAGTTCACTATGTTGTATCAGTTCATGATATAAATCATCTTCAATGACTTATCATTATATTTTTATATAAAGCGAATTACACAACAAATTGAATGTGATTACACATATAAAACAATAAATACATCCAATAAGAAAAACAAATTTGTTTGAAACATCATTTACAATAACCATGTTCCATATAGTCCTTGATAATGTGTAATTGTGATATTACAACATATATAAGTAATCATGAAAAATGTGTAAACAAAATAGTGTACACCATTTTGTGAGGAGGAGGAGGAAGAGTAGGAGGAGAAAGAATTTTAAAAGAAGAACAAATTAAAAATACTAATTTGATGAAAAGATATAATGTGATAAATAAGCAAACATATAAACAGATAAGCATATATAATTTAGACACAGATCTACTTACCCCATAACAACTGGGAGATATTGTTTTTTGTTGTAAAGTTATTAATGATAACTTTTCAGTTGGCTAATTTCATAGCACAGAAAATTTATACGCGTGTATAGTTTAATGTTAACAGAAGGTACATAACAAAATTTTACACTTAAATTATTATGAACTATGAAAGGCATAAAGTGTGATAGAATAGTTGTTGAGTGATTTAAACACTTGATTTTTTGGTTACAGTAACCTTAATTTAAAAAATCACTATATCTACTTCAATTCAATCAACTGGGTAGTGGTAATAGAGTAGTAGTAAAACTATCCAACAAATAAACAGTATGACGCGAAATCAGGTATATTCACCTACAGTTGGTCAGTGAATTGTATCAAATGAAAAATTAAATATATAGATTTAACTGTCACACTATAACAACAGTGATGTGAAATTATCAAGATAAATGCCAGAATATAAAAAGTAGTGACAGTATCAGTGGTAGTGGGAAACATTAGGAAATAGATAACACGATTCAATAAAAAAGCCATATTAAAAAGTGGAAGATAATTTTCAAACTCGACATCTAAAGGATAATAAGGAGTGAACGCATCTACGCCATTGTGGTCAATTCTAAACCATATAATCTAGCACTAGTATCAGCCACTGGTTACGATGATCGCGAAAACCCCAATTTTATAGTCTTCATTTGCTAGCATAGCTTCATTCAACAATTTATACCGCCAAATGCCCTGGTACAGCCAAGGGTAAGATAAATCCTACCACCCATGCAAAATGTTTTCGTACTGTCATTTATTTATAGTCACTGGAAACGAAGTCCTATTTAGTACTTTCATGTGGTGAGGTTGTCATTTAAGAAAATAGAATGACAAGAAGCGAACGTCCGGCGCTTAAGTAGGGTCGGTGGATAAAAATGGTCCATCTACGAGAATCGGAAAGTTCTGATTCCAAACAAACGAAATAAATGGGCTCAATGATCCTATAGAAACGAATAATGTATGAACCTATTTTGATCACAGGCTACCGTGAAACGATATCTCCTAACGTTATTTCACTGTCTTGTGGGTTAGGCCTTTAGATCCAGAGCCTGGAAAATATCTCAGTACATACATAAATAATATTTCTTTGGTGCCCAATTGCACCAACTGTTATATTAATTAAGGAAACGCCTAAATCCTGAGCTTATATCAAGTTTTTTTCAACCTACTAATTCCTGTACCAGTAAATATCACAAGTTGTACCTCGAAGCAAATGCTGAAGTAGATGGATTCGCTCGATTTTTATTTTCACAGGAATAATACATTGATATCAAAGAACAATGAGACATTATTAGTAACATAATGATGAAATAATTTTATTTGGCAAAAAGGCGAACAAAATTGCAAGAAGATGAAGATGTTTTAAACACGATAAGTATTCATCACTAATAGCTACTATATTATTGAATACGAAATAGTATACAACGACTAGAGTTATTCACACTGATATCATGATAATTAAGCAAGACTGATAGAAAGTGTTCAACAGTGAAACTATGAATTAATTCAACATGATAATCATTCACTTGAACATTCCATTGCAAATTGGTGATTGGAAGTAGTCGGGAAGAAACTGTGGATATAGGTTTCGTGCTACTTGGCAATCGTCAACAATCTTTAACAATAAACTATCTCTATAACTGTTGTTCACACGTTTAAATAAATCCATAATTCTACTAGATTTAGCCTGCAATAAATACTAAATTAACGGGATACTATTTATTGGAGTCACATATAGGGGAAATTAGCCTCTACACAATCAAAATGGTTATCGATTCACGTATTATCAGTAAAAAAAATCTGTTTTGATGAGAAATAAAAACTACATCGGTTATACTGAAGCCGGAATTTAATTCATATAATAAATTACCATGGTGGTCGTGTATAATGATAAAGAGTCCGACCCTAGGACGAAACAGTTATCCAATGCCTCCTAATTTTCAATAGTTTCTTACCTATAATCAATCTGTCTTAGTTAAAGGCTATTACCAATTAGTCTAATGACTGAATAGCTCGATTTTCAACGAATGAGTTGAGAGTTTAAACTGAGATCTACTTACTTTAGTTTTTTTTAAAAACTTGATAGTATTGCTAATTCTAACTCAAACGACATGGATCAAAGCTGACAAAAATAAACTGTTACAATTTGTAAATGAGTTCGACTTGAAATCATATTTCATTTCATTTTATTTTATTCACCAAGTATTCATCAACGGACATACATGTTTTCAAAATCGAACAAAAATACACATAGTAAATGAAACCAGTCTAATAAGCCCTTCGATTCAAAAAAATAATAATTAACCATCAATTACAATCTCGGCTGACTTATGGAGGATTATAATTGAGAAAAAAAACATTAAAGAAAGAACATTTTGTATTGGTTGTTTGGATCTTCTAACTGATGTTTAGGAGTGTAATCGACAAGTCTCTTATTAGTATATGTGCATTCTGTGCGAATTACCTTGATATTACCTTAAGTCATAAGCATTGTAAGCAGAGATGAATGATGGCTAGATGTGGAATCCAGGTCGAATCCTAAAAACGATGAAACACGCGTCCTGGATTCCATTGCTAGCAACTATCTAATTCTACTTATTAAAAAACGATTTTTCAGGAACACCAACTTCATCATAGAACAAACAAAAAATGAGAAACCTAAATGTTTCATGCAGCCCGAAAACGATTTCCAGTACAAGATAGTAATTATTCATTTCAAAAATAGAATGTCATAGAATCATCAGTTTATAATATATTACTTTGAATTGTTTTACTGATATCAAGACATATGAAAATTTTTCTAATTATCTTAGACATTTACAACATTATTGTTTGAAAATCTTGATGACATCTTTGTTGTAAGAAAGCTAACAATACGTATTCATTAGTATAGGGTTGTAGAGATTGTTGAGTTTCAAGTGAGATCATGGACCAGTCAACGTTTTTTGAGCGTGACCGAGGATCCTGGATTTGAATCCCGAGTCCGAGGTCGTGAATGAACAACGATAAGTAGTCCCATGCTAGAGTGAAACGGCTGTCCAATGCTACTAGGTTTTTAAGGGTAGTCTAATATTGATCAGTTCATGATCACAATTTAAATACTTAACCAGTTGGCGTGCCACTAAAAATCTATTGATACATTATTGATTTTAAAGTCTCTACATTGTACACACAGAACCTGAAAGCGGTTATAATTAGTAAAAATAATCATAATATATTTTTCCTATAAAATAGTTTTCTTTAAATAAATAATTCTTTTGTTTTACCTCATGTAATGGATAAGCAGCTGAGAAAATTCCATCCGAAATCAGTTTAGTTATGCCTAGATTTTTTGTTGCCATTACATACAATGAATTAGCTTGATTCGATGATCCCGAGTTTTCATCTGCGAGGTCATGACTTGTTACAATATCACCTATTTATGTGTTTAACAGAAATGAAAAACAGATAAGTACATAAATAGTTAAAATAACTAATGTCATATCTGGCACTGTTGGGCATTTTATCTAATTCATCTGTTAGCCTTGGATATAAGAATGTAATTTTCACTGTGAACTTCATTTTAATCACCTAAGACTATTTAGATATATTGATCTATGAACAGGGCACTGTAGCACATCCCAACTTTCGGAATGAAGAAAGCAAATGAAATGAAAGTTACAGATTAAAATGAAATCCCCAGCAGAAACTATGCTCTTATATGCAACATTCACTTATTAGATAAACAGAAAAATGCTAGATTATGTACACATATTGAACATTGAGAAGCAGATACATTACAGATTCACGGACACATATCCGAACCACTGACAAACAAGCAAACAGGCAAATGGTTACAGATATCTTGGTATACTCAAAGGTTATTTTCTTTAACGCAACTTATGACATTTTTTCAGTTAAGATTGGATTTAGAGAAGTGGCAACTGAATACTAATCCAACTATATGCTATATCAAACAAACAATTACAGTTGACTGTCAACCAATTTTTAGTTCAATGCCAAGTGTTTAATATTTAAACGATAGTTTGTATTGAATCAAAAGGAAAGTAAATACTGTCTCCTTTTACTTGCATTAACTAACCAATACATTCATTGAAGTTCAGGAGATGTAAAAAGAAGTGAACAACGAAGAATCATTGAATAGTTAAAGTATTCACATTTTATAATCAGAAAGGGGTTTTGTGGACATTATATTAATTTAATAGTTGAATTCATGAGTCAATTAAAGCTGGACCACCATGGAAAACGTAGAAGCACTGAAAATTTTAATTATTAGGTTAATGATCGTGAAATACCATCCGTATTGGTTGAGGAAAGAACAGGTAAGAATGAATAAGAGATCCATTACCGTTCATATGGTGGACACCGGACATCAAGTTGAGTTGAACAAAGCTTTTAAGATTGTTCGGTATGTTCCATCACATTCACCACATAGTTTACAACTTCATCTGTTGCATATTGTTGAGGCTATTGAAATCTATATTTATAAACCTAACCTTTTCATCCAAAAGAAGTTTATACAATAACTTTTCTAGCTTGGCAATCGGTATAGAAATGAGTTTTTGGCTAAACTTAAATTAAACCCCTTCTTTTAAAGATATTCAAACAATTTTTAAATTTCTTCCACATCCGTATTTTTACATATTCTCAACATTCGTCTCTTGATTCTTACATCACAACTGTAATACTGGCCTTCCATCGATGTTTTTTTATATATTATGTAATGTAGAAACTGTTTAGTTTTCTCGAGCAGTTACTCTTATTGGACTGGTAGGTCCTGGGTTCGAACCTCGCGGGGGGCAGGATCATAGATGCGCACTGCTGAGGAGTCCCATACTAGGACGAAGGGGCCGTCCAGTGCTTCCAGGTTTTCCATTGTAGTCTAGCTTCAATTGACTAATGATTTCAACTACTGAAATTTTTAAGATCCCCACAAAACCCCTTCTGATACTCTTATCATTATAATCCTCTTTCATCTAATTACTCAATATTATTTTATAGTCACTGTGACATCGTATGGTGATTATGTAACCCAACTACTTAATGAGTATATATATGAAAAACTAATTAAAGAGAAATTCCTTCGCTGTATTCGTTCTTTCTACTAATCTATATCATTTTGTACAGTAGGTAAGTGACCTAAATATTTTTTTAAAAAAAAACAGACTAAAACCAAGTACACGAAATTAATTCGCACCGATTAATGAATTCAACATAATTAAACAATGATCTTGTGTTAATTAGTATAGACAAAGATTATTATAGTTAGATACGGTTGAGAAAATTTTGATCAGTATAAAACCTCGTATAACTTGTAGCTAAAATCAAAAATATAAATGTCAGACATTTTAGTATTTTTCTTCACTTCCTACTTCATTTAGGTAACAGACTGTTTAGTGAAGAAAAAAAGTAGTTTTCTAATCAATCTTTATTTGAGAATAAAGCATATTGCATTCGATATAGAATTTAATAGTTAATAACTTCCAGAAATAGATAATTTTGTAAGCATTCAATTCTGATGCTAGCCTTATAGTCTAAATGTTAAGTGATTAGCAAAAAACCAGAAAGATCCTAGATTCAATCACGGCAGGTTCATGAATATGCCCTGATAGAGTACTTCTATACTAAGAAGCACTTCACGATACATGATATGATATTATAATAATAGTTTTATTCATTTTCTCCAGTGAGTAACTGCGTCACACCCGACACGGTTGAAGTCTACTTGTCACTCAACAATCTCCACAAACCCAAACTGAAAATTATCATGTGCTCACTAGTAACTAGTTTCGAGAAGTAATTCTCAGAGTTCTAATGAGAAGCCGTGACCAGTGGAGTATTCTTTATTAAACAACACTCGTGAAATTGGTGAAACGTTATAGTACAACAGGAAGTTTTCATCAATCCGGCAGATATTTGAATTATACAACCTTCTATTGGTTTCCTTGATGGAGATTGGATTTAAGCAAATCGAAATTGTAAAATGATGAATCAAATAGTAGTATAAATGGATATTTATAAAAGAAATGAACTTCAATCGATAACAGAAAATACTCTCCCTCTCTCTCGCATGAATATATACATATATATATTCGGAAATCTTACTAATGCTAGGTTCGTATAGATCTTCAGTATTCACTAAATCCTCTGATTTATAACCGGTACGCCGTAGAATATGATCTAAGACAAGAGCTCGTTCAACTGCAGTGAAAAATTCATCTTTATTTTCTGGTATATCAAATCTATAAATAAATGATAAAACATAACGATATATATATATATATATATATATATATATAAGAAGTGACCTATATGAGAATAATGATAATGATAAAAGAATGACAACCCATCCTATAGATTTATATAGAATACATGTATTGTAACTAGCATCGGAATCCAGCTCTGCTCTATACAGCTTGTGACAAAAAGGCTACATTAAATTAACTGGTACAAGGTGTATATATCCCAACAAAGGTTGGTAAAAATTCAATCCTGAATATCAATCGGATAATTCAAACACTAAACTTTGGAAACAACAGTTTGAAAGAACAAATTGCATCGAACTCAAGAAAGGAAAATAAGTAATTTAACCACTGCAACATTTTAGCCAGCTGTTCACTACGTTATTCACTATCTATAAACTTCGATAAAGATCATTACGTGACCTCCAACAAAGAAGTCTAGATCTACCGATATAGATCACATCAACAATAAATGGCTTTATAAATTGATGATAAGTCATGATCTGTAAGTGCTAACGCTTTACTCAACATACTCATATGTCAGCCACTGTTGCACACGAAAATATGAGGTTGTTATGCATGCTTAACATACGTCCTAACTCCCACAGTCGATGAGGGTTTATCGCCTCACCAAGAAAATATTTACCATAAAACATATTCATACATCTTAGACTGATATTACTTAATCTAACTATCTAACATGAAATAAATAGAAAGGACCAAAAACAATCAAGATTAAATTGTCTACCTCATAGACCGATTTAAGTGATACAACCATTAAGAACCAAGAAATACTGGAGAGCGGTTTCGCCGTAGTATAGGCCGAGCAGTCTAAATATTTGGCTTTCACTGCGAGAACTAAGCGTCCTGGATTATAAGCAGAGATGATGACGACAAGCAGCGAAATATAGGACACGCGTTTCGATCGTTTTGGGACTCGTCAGTTGGATGTACCAGCATAACAGAGTTGATGTTCACTACGGGACTCCAACCCAGTAACTTTCGCTTCAAACGCCATCGCGTTATCCACTTACATACTCAGTCCTGATAGCTAAAAGCTTGTGCAATCAGGTGAAGTTTAATCCATTTTTGTATTGATTGTTCGAATCTTCTCACTGATGTTTAGGATTGCAATTGATTAGTTTCTTATTGGCATATGTGCTTCCTATGCGAATTGCCTTAAATCATAATCGCTGCTTATAATGTTTGTGACTTAAGGAAATATCAAGAAAATATGCACAAAATGCACATATGCCAATAACAGGCTGATCAATTGTTTAAACAAACAATACAAAAATGAATTAAATATCCTGGACTCGATTCTCGGTGAGATCGTGGAAACGCACTATTCATAAGTCCCAAACTAGGACTAAACAGATGTTCAGTACTTACTTGTTTTCAATGATTGTCTAACTAAAATCATTGGGTGTTGCAAACCATGATATGCAGCAGTCGTCATAAACCTTCTGAAGTAAAAATCAATACTATTTTGCACAAACCTCATAGCACTAATAAAGTGTAACAACTTACAAGTATTGCTTATTCAGTGAAAATGGCCAAGTACAACATGAATCGATTGGTTTGATAATATTTTTGTCCGACTGTAAACATTTAAAATAATCTTTTAAAACAGAAGGTTTAGGTGGTCGGTTCTCCAGCTAATTAGAAAATGAAAACAAAACAAAGAACTAATGAACAAATAAACGTATTTTTCTTGAAAAAAATAGGTAAACTACAGACTAATATGACAAATAAATAGTGACCAGTAATGGAATTCAGGATGTCTATTCCGTCCTAATTAGGACCCATCAGCCCGATGTGCCTGAATTCTAGTCAATATTCTCGTTGGGACTGAAATCCAATACTAGAAGGCATTACAATAATTAGAATTTTGACATGGGAAACAAAGCATGAAATTTATTTACGGAAGATACAAATAGAGGATAAAACCATATTACTTTTGGTCTGTCATCTGTACGTTAGAATTATGTATTACAAAGATTGGAGACTGATAAGCGGTCTTCTAAATTACAGGAATAAAGCTCAGTGTATAAAATAATCGCATTTGAGGTGACAAGTGCTAGGTTCGAATTTCAGTGGGAATAATAACACTGGGATGCAGGCATGTCCAGCTGACGAATTAGAAATAGGACAAGGCGAGTGTTCCGGTTTTCACTGATATCCATTATCCAGCCTTATCAAAGTTTTAAATATTAGTTCAAATGATCCTCTACTCACAGCAGTTAGAACAGAAATGTTTTTATAGTAGACGAAAGAAAAGTCGTAAACGATTTAGGCTAATAGGTATGATTCAGACAACAATCGAGTAGCAGCATGTTGTTATTCTTCATAAACCATACGATGTAATTAGGCCAACTATGAAGCCCTTCTTGATTATATTTACACTTCGGGAAGATCCTTTAAAATATTTGTGTTGTTACTATAATATATGTTTGACTATGAATATACTCCCAACAATAAACTCACAATTCCTGTTACTGTATCCATCACATGGTTGATAGATCATGCAAACTACAACATCCCTACACAGCTGAGTTGGAACGCCAGAAATTCAGATAACTAGTTACAAGTACGTATGTTATTCAGATTTATAACTCAGTTTTTCCAAAGTACATGACCGAGACGCAAAATAATTTTAAAACAATGTTGACTGATCTGTGATGTATGAACGGTAAAAGGCACATCATCAGTAAATGAGTTATAAGACGGTTCATAAGTTGAGTTATACGACTATTTATTAAATACTTATTAAAATATATCTATAGCTCTTACTAAATTTTTCTGAATCACCCCTCCCTCTTTATTTCTCAACAATGTAGTCATTTGTTTGTGTAAAGTATATTTTTTGGTTCCTTATTGCAACATGATGCAGGGGAGGTATAATAATATTCAAAACTTACATACTATTAACAGTAAAGCCATAGGAAGAAGCAAGAATTTTAATCAAACTACCGTTCTTGATGAGGTATTTACTAGATTTTTATTAAATAAGAAATAAACTCTAGTATACTGAACCAAAACTATATTCTTCAAATAAAATGTGACCATGATAAAATAACCTTACTGTGAAAAGGGTTTTGGCGCGTCATAATTATACACAACACTGAAAAATTGAAGAACGCAGAAACCTAGCATAAATTATATACTCTAAGCTAGTGAGATTTTCCTATGATTTGAAGGCTGAACATGATACCTTCATGTTAAGATCTTGAGGAAGCCTTTAAAGTCAACAGCTCATAAATCAGACTACAATTTAATCACTGAACGATCCTATAATAAAAATTTAGAAGTGTATGACTTCCGTCCAAATGACAGACAGTTGACTTATCAATAAGTTCTACTCGGATGGTAGACTACACTGAAATTTCAGAATACATCACAATCAATAATTTGATGAAGTAAACTTGATCACTGATAATGGCGATCAAACTACACTACTTGGTATGAAAAAAATTGATAACGATTATAGACATTCATATGATACTAATTGCTAGTTGGTTACTGGTTCGCTTAAAATAAACATTTTAATTTGTGTCAGCCACATGTAAATAACGTAGGACCTGGAATAAACGTGGATCGGTTCAATTTAGCACATTCGAGTCCTAGCATAGATTGCACGTGAGAAAGAGAGGTGGAGTTAACGAAAATGGATTGGAAAGTGATAGAAGGGAATTTAGGGAAGAAATAAGAAAATAGTTAACAAACTGTGTCGTTAACTGACACTTTACGGCTGTGTTATGTTCTTCGGCCTCCAATTCAGATATACACACTTCCTATACGCTAACTCAATCAGCTATACGAGTGAGAACTGAGAAATAACCAGAAGGCTTTAATTGGCAGACTGAATGAATAGACACACATATAACTGCAATATTTACCTTTGTCCTTCTAACTCAGACAATAACATGTACGCTGAAGCCTTGACTAAGAGCACAATAGACTTCCTCCAATAACATGTCTCAACTAAAATCTCTTACTTACGCTTTGATCTAGAAATAACATGCGATTGCTGGTAAGTTATATGTCTAGCATTAATTACCCAGTCTATTGAGAAGAACACTTCGTTTTGAGGAATTCGAAGAAATTGGATTAAAAATGTGGCCCGATTAAAATGGCTCAACTGAGTTATCAAAAACAGACCTGTCCGAATAAATGTCAAGATTTAGACATGACCTGTATAGGCGCTGACGCTACACACATAAGATAGCCAAACTTGTCCAATTTAACTTATACTACGTATTTAATATAAATGATTTGCATATGTAACCAACAGTGAGAGACACTGAACCCGAAATATGCTAAATAAAATAAAGTCATCGTAGAAAGCAAAACAACAGATCAAACTGATCTATAAGTATATATAGGGGTAATTCTCAAGATATTTTACACAGTTTGTTTAATCATACAATTAGCGTGATCATTATCTCACAAATGACAGAAAAAACGCAATTGATTCAGTACATTACACAACAACTCTACATCACCGACAAAATTAACTAAACAAAAATGATTTAAAAACTCTTTTATGCTGATGAGACTGACCGACAAAACTACATTGAAATCCACAACACCAATTCAATGAAAGTAACTTCATTCATTCATTCATGTACAGAGATTTGTTGAACCCATTAAACTTTTCTCATAGTTTACTATGTGAAATCATTCAAATCGGTGAGTTAATTAAATAGACAAATTATACAGTGAAACAGAATAATAATTTAAAAAATACTACATTATAACAACACAAACGAGAATATATTGAAATCAATAAAGACATACGTAAAGAAAACGAAAAGGGATAACGAAGAAAAAAGGTCAGTAAAATGATAGTTCAAACATTAGAACAAGACAATAAACCATAAATCAGTCGGATTTTTATTTAAAAAGATAACATTCCAAATAATTATAATGATAAATGAATCCATTTCCATTCAATGTATTTATGGATCTTCATAAAGATCTAAGAGAAACTGAGTAGTTTTGAGAAAACTACAATGTTTTTCTAAAATGGTTATCAACTTTACCAAGGGAAAATAAAAACAAGGTATTGAATACACTCATCCAATGGTTTAACAATAGGTAAACACATTGAAAATATATAATATGGTCATATTGTCAACAAACTTTAAATATTAAACAATTTTATCACATCAACAAAAGTAAATTGTAATAACCTATTTCAAAGAACCTTCAAATGCTAAAGTATTTTAAACTATTGGAATGACATTCCAGTATAATGTGAAATGACACTGGGATACAAAAGAAAACTGTATAGGACCGGTAACCTTTTTCATTGCCTGGCTAGGGGGGTCCTAGAGATTGTACAACTCGGTAACTTGAAACATTAACAGACATAGCTTAGAATAGAAGACATTAATGATTGCGCTGTGGTTTCTTTTTACAATCGTCGTAATAGTAAGAGGAAATGATTTAGCTGGAAGAATTCTTTCTTGAATGCATTTTAAACTGAATATTATGACCCTTACTGTGTACTATTCTCACTCATAAATTCATTCTCTTCCCCCCTCCTTTAATTTTTCAGAATATTGTCGCTTTATTCTGTATAGTGCATACTATTTTTGAAGTGACCAGTTGTACCAGATTTTATATGTATTATATAAGATAAAAATAAGGATAGTAATAAGTTGAAAAGTCCTTAGAGGAGTCAGGTCAAGATTTGTTACTGTGTAGTTCCTAGCCGTTGATCAATACAATACAAAGAGGTGTTAGCTAGTAGTTATCTTGGTGGCTGTTGAGCAATATAATGCACAGATATATCCAATATTTATTGCGTAAAACAAAATCTGAAATATCTAGGCTTAGCGTTATTAGTTTATCCATATCACTTTAGTTGACAGTGATAAGTGATAGTGATACATAAAATATTAGTAAATAGTAAAGGCAAAATAAATAGTGGAAGGTTAGTTACTTGTCATTTTATCAACAAGCTATGGAAAACTAGTAATATAAACACACACAAACACATGCAAATGTGTACACAAATCAAGGTCACTATTCGTCAGAAAGCAAACACATGCATGCGGACATTTACCGTTCAACAGTATGAAAATAACATACTTACTTTCCAACCATAAGCTAGCTGAAATTTTTTTTATGTTTGTATACAACAACAAGCCAGCAAAAATATTGAATTAATTGCTATCAATCATTACAGATAAAAATAGGGATGGATACACATACAGTATAATGGATATTTATGGCAATATTGGTAGCATGAAATTTTAGAATATACTTTAATGATAATCTAAAGTATTGGGTGTTGCGGTTGAAAACCAACGCGGTCAATCACTGGTTCCAAGATAGACATAAATTGATCTTAGCTATATCAACATTGGAAATCTAGAAGCAATTGACGGCTACCTCGTCTTAGTATGAAACTCCCCAACAGTGCACATCCACGAACACACACAGGAATCGGACCAAAAACCATCGGTTACTCGCGCGGACGCTTAACCTCTACACCACTGAGTCGGGATCCAACGGTGTTAATGTCCAACTTCAATCAATCCATGATCTTGTGAAACCCTTTATCCATTCCCTATGGTGGATAATTATATTACATGCGACATGCATTGGACTCCACTGGTCACAGCTTTTCATTAGGACTGTGAAAATACTACAAATCCCGTATTATACTATTAGTTTACTGAACAACAACAGACAACCTTACTCTAAGTACTAACATTTTAATAGAATCTATTAATATTCGTTATGATAAACATTTGATATTCATAGAAAAAAGATTATTCAAATAAATAAGTATTCTACATAACACTGTTAACCATGTTCGAATATCCTATAAAGAACCAACTAATAATGTCACTAAGAAATTTGTTTAAAAACTAAAGAGGATACTAAATAGGTTATATTTTTAATAATGTCACAAAATGATTTACAAAATGTATATTTAAACATTGAATATAGTAATCATTTCATAAAGTTGACTAAGTATACCTCAGTAGTTCAGTTATTCAACTTACAGAGGAAAAAATTAAATCCCATTTCATTTTGACCAACCGAGTATAATATCATTAATCTTTACAATTAAAATGTTATATATAAAGTCAAGTACAATAAGCCAAACAACAACAACAACAGAAAAAAACACAATTATGAATGAAAACATTGTAAATTCATTGATGTCGATTGTTTTAATTATGAACTAAGTAATGATTGCCAATATTTGCAGTAAAATGAATCAAGCACAAATAAATTGTTCTGTTACTTGTTTGTTTTTAATTATTACAATAGAAATCAATGTAATTATGAATGATCTAAATGATTCATTTCAGCATTACATAATAAAGAAACAAACTTTATGTATCTTAATTATTGTTTGTTTATCATTTTAACTTACTTGAAAAATTTTATCAGACTTTAAAAATTAATGTAAACACAATTAGAGTTGGATATAAAATATAAAGAATTAACTAGTGGATAATAATTAATCGAGATATTGAACAATTATCTTTGATCATCTTCGATGAATCATTGCTTTACACTTGACATGGTTTAATTTCACTGGTTGGTTATAAGCTTCGTATTATAACTCCAGGAATTACCTCAAAATTAGTCACTAATGAATATATGATAATTATCGGTGTAGAAAGTTTGTAAAGATTTTCAAATGTTACTGAGATCAATAAGTAACCTTGGTTAAACAACCATTGAAATCAGGATGCACTGGAGAGTTGTTTTTCTTTTTTTTCCTAGTGAAAAAATTTCTCAATAGTGTGTATCCACAACCTAAACGGTGATTAGACTCAGGTCATTCAGATCGCACATAGCGTATGCCTTTTAGACAACTGAGCCAGTATACAATTTTTTATGTCTAGCCTCAATCAATTCTCAATATTGCTTAGACATTCTCTATTATCTTCTGAAGACAACTGCTTCGCACTAGACACTTTTGAACTCCAATGGTTATGGCTTCTCACTAGAACTCCGGAAATTATCTGAGAACATAATTTTTGAGATCATCATGTTTTAATCCTACTAAGTTTGGTTGTTCGCTCAAAGAAAGAAATTAGAGACTATTAATTTAGGTTGTTTGAGTTTTGTATGAAATTTGGGTAGCCACCGAGTACCACCTGTGGTGTTAATACAGATAGTGTCTTAAATAAACGAGTTTCATCATTAATCATGTGTGTCTGGAAGTAACATCACTTCAAAAACTATCAGAAACTAGTATGTAATATACTAATTTTTTGATAATATCATTGCAGTGAGCCGGAGTAACATCTCACACTATTAGAGATTACTACCGAAAAGCAAAATGTTTCATGGTAAAAAATAAGTTGTTGAATTTTGACTGCTTAATGATCACTTTGGTTGATTCAATGGTAAGTAGACTTTGATGTCCAGGCTTCGATCCCAGGCACAGTGAAGTGTCTTCACTATAAACAAATCCCAAACTAAGATGGATAAACTGTTCTAGCTCTGTTCAGTTTGTTATGAAAAGTATTTGTATATAGGTTACAGATTCAGATAAGATACAGTTTGCAATTAATAGTGAAAATTAAATATGTAACAGATAACTTGTATCTTTTCCCAGTTGAAATGTTCAGAGAGGGTAAGGAAAAAGTTTGAACAAACTATACAACATTAAAGATTCATTTTTAAATGAAAGAAATTTGTCAAAAATTTGAATCTAAAATATGGCTGAACAAAATAATCAATATTTCTGGAGATAGTTTTGAGTAGATTATTCCTGAAAATAAGGTAAAGAAGCTCAGGATGAAAACACACTAGAACTCTGAGCTTGATCTTAAACATGATGTATGGTGCAAGATCGAAGAGTAATTGGCTTCTCACGATTGTTCAGTTGACGAGTTTAGTTCACAATGAGAACTTCATCGAATAATATTTTGCTGTTATTCATGAACCCGTAAAACTCTCTTAAACTTCTACTTGAAAGAAATAATTTGTATAATGTTGGATGGAAGTTGTAAAGTAATGTACATTAAAGAACTTAATACGCTAGATTCCAGTCCAGTGATCGAATATCAGTAAGTTAACTCTACCTAGGGGAGGTTAAACTAAGACCTGGCATTAGTCCATGAATTCACTGACTACTGGATAGAGTAGTGCTAGGCGCGAAGTACTTGGTTGGTGAGGTCACGATTATCGTAACTAATGATTGGAGACATTAGGTGAAATAGCGCAGATGAATTCACTCTTTGTCTTCCTTTAGTTCTTTAGTTTTAAAATCATCTCATCCTTTCTATTCTGTCAGTTTATTTTACTTTCTCATACCATTCAGTCAGTCAGTCAGTCAGTAACAACGTAGAACTTCGTACGTACGTACATCAGTTCGAGCTGCCACACCACATTAGCACAGAGATGCAGTGGTCGATTCAAATCCCGTAGTGGTAGAGGTAATAAGAGTATAAGCAGTAATCAGGAAAATTAGTGTTTGGAGATGTTATTTCAAGAGTATAATACAGTGAAATAAATTTGGGAAGAGAAAAAAAAAGAGACAAGGAGGAATAAGGAGACCAAAATTTGGGAGGACACAAAGAGTGGATGCACCTGCGCCATTGCAAACGATTTTGAGCCATGTCATTAAGGGTCTCTAACCATCGGTTGCTATCATCTCGCGGTCCCCAACCAGGTAATCTACACCTACCAACATGACTCATACATGTCTCATACCATTCATCTATAACTATGCTTTTCTGCTTTAACTGATACCGTTACTACTTCTATTACTCTGGTATTTGTTTTCTCAACTTCACATGATATGCTAACTAGAACATATATGCCAGGTTCTATAATCCCTAAAATTAATTGACTAAGTTCCCTGTATCATACAAATAAAATAGTAATAAAGTACTCAACGGTGAATTATCAGTCATTTAATCAATCATAATAAATCAAATTAATTTTAAGTGTAGAAGTGCTAAAATGGTTTTACTTTTACCTATTATTAAGATTAAATATTGCGAAATAATTATGGAAGGTGATGAAATGTGATTAGGTGAACAACTAGTCGATGTACAAATCTTGTATCCTACAATTATTTACGCTTTTAACTTATTCGAACAACATTATTTTGTGTATCACTTTTATTTTACTAAACAATAATTTTGACAGTTGAATTGCTGAATTGATCTAAGCTAGATCACCATTGAAAGTCTGGAAGTACCGGACGGCCGTTTCGTCCTACTATAGGACTCCTCGGCGGTGCGCATCCACAATCATGCACGTGGAGCTCAAACTCAGGAGCTTCAGTCACGCACGCGAACGCTTAACCCTTAGATTTCACTTGACAGATCGTGGATGAGCACCACTAAAGAGTCCCATACTAGGACGAAACAACCGTCCAGTGCTTTCAGGTTTTCAATGGTGGTCTGGCTTAGATCAATTCATCAATTCAACTATTAGGATTACTATAGTTTCCACAAAAATCCCCATTCTGATAAACAATAATTAATATATTTCCTAACCAGTTATACTACTTCATTATTCGGCAGATTTTGTCAGTAATTAGATGTTATCAATCAAATATGATCGAATATAATTCTATTTATCATTCAAATAACAAAAAAAGAGCTCATAACTAACCACTTCAATTAAAATAATTAACCATAGAACACTAAATGTACAAAATCATATGTATATTTTGTTATTCCTTAAGTAATGTTTGAAACATCATAGATACTTACAGAAAACTAAGCTAACACTAATGGAATGTGTTTAGGATACAACCTTAAAGTATTGTTGATATTCGTAATTATATCAATTCAACGTTTCATGTGTATCAATGCTCTGCAACTTCATTTTTATGTTTACATTTTACAATTGATATTCTTCCGTTTTGACATATAATTATTTATAATTATCTTCAATATTCTTTCTTTACAAAAACTTTAGTTCATTTATTTAGGGTATACTACTGAAGTAAATAAAAACTTGGTGGGTATAAACAATTTACTGTTTATATCAAAATTATAGAGTGTTTTTTATAAAATATGAAAATCATAAATGTAATACATTATTTGCACATCTTCTTTCAGTTATCCTTTACATGTTTCATGATTCTTTCCATTTTTGTAGTTAGAACAATTGCGCTTTATAATTTACATTTCTTTTCTCTTCAATTTAATCTTCTCAATCTTCTACTGGCAGGCATTTCACTTCTAATTGCTGCTATATACTGCTTATATCTATCAGCATAAGTAGCATGCACCATACTGCTAGTACTACTAGGCTTTGAGCAAAATATCATATGTGAGGAGTTGATGATACTTTCCCAAGTTGCAAAACAACCGAATCCAATGGGGTGTTGGATTCGGAAATGTAATCTAATGTTGAATATTTGAGTGTTTTAACTACTTAGTTATCATTCACATTTATTTATTTTACGAGAGCTCACTTTAAATATATGTGATAATTTGATAATAGATAAAACTGTATTTTTTTAGTTACTGTCCACAAAATTTTGATAATTACTTAAACTCACTTGACGAAGTGGTTTACGCATTTTTAAATACTCTGCATAATATGTCATTGCTTCCCATGAAGCATGTAATTTAACAAAGACTAAATTATCCGGAGTCATCAAAATTGTTTTGTCATCCAAAGCTTGGTGACGATAACGATCCATGCACGATGGTGGACTTGTATCTGTTGGTTTATCTGGTTCTGCATAATCAATAGATGAAGTAGGCATAGGAGATTCAGAATATTCTCCTAGGTGAAGAGGTGCATTGGCCTGTAAATGCATAAATGATGGTTTAAGAGTTAATGATGAAAATTCATCTTCATTTGATGCTACAGTAGCACCAAGTAGATTACCATTAGAATCTTCAACCTAATGAGGATAAATAAAAAAGATAGGAGAACATTATTTATAAAATTTATAATACACTTATAAAATAATGATATATCAATTAAATATATTTAATAAGGTAACTTATTCTATTGGAATGAGTAACAGAGAAAACAATATGTGAGTTTACTTGAAGAACATGCAAATTAGTTCAAAATATGATAACATACAGAAAATACATACGAGAGAAAGTTAGCCATCATCAATAAAGAACCTGGCATAAATCAAATCACTATACCAAGTCAGCACAGTGAAGGAGGATTAACAAGATAAATAAAAAAGGAATTACAATAAGTTTAGTAGAACTGATGGTGAGATAGAATAAACACTGAGTATATCATAAATGAAGAAATGAAAAGGTATGCATGAAAGGATGCTGGAACTGAAGATTTAGTGGAAGACAAAATGTGGATGAATGTTAGCGATTGTAACGAATTCTGACTAATGTCACCCAATGCCTCTAACCACCGATTTTGGTTATCACACGGACACCAACCAGGTAGTTTGCATTTTTCAATACGGCTTGGTCTGTCAGTCAACGACTTCACAGACTGACACTATCTTAGTTTGGCCATTCCTAGCTTTTTTATAACATACTCCTGCTCTAGCCCACAGCACGCTGAGGCAGGCAGTGATCAGATATACGTAACATATCTCAGTCGTTTCTGTCGACGATATTTACAACCTCACTAACCAACATCCCGACCTTGACTGGTACACTCAATTATTGTTCATCCAGTCATTCCATGATACGCAAGTAATTCTTGTAAGCCCCCAAATGCCCTGGTACGGCCGAGAGTGGGGAGAGTCCGCTCTCCCTCTCCAAATGCTCTCACATGGCCACGCGTATACAGCCCCTGCCAGGGAAGTCCTACTCATCGCCTTCTCGTGACGGGGGTGTTGTTTACGAAAATGAGAGGACGAAAAGCGAACGTCCGGCGCTTTAACCGGATTCCAAACCATCGGTACACATGGGCTCCAGTATCCTGCGGGGACAAATGGCGTACGAACCAATTGTTGGTCACCGGCTTCCATGGGACTGCATCTCCTTACGATGCTCCATTGCCTCGTGGATCAAACCTTCAGGTCGAAGGCTCGGGGAGTGGCCCCCTAAGAAAACCACCTGCTTCGATTTGGTCACCCAGGCAGTATCACAGCCCTCACACAAACCGAATGAGATTTGTGTGGCGCATATGTATTTGGTGCCTCTTTGTAAGACATCGATAAAAAACGTACAGTTTAAGCATCTTCTACTCTAATAAACCGTGCTTTACATCTATAGAGAAATATAGACCATACATACAAGTAAATATGAAGCCTCTTTTAATTTTGCTGGCTCAGTGTTTGAAAAAGTGCTATCTCACACCTTTTGTAAATAACGTTTACCAGTTTTTAGGCAACTCAAGTGGCAAACGACAGATATCCGAATCAAAAAGTCAATACAACAGAAGAACCGGTTCTGACTTCTCGCTGTTAATTACCTATAAGAGTTATAGTGATTATTTGTTTGATAAAGAGTAGTTGGTTTGTAACAACATCATCAAAATAATGAAGATTTTGCACTAAAATGTCTGTCTTATCAAACAGACACGCTGTAAAAGTCGATTTCAATTAATTAGTAGTATTAAGATTTTTAGAAAATTGTTGAAAGTGCTTTTACGATAGACGCAGATATCTACTTCAAAAGGATGAGTAATACCCTAAAAAAAAATTTTTTCCTTTAGAATATGACGGTTCATTTATTACTTTGTCCTACAACTATAACGCATTCTAAATCTCAATTTACTAACTCCTAGTTTGAATTGTCAAAATGCTTTAACCTCATGTCTGATATTGCTAATTATTATTGATTGCTTTCATTATCTGAACATTAGCGCAATCTGTTTTTACTTACAAGTTGGATCACTCTACTTCTCTTGTTATTCTCTCTGATTTTTTCACACATGAGGTTCATCACATTTCTAACATACAACATACTTTCACACTAGATGCAAACTTACCAAAGGTTGAATGTTATAAATTGAACAAACATGTACGTCAAGTATGCAGGTTCTTGAGTCGATAAAAGAGTAAATTCAGTTCTACCTTCAAAATAACACCATTTTTAGCATTAGAAATTATCTATGGTTTCAATCTGCGTAAAAAAACCATTCTTTTTAATAACATATCCTAGATTATAATCAAAGAGGGATATTCTGTATATTATAGTAATTTAATAGTCGAATTCATGAGTCAATTAAAACTAGAGCACCATGGAAAAGCTAGAAGCACTGGATGGCCGTTCCATCCTAGTATGAGACTCTTCAGCAGTGCTCATCCACGATCCCGCCTCTCCAGATTCGAACCCAGGATCTATCAGTCTTGCGCGCGAGGGCTTAACATCTAGACCACTGAGCCAGCATCCAGGTGTTATTTTCTTTTATTATTTTTTTAAACACATAAATATTGGTACAGGAGGGCACCAAATATATATGCGCCACACAAAACAATTAGAATTTGCAGAGAAGGAAAAAAAGGTAAGGAGCGGAAAAAAACGATAACGAACAGATTAGTGTAAGGTAGTGTAACAATAATAATGAGGGAAACAGAAACGTACACTCAGAAGAGATCTTTCAGTTAAGGAAGAAGCAACCACTTTTTATGAAGAAAGTAAAAGGTTACAGCAGGATCGCCACTGGCTTCTATTCTGAGCCATATCTGATAACGTCTCTACTCGAGAACGTTTAGATAGAACCGAATTTCCACCATAGACGAGCTGCTGTATAAGTCGAAAAATAAGGATAGACAGAGTAGGAATAAAAGAGTGAATAAATGACGTAGTAAATAATAAGAATAGTAATAATAATAATGTGAATCGTTTGATTAATAGTTGAAGTGTTAATGTCTAACCTCAACTAATCCATGAAACGGCCGTCCAGTGCTTCCAGGTTTTCTATGGTGGTCTAGCTTCAATCGACTCATGAATTTAACTATTAAAATATCCTAGATTACTGATCGACTAATCATACCGCTTGGATTTTACAATGTTTCAATTTGACAACTATTAAACCTCCATAAAAACATAGAACCTTTGTGAGATTCGATGAAAATCTAATCAAAACATTATGACCCCCAAGATTTATAAGTTTGTATAACAATTGAATATTATGAAATGTTTGTAGATATAAACAACCATGAATAACAAAACAAAATAAATGTTAAACATTACTCCTTTTACAAGAGGTAATCGATAATACCAGAGAAGTATATTTTTGTGTACGAATAGAGAAAATGATGACAATTACGATAAATTCACTTTTAATTGATTTTAGAAAGTGTTCTTTACAAAACCTTCAAATTACTGTGCATTTTTATTGGTGGCTCTAAAACGTTCTGTTGTGTGTATGTAAATACACAATGAGTTGACAACTAATATCCATGTTTATGAAATGTTTTTGACAGACATGAGATTGTTAGGCGCCTAAAATTTCATTGATTCCTAACACCAAACTGATGTAAACAATTCAAGCAACGTATGGAGGCAAGATAAGAGGCGATTTTACTTTATCAATAAATAACTAAAGTACTCAAATATCAACTTAAAGGTCACACGTTCGAATACTGTGTCAGTATCCTAAATTTGGGTAAAGGTTGATATCACTAACCTCCCTTGAAAAAAAATAGGCTCAAAACATATAGTTAGTAAATGAGTTGCACTATTAGCAAAAGCTGGTACAATAAATGTAATTCTGGTTAACTTTTGATGAAATTTTGGTATTCAAATGATCTGAAACGGACAATCTTTAAAATACTTCATTATATATATCATTCTACTCTATTGTCAGTCGCTTATTCTTTGCTACTATTATCCTTATAGGATTGTTTTTATGCGGTTTCAATTACACATACTTAGTGTTTAAGAAGAGGACTAGACGACAGTTTTATCCAAAAAATTTTCAATAATTTTCTTTATTCTTATACAGTATGCTATTTATTTATTTGAACATGTAAACACCGAGACAAGAGAGCACCAAAATATATATGCGCCATACAAAAAAGATGAAGCTGTGAAGAGATAAAGACAGGTGGGTAAAATAGTTTATAAAAAGGAACAAAAAAGACTAGAAATCAATGTATAAGAGTGGAATAATAATAATGGAAGAAGCAGTTCAGTTAGGAAAAATATAACCAGAAAGAATTTTTTGAATTAAAGAAGTTACTCTCAATTTTATGAAGAAAGTAAAAGAAAGCCACAGCCACTGACTACTACTCTAAGTCATGTCTGAAAACATTTCAATCCACTGAGTTGTATCATTTTAAGAACACCAAACAAAGAATTATTAAGGAGCAGCAAAAGCCAGTCCATTGCAGCTTTCTTTGATACAACACCATGTCATACACTGACTACCTATCTGCTTTCTCCAACCAGTTCCAAGATATCAAATTAGCTGAGAAGACATTCGTAGTGTAAGTCCAAGTCACTAAGGTCGATGTTTCAAGGTGGTGACACTAATTGAATTATTTTTGCAGTCACTGAACACACGTTTCCAAACCTCTGCACTACTAACATGGTGTTAACGATGAATGTCAGCAATCCGTTGGATACAACAGTGATCAAACACAAAAGGTTGCTTAACATCCTCAACTAAGAGGCCAGGTTTCGCAAGCAGACAGAAAAACTTCTCTCACCGACTCATTATAGGTCCGACTTTATGCAGTCAGATGACGGCACGAAAGATGTCCCAGAATGACAGAAGCCCTTCTGATTTTCACCATGCGTGAATTGTTCTCATCACTCACGCCACAGTTACCCAGGTACACGAACTTTCCAACTACTTCTATCCGCTTACTACCAAGAATGAGTGCAGGTTCGAGGTCCTTCTAGTCTTTTAAAAGAAATTTCCACTTATAAAGTGCAAAACACATGCCATACCTACGGAAAATGACTGACAACTGATGAAATAAAGATTTCATGGCTTGGGTATCATCGCACAGTGAGACAATATAATTGGCATGCTTATTGTCAAAAAGTCTTTTTTAGGCAATGGATCCAAACCACCACTACTTACACCCATCGGCGCTGTTTCCAGAATGTCAGCGATAGAAAATTTTAGGAGAAATGGTGAGATTGGGTAACCCTGCCTAACCCCACTACTTGGATAAAAAAATAGAAAGGTTGTTGTGTGCCCTCACTCTGCCTGAGGTGTTTTCATATAAGGCCTTCAAAACGTCAATAAACTTACCGGCCACACTCTTCAACAGACAATCCGAGGGAACGGTCCTGTCCAACGAGTAGAAGGCGGACATGATGCCACGAAATACCGCGACTGTTAACCTGGAATTAGTGTGGCGGTATTCTAACATTTGGAGAAGGTTGAAGATATGATCAACGAATTCTCTACCGGAACGAAAAGCAACCTGCTCCTTGTGAGTCAATCTTTATCGTGCATTTAGGGCTTTTTTATCCCCAAAATATATGTTAGTAAGTCCTTAAGTGGACCCAAGTTACCTGTCTGTTATTCAAATAACTTATTTTAAAAAATGTCTATTAAGAGGAACTGATAACATAAGTACTAAGTGCAAATGAATTTGATGAACGTTATCATCAACTTAGAATCAGACATCAAATACTTATACGAACAGAAACTAGAAATTAAAGATGAAACTGAGCATGCATTCTTGAGTTTATTGACCTAGCATGCCAATTATTAAAGGTTAATGGTGAGGTATTTATATTCAGAAATCCAACAAGTTGCATTAGTGAAATATTGTAACAGATGCTTTTCTGTGAGTAACTTAAAAAAAGACACTACAAAAATATTACTAGATTCTAATGGAATAGTCATAGCACACAGAGGCCACCTTGTGGATAGTTTACACATGATTCACGAACTTAAAGAGAGAAATAGAACATTTTTACTTACTTCTATTTCTATTTTCTGCTTTGCTAGCTCATTGAGAAACAGGAGGCGTCGGTTTTGATCATTATATTTCGACGTGGAAAACCGATAAGCAAGCACATAATCAGTTCTGCGTTTACCATCCCGGAAATACAACTCTGGGTTAGTCTATGAAAACAATAATGATAACAAAGACGATATGTTTAATTTCTACAGAAACTGTACACAATAAACAAAGTAGCTACAACGTTTCACTTCTCCATTATGTTTCACTTGGGGGAAATTTATACAAAGTTTACCATATTTGTTGGTAATTTACTGACATTATTAACAAAATATTGTATCTGAATATTCCTGGTGACTACGTATGAGTACAAAATGATTATAAGTGAGAATCTGGAGCACGAGTTTGACATTTCACATATTCTATGCAATTAAAAATGGACAAGTTGTACATTGTTATTTGTACAATGTGAAATCCTAACGTCGAAAGCCACCCAATTATGAATATTACTTGGATTAATTAGACGAGCCCCGAAGTAATTTAATGTAATATGCCACGAAGTAGTTAGTTTCCAATTGGTTGTGTTAAATTAAACTATTCGTTGATGACGAACTTGGTATGACTATCTCTGAACAAACTATGGCAGATCTGATGATTTAAACTGGGAAGCCCATACAATTTAGACAAATACAAAAGTATATAATGGCTTGTGGTCATTATCTGGCTTCGGTATCACCTTTTGCAACCTAATACTTTAGAATGAAACACACTGAGTTTGCTAATGATTAGTGACAAATATCCTGTGGTTTGGCAATTCGTGAAATCGGCTTTGACAATTAGTTGTGGATTCAAATCGAACAGCACTACTTGTATTCGGGGGGCCGAGTTTCAACACATTTACTTATGACTTGTAACTCACAGTAAGTTAAAAGGAATTATTTAGATACTAAAATACAAAAATCAGTTTTCAGAATGTTATCGATAGCAAATTTTAGGAGAAATGGTGAGATTGGATAACCCTGCCTAACCCCACTACTTGAATGAAAAAGTAGAGAGGTTTTTGTGTGCCCTCACTCTGCCTGAGGTGAAAGATGAAGACTAGATAAATCTGCCTTTTTAATTTTTATTAACGTCTACTCCGTTGTTCAAATAAATAAATAAAAACTGCATTAAAGAAAGTGAAAAACTTACAGATGTGTACGTAGACGTAACACAACCGACTCCTGAGTCCATATGCTACATTCAACAAAAAGTGCTGGTGATAAATAAATCAGAATAACAACATGCAAAAGCGGAAATAGATACAGAGACCTAAGAACTTTCAGTAAGTGATACAACAAACCGAATGTGTCTGCGAGTACATGCAGCCGCACATAAAATTGACAGCTCGGCGATATATGACCGACAACGTTGACCTGGAATTCTTACTTTTTTAAAATGTGAAAATACTTCCTATAATTAGCTTGTCTCTAGAGTACATTGACTTAGCATTACAAATGTGAATTTGTCACTTCACATTAATACATCTCAGACATCATCTGTTTGTTCAGAAACCAAAAAGATCAGTATTCTGAGCATGAAAGAGGTTTGGAATGCAACAAATTCGCTTGATCTGAACAAACATCACCAATTAAACTTTTAAATGTTCACTTAACTGACAGAATTCAGATATATATACCTACGATAGACTATGCTGCTTAGTAACCGCCATTATCACAAGTCGAAATACGATCTATAACTAATGCAACAGTCGATATCATCGAACCTGAAACTGAGAAGGAATAAATTAGGCTTTAAACGGTAACATGGAAAGTTAAATTTGGTCCCATACGTAAGTGACTCATGATGAGGCGGTGTGAGTATTGAGCCACTCGTAGTTGTAGAAATGACAAACAATTTTGCGTACTACATCTTGTAAACGATTTCATCGAAAACAACGTGACTTCAGCTGAAAGTGAGGTTTGAAGAACTTTAGTTGCAGCATAGTTCATGTATTTATATGTGAATAACCGTATAATCGTATTTCGTGACTTTCCACTCGATCTACGACCCCGTACACGCTACTCCCTGTTATCAGAATAATCTTGAACCCAGAATTATAAAAAATTGAAGGACACAGAAGAATAAAATAGCAATAGTTTATTTGGTAAAAGGATGAAGTCACACTTGATTTTCCGCCTTACAAGTGTCCTTGAATTCCCTATACGTAAAACTTATAAAGATTTCTAGTTCCGGAAAATACTTCAGATCTTCAGAACTATGACTTTTGGTTTTATAGGTAGGAATAGGTGATTCGCCAAAAGCAAGCCAAGCGAGTATATGCATTATGAGACTCTCCAAGTTCAGTGCTAAGAAAGCGTAAGGGAACAAGGATGAACTTCCTGAATTTAACACTGGTTTAATATTCCTATGGTAGTTTTCCGGCTTTCGCTCACCAGATCAGTTGTCGTAAACGAGTGATTTATTTACAAATCATATTATTTCCCAAGATATTTGTTTCATAGTTAATCATATTACATTTTGAACATATTTTCTGGAATTTTATCATTCTTCAGTTGTAAGAATAGTAAACTGTATTATTTCAGACTATGAAGACCTTATCTGAATTTAAAATTCTTGGCGAGGGGTATTTTGCTATATGTTCTGTTTGAGAAAGGTAGTATTTCAAGGCTCTATCCGGGAAATGAACTTTTAAATGTAAAACGATTCATTACTGTTTTAAAACTTTCTGAAGATATCCCCCAGACAGTTTGGCTATGACTAGAGAAATGTCTGAAAATTGCGGCAGCGAGTTGTTGTAGTAGAACTCTTATGATTAATTTTGATAACGCTTAACCCCTGTCAATTCCACTCATCTGACAATGTTATCGACATAGTAACAATTCGTTTATACCTTTGTATTAGTAAGATCGCTATCATACCTACGTAAACTTGCGTATTTGACTGCCTATTTTACAGCCCATGCATATTCTTGCCTAATTCAAACCTTGGTTGCCTAAATATAGCTCGATGTAATATTTTCCTTCTGTCACATATATATGCTTGTATTAAAGAGAAACTGTACTTTGATTCACCGTGTTTTTATTTGGTGAGACTATGGATTTGCCTCTATATTTGCTTGCAAAAATTCGTTGACCGATGATGGTTTTGTAATTCTGTGGTCCGCACGATCAGCTAACAATTTAGTTGCAGCCTATCGCTTTTTGAATTTAATCCCTTGAGTTCCATGTAGTGACGATTATTGATGTGAACGTCTAACGAGTTAATGCGCATTACAGTACTGCCAGACCTTGTTCAACAGCAAGACGACGAGAGTAGATTATTTCGTTCAGTTCTATTTTTATGAGACCAGTCAGAGTAACATTCCATCATTTACAACTATTTAAGGACTGAATATTGACGAATGTCAGGTGTTGATAGAATTTTATTGACTAAGTTGCAATGGGCCGTTTTTCTTATCGACTAGATGTCGCCTAAATTAATCATGAAGAACATGTTTACATGATTATGGTTTGGTTCGATATTACAATTACTATAAAAGTAGACCTCATCCCCAAAATTTTAGATTTGTCATGATATGACTACTCAACATATAAATCTTACGTGGAAGTCACATCATTGTCTATTCGGACCTGTCCTGTCGTAAGGATCGGCACTATGACGTCTAACATTTCTGAGGAACATATTTGGGCTGAGCAGAAGATAGTATATTTGATACAAGATTCACTGGACCACATTTATCTTAGCTTTGGCGTTATCCGAAGAATTAGATGTTGCAAACAAAGTGCTCTCTAGCAGGAGAGTCTCAACGATATGATTCCTAACATCAAGAGAAACTTTTAGTTCAATTCTATACCTCATCGTTGTTAATGACCTCTCAAACAAAATCACTTCACCAGTTCTCCCATATTCTGGAAACGCCAAATTATGGAGTGCCACAAGAAAAAAGAGGACTGACTCGGTAATGAGTAGAAATTCAACCTGTTACAATGTCGTATTGTAAACACACACTCAAAAGTAACATAAACAGCTTACGTACTCTAAGAAAATCAGTCATATGTGTAGATCATCAACGTTGATGACCTATTTCGAATGATCAATAAATCAAGGTACTATATAAGCTTTGTAGAGTGCACGACACAAAGGACGTTATTACAGGAAATGTATTAGTAAGAATGTGTACAGAGAAAATAGCGAGACCACCACCACATCGGACAGTCCACGACATACGATTAACTGATGCTCATTAGTTGTCCTTGACACTAACGAGGATCGATTATTTGTTCGATATTCAGTGACCCAGCTGCTGAATGATTTGGCTAGGGCTCGGTGACATTTCACTGGCCCTACAAATCTATCCTCAGAATGCGATCTAGGGATATTTTGTTAGGTTCTAGTTTCTAAATCCGGTGAAAAATCGTGAAAATGACAAAGCTGTACTGAATGCACGGACCTAAATAATATTTTGAGACCTAAAACCATCAAACCGAGAGACGTACTCACACCGAACGGATGTTACATGTCTTTCGGACGTTGTTCCAGAGCCCAATGTGCGTCTGGAGTATCACGCCCAATCAACACTCCTACCAGATTACTTTGCAACGCCGCAAGGGTGATATCTTTCAAATGCTTCCACTATCCCAGGTGTTCCTCGCTTAAAGGTTCTACATAATCGATCACAAACTTCTTATTCCTATAAGCCTTGTTGATTTCCACAGACCCCGGTTCATCCAAATAAAATATCTTCAAATTTACTTTCAAAAATTTACTGGTAGTTGTCCCGTTCACAGTGGTTATTGCCATCGAAGCCTCTTTACCCTCGATACCCAACTGAATAAATAACTCTTCGCATACGAGGGAAGTATCTGAACCACTATCTAGAATGGTGTAAGTTTCCAATGTTCCACTCAGACCATACCGTCTAATCGGAATGATACCCAAACAAACATTTGACGAGTCTCAATCCCTAACTAAGTTCACTACTGGTTATTAATACTATCAATATGTACCAATGAGTTATACCGAATCTTGCAGTTATCAAGGTCACACTTGGTGTCCGAGTTGCATGACTTGGCTATGTGACACTCCCTTAAACACAGGTAACATAGACCACGTTCCCTCACTTCCTGTCGCCTTTCTCTAACATTCATTTTCGATAACTTCATAAAATCCGCCTCTTTTTGGTCACCTAAACGAAGTTCGCAACTTAAAATCTCGAATGAGTTCCTTGGGTCCCACTTAACTACATTAAAGTTTGATCTCTTATTAGCTTGGCCTTCATAATTCATTTTGCCGAACTTTGAGTTACACTGAACCAATCTACCATAACGTATTCGAGCAATCCTGGCTCTTTCTTCCACAAAGGTCTCAACTTCTTCAAAGATCGGCTCTTTCCCAGCCACCATGGTCTTATCGGCAACTTCCATCCACATATTCTGTAATTCTAGGGGTTGACATTACACAATTATTTCCGAATTAGCCGTAGACTTCACATCAGACATATACCCCACTTCCTTCAATGTTATGCACGCATTACGCAGCTTAATTGCGAAGTCAGTTAAGCTATCGGATGATCCTTCAACAGATTTGTGGTTAAGTAACTCAGTAATCAGCACGCGGTTGACAAGGTATTCCCTACCATACAGATCATATAAATTTTGTTTAACTATGTCAAAACCCAAATGACTGGGCAAAGAAATGCAAGCTTCACTAGCCGCCCTGGCCATTCCTTTACAGTAATATAACAAATACGACAACAATTGGCCATAATCGGACAGTCTACTCCCCACAATGCTGGTAGACTGACTCGATTGTTCATAAAATACATCATATCAATTTTAGGTAAAACTGTAGTGGCACTGGACCATAACCACACAATCTTCAAAGCTGAACACAAGACCACTCGGAAAATAGATATTCAATATCTAACGCGGAGAAATACCTAACGATGGAAAAGGCGGGAACAGTTAATTGGATGAATTGGAGTTGATCGGATGGCATGGCTCGGCCACGCAGGCGTGGTCCCTATCGAATGTTACCTTATATCTTCTATTCATATTAAATGTATTGTTCCTTCTCTGGCCTAACCTTGTTCTACATCAAGTATTGGTAATTGATACGATACAGTGAGTTGGTGTAGTCGATGGTGTGACTTCCACGTAAGATCTTATAGATTAGGCAGTTATATCATGACAAGTCTACAATTTTAGGATTAGGTCTATTATTAGAGCAGTACTAATATTATAGTATACCATAATTCTACAAAACCGTATTATTAACCACAGTATGTACCATATCCTTCAACTCATCAACTCAATCGACCTTTGAGATGCTAAATATCTCTCTTGGGTGACTAGTACAGCTAGTATCGCAATACAAGTGGCTTTCCACCTTGGCATTTATTTCACACTTGTCTACGGACAGCTGGTTATCGTCTTCCATGATCTTACATTCTAATTCAGCCATATTAACCTCTTCTTAAGCTGTACTTCTAACTCAAGTTCCTTTTCTAAATTCTTCTTCCTTACTAATGTCTTACCTAACTTTATTCTACAAGTACTAATCTGGTAAGAGTACATACTATTAACACTATCATCATCACGTTTATTATCATCAACACCAGACATACCACAAACAGCTTTAGAAATTTTACCATCCATTTCGTCATTTTCTTTCGGCCTTTTAATTTGCGTTCCCATCGTATGCCTTTGTTCCATGGAATCTGTTACCTAAACAAAGGTGAAGTAATCCGAACGAAATCGAACGATAGGACCGGATGATTGGACCCAAAATGTCCAAAAAATCCAGAGTATGTAGACCACAGAACAAATAATTGAAGACCTTTATGATACGTCCAAGTTTTTGCTCGCTTCCGTTATTGAAGTAGGGTATATCGATGTATTTGCAACGTACGAACTCAAGCTAACGATAGAACCGGACTCCAATTTGGATACTAAAGTTTATTTGCTATTTACAAATAGTCGACCCAAACGTTATTCTTCAATTTCGTAGGTTCCCGGAGCAAAAACTCCCAAATACCTAAACAAATAAAAAGAAACCAAAAAGTCCGAAAATAATGATATGAACAAACAAGTTCAGAAGTTGAGTAAAACCAATACATCCAAAAACTCAGTGAAATTGATAATATCCCATACAGATGTTTTAATCAGTCAAATGTCTGCAGTTCTCCCGTAACATATTTACTGCAGAGATCGTGGACACAAATCAAACTGCATTATAGACTCAGCCAAAAGAAATGTAGCTTTTCAACCCAAATGGAAATAATTTAGCACAATCCCTCTAGATTTGTTTAAATCACACCTCAAAACGAACCCAAGGCATTACTTCAAAGCCCTAAACTTTACTCATCAAATGAGACGAAGCATGAAGAGTGTCAAATGAGTAGATGATAGGGCTAAGAAGTGAATCTTGCGAAAATAAACTTCGACTATTGGGGTGTTATGGTTCGGCCATACGAAAATAAGAGGAGAAATGTTGATTGTTCTCAACCTACTAAATACACCTGGAACCTAATAAAAACGTCCAACCAGAAAATAACCGTCACTCTCTACGAGGGAAACCCCGAAGATCTGCAAGTGGACGATTGAAAATGTAGGTATAATGTCACTATATTACTAGTAGTTACCTCCTTCCTGAATGCCTTCTCACCTGAAGTGATCTCAGTCCCCTCAGTTGATACTCACCTCGCATTTTGGAACACCCGTGCCTGATACATATCTCGAAAATCACCTACCATTATCGTCGTCACATCATCAAATAATCCCCATATCGCCTATCAACATCTCGAACCACCTTTCGTTCTCGCTCTCCTACCTTCTCACATCGTCTTCATTACCACGTAAATACATCGTCTTACTGTTTGTTTCTTGGAACATCCATCGCTCAACAGCTGAATGTCTTCTAAATTATTTCCTTTATTACTATCAACCAACCTAGTAAAGTGACAGCTTATTATCCATAACCGCTAATGATCTGAGACGAAATCACTTATTCAAATTACACGATATACAAACCTACACTTAACTAAAATAACTGACGGGAATAAATGCAGTCAAGTGGCTGGACTAATGATTATCGAACATTATCAAAGACTTGCAGTCGTACTGAAACAATGAGAAGCAACTGCAAAGAAACTGACCGTTTCATGAAAGCTTGTCACAAAGACAGAAAACAAAAGGACAAAAAGGCAGAGATATTGAATATAGGGCTCACTCAACTATACTCTATATAAACAGAATACTCGCCGAATTCGCTTAAACTGTAGCATTCAAGTCTTCAGATTAGTCTGAATAAGCATTACCTTGATATGATACCACCAATCAAGGAAACATTTCGGAAAATTAATTAATTTGATGAATCCAGCCCGTAGTTGTTAAGATACACCAGTGTCTTTAATCAATTTCTAGGTCGAATCCTTGTAGACGTTATGACTTCAAAATATGAATTTCGGACTGTTGGTTTCTACCGATTTGTTAATTTAGAGTATTTAGGTTATGGTTGAGGGGAATATAGGGTGTGGAAAGTCAACATTTTTGCGTTACTTTCAGCAGCTTTCTCCTAAAAATGAAGTCATGCATGAACCGCTATATTTATGGAAAGACGCTAGAGGCTATGATCTATTCGTAACTTGTTTTTTTAACTTTTCTTATTCATACAGGAACTTATGTATCATGATCAACGCCGATGGTCTGTTCCTTTTCAGGCTCAGGTCCTTGTGACATTACTAGACCGTCAGTCAAAGCCACCAGTAAGATAAATCTCGTTTGTATTTTTTTACCAGCATGTCTAATCCTATATACCTCATATTTCACGAGTTAATTAAGTTGTCAGAAACTTTTCTGGCCAATAATTTTTGTCTGACGAGTCCCAGTATATGATGAGGTTAGTAAAAAGCTGCCTATACTAATATAGACCGACAAAACGCGTCATTGCTTTTGTAAATTATTTCCATAATTTTCACCCAAAGAATCTTATGTGCTAACACTTTGTAACAAATGGTAAGAATTACTTCGATTTAATTTCAATCCTTTCGAAGTTTACTAATATAGCTGTCATTTCATATCACTATATGTAGTGATCTTTTTGATACCAAGTTGGCTACTGTGTAATCATTGGAATAAATATGTATGTATACTAGCAGCTCAATGAAGCTTATTCTAACTCGTATGCTATACATATACAAAAAAGTATACTTGAAGTGGCTATCTATACACTTACAATAAACATTCAAGCTGTAACTGAAGTTCGTCGGCGATCTATGATTTTGAAGATGTAAGAGTAATTTACTAGCTCAGTTGTTGTTACGTGTATGGATAGCTCGAGTGTAATTTAACAGTTAGTAACTAGTTTGCGTACTAGAATTTTAGTGAAAATTAAATTGCTAGGACCATTAATTCTGCTTAATTTAGTGAACCAACGTAGATAAGATGAAGCTTACTCGTATGAACCTCCGGGAGACAGTCTGATAATTAAGCCATTATATTTACACTGGAAAAATATCTTAGTGATATCTTCGTCACTGTATTGAATTTATCGAGTTTTTTTTATATTTTTCTTTCCAAATCCAGACTAAACCAATACGCCTATTGGAAAGGTCAATCCATAGCAGTCGGTACTGTTTTACAGAAAATATGCACAATAAGTAAGTCTCAAAAAGTTTTTTTTTAGCACGTACTTATTAATGAGTGTGCTCGTGGTGAAAAGTTTGGGAGTTTCTTGAGAATAATTAATTTTTATGCATTGTAAGTCGCATATTTAATCCTGCTTCGTAAGTGAAAGATCTTAAGATTGAGCTTGATGTTATTGTAGTTTTGTGACACTGAACTGGTCCTAATTTGAAATAAACTCGGTGATTTTGCTACTAGAGAACTATGTTGATTGATTTTAATATAGACATATTAGTGATCAGTCAGTCAGCTACAACGTAGGACCAGGCACATTTATGCATCGGTCAAAGTTGCCATACCTCAATAACACAACAAGATGGACACCGGGTCCATAAAAGTAGTTAATTCAGAGGTGGTAATATATAAAAGAAAGATTGCAATAAGAATATAGTACAGGAAGAAAGAATTAGTTCATAGAAAGAAAACTATAAAGCAATTTTAATCTCATGGCTTAAGGGAAGACAGAGAGTGTATACACCAACGCCATTTTGATCGATTCTGAGCCATGTCACTCACAGTCTCAAACCATTGGTTAGGATAGTCACGCGGACCCCAACCAAGTAGTCTGCATCTATCAACATGGCTCAGACTAGAAGTTAATGACTTCAAGCACTAATGCCACGTTTTGATTTGGCCGCCCCTAAATTTCTTCCAACCATGTTCAACACTGGTCAGCATTGCGCGTCGTGGTGATCGGTGTTCAGATATACGTAACACGTGGCCCAACCGTCTCAGTCGATGAAGTTTCACAACCTCGTCAACTGATTTACCATCATTCCCTAATACCCTGCGTCAAACTTCACTATCACTTATCCGATGATCCCAACAGATGCGAGCAATATTTCTGAGGCATCTGTGGTTAAATACTAGTAGCTTACGAGTGTCTTCTACTCTTAATGGTCACGTTTCGCTGCCGTAAATTAAAACAGAACGGACTACCGCGCAGTATACTCGTCCTTTTATTGATAGACGGATATCTCACCTTCGCCAAAGGTGACGCAAGTTGGCAAAAGCCAAGCGAGCTTTTCGAATCCGTGCTGAGATTTCTTCAGGCACCAACTCATTAGGGCTGATCAGACTTCCAAGATAAGTGAAGTTGTCAAGGCGTTCGACTACTTCACTCCCTATCCTTAGTTCAGGTGTTGACGCAGGCCAGTCCTGGAGTAACAACTTGCATATAGAGGCAGAAAAGCGCATTCCAAACATTCTGGCATTGTTGCTTAATGCTACCAAAAGACTCTGCATTTTGTCAGCGTCTTCACCAAACAGGACTATGTCATCTGCGTATTCTAAGTCGATAAGTGGACCACCTGGAACGAGATCAACTCCTAACAATCTAGTCAACGTGAACGTTATTTCCATCAGTAGATCTATGATGAAGTTAAACAAAAATGGACAAAGTGGACAGCCTTGACGGACACCACTTGAGGTTGCAAAAGCAGATAACAGTTCGCCATAAGCTCTGACTTGATTGGTAGTGTTCAAGTAAAGAGCCTTCACAGGGTTTATGCACTTCTGAGGTACGCCTCTCAGTGACAGACACTGCCACAGAATCTCGCGGTCTACAGAGTCAAATGCTGCTTTCAAGTCAAGAAAGACCACGATTGTCGGACGTCGATAAGTTTGTCTATGTTCTAGAACCTGACGAATGGTGAATACGTGGTCGATGCAGCCACGACCAGGTCTGAAGCCAGCTTTATTCTCTCGTGTTTGCAGTTCACGAGTCTTAGTTAGGCGTCTGATAATTATTGAGGCTAGTATTTTAGATGCTACATTAGTTGAACTAATCTGTCTATGGTTGTCACAGGATGATTTTGACCCTCTCTTATATATTGGGACGATAAGTGATTGTGACCAGCCAGATGGAATAACGTCTAACTTCCAGATTTTTGCTAACCTAATCTCTAATATTGGACCACCATCCTTAAAGACCTCTGGAGCCAATCCATCTGAACCAGCTGCCCTTCCTCGTTTCAGATTAACTATAGCCTTTTGAACTTCAGCAAGAGTAGGGGGACCTACTTCAATGTTCCATTCACACTGTCTGGGAATGGAGGGTAGTTGTAGAGTAGCTGAAGGCTAGCTGAACTGTTCCACCCATCGTTCTAAACGTCTAGATTGGGAGTAGATGAGAGTATCGTCTTTTTCCGAAATAGTCTGACTTACACTTGACTTATTAATTCCAGTTTCTTTTATTAGTCTGTAGAGCTGTCTTGTGTTACATATAGCCGCCGCCGTTTACATCTCTTTTGCTTTCGTTGCCCACCATTGCTCACGGTCGTTTCTTAGACTCTTGCTTAACCTAGATCTGATTTGTTGTCGCTCTTCATCGTGTTCAGAGCCTAATGGGATGAGTTTACGAGAATCCATCAGTGCAATAGACCTTGAGGAAATCCATTGGTTCTTTGTAACTCTGTGGTTTAAATCACTGATAGATGTCGCTGCTGTTTCCACAGCTGTTTGTATATCTTTCCAAGCAACATCTGGGTCAGCCTCGTCTTCAAAACTACCTAATTGTGACCTCAGTTGTTCCTGGAACCTACTTTTGGTTTTCTCGTTACTCAATTCAGTTCTAATAGGTCTTTTAAGTGTGGCTTTTTTTGCGCCCAGTGAGGCGCAAGCAGAGGCGTGCCCGTATTAGGGCGTGGTCGGAGTCCAAGCAGGTACTCCAGAATGAGCGACAATCTTCTACCGATCCTCTCCAACGATGACTGGTGGCAATATGGTCTATTTGAGTCCATCGTTGGTTTGGTGTAGGCGGTTGCCATGTTAGACGATCACCATTATCTGTTCGTTGTGCCGGAATACTAAAATACCCACCTAAATGCCTTTCTGTTTGGTTTAAACTACCTATCTGGGCATTAAAGTCACCTGCTACAAATACTATGTTTGAACGTTTAGCTTTCTGAAGAAGTTCAGATAGCTTTCTGTAAAATTCATCTTTCACTTCATCTGAGCTGCAGTCGGTGGGAGCGTAGGCAGAAACGACAAAAAGGCAACGACGTGTGTCCCTATCCTTCCGAGTTCTTACGGAGCCGTTTAGCCGAACAGCACATAAACGACTGTTAACGGGGATCCACTCTAACAGTGCTTGTTCCGCCCTCATGCTTAGTGCTATCCCTACTCCTGCCAGTCCACGAGAGCTGGCCATCGCGTCACCAGATACACGGAGGGTGTATCTCGTTGGCTCTCCGTGTTGCCGAGGTGAGGTCAAGTGAATGACCACACTGGGATCCTGTATGCGTGTTTCAGAGACATAGCATACATCAATGGTACGAGATTCTAGGGTTCTAACCAAGGAAGCCTGTTGACCGATTTGACACAGGGTGCGTACGTTGAAGGCTCCAATGTGTAGTTTGGGGCGAGGTTTCAGTAGACCTGGGACAGTGTTTTGAGCACTAGAATCGTTGGCTATGGTGACATTTGAGGAGGAAGCCGAAAAAGGAAGTTTAGAGGTGAAAGTCGATGTAGGAGGAGTAATAGGAAGTGAAGACGGAGGTTGATTAGGAATACAGTGGTCTTGAGTGTTGTTAGAGGTATGAGGGTGGTTATCACTTCCCGGTTGCCCACACCGTGGAAGGGTTCTTCTGGAGGTACCTGGAAAGGAAATTGGATCAAAGGTGTTCTTAGTGACCTGGGAGCGTGACCGCAGTGCCCAAGGGACAACTGCTTGAGGTCGGTCACACACGACCTTTTTATGGGTAATTTTTGTGGTAGCTCCGTACTTTTTGGGACCTTACCGCCGGAGACGGATATCTGTGGGATGAGGCGAGGTGTGCATTTTTAGGGTTGACCTTTTCTAACCCCACTCCTCCTTGTGGGAAGGCAGCATCGCTGTCATGCTGATTGTCTGAAGGAAACACCTTACTGCTGTCACACCTCTGTACAGTCAGCAGCACGACTTCGCCTTCGGACCTTAGGTTTGTTGCTTTTAGTCTTACCGCTCTTCAACCGACCTGTCTGACATGGTAGGACCTTGAAGAACAGTTGTTCCAGCCAGTATAGCTCGGTTGCTTCATCACGATAGGCAAGCCCAACCACCGCGTCAAGGTAGCAACAACGGTCGTGAGATATTAGTGATACACCTACTTTTCTCGTGACCATAGCCAAGACTTTGATATTTGAAATAAACAGCAGCTGATAAGGCAGACGATTGGCTTAGAATCCTCGCCATAAATATACCTGTCTCATGATGTAATGTGAACTATGTCGCATAGACTTCAACCGCTAATTGATCATAATGCCCTTTATATTGCACGCCTATCTGGTTCAACATTGACTCAACGTAGTGCTAAATATATTAGTTTATTGTTTGTGATAGTCATACTTATATCCATCATTTTTAGCATTGACAACAAGCTTCGTCTACCGCTATTAGGAATCTGTTTCATCGTTAAATGTGACCCACCAAATAGTTCATCACTACTTTTTAAAATAGTAGCTTGTGGATCTAAATAAATTTAATAATAGTTTACAGTTATATTTCCTAGCCTGTAAGCCACACCTAGTGTTTTAGGACAAGTTTTTACATAACTGACTGTCATTAAAACATGTAAGCAATAAAATGTAGTATGTAACTCAACCATTCATAAGCTTTTTTCGTCTTATTTGTGATTCAAGCCAAAGTATAGGCCAGCGTAGAAAAAATCTTTGGATTTGAAATGACCCCTTAAATAATCCCTTTTGGAATTATCCTCCCTGTAACTTTCAAGAATATATCTGTATTATATTTACCGTTTATTGACACGATGGGAGTTAGTAGATAGTTTATGGTTTAGTGCTACAAAAACATTCATATTTCCACTTTATAGTGGGAGTATTTCAGATGCTGACTATGAAGAGCTCATCAAAATTTTCCAATGGATATTGAAGAATAAAAGTGGACCAGTAGATCTAATCGGTAAGTGTATATTCTAGTTTATGAAGAAAATTTCTAGTTCATACATCTGGTTTAGGACTCGTTTGCGTTGACGCTTGAGTTAATGATAGTGTGTCAAAGTTAAGTGCATCGAACATACCACTTGTCTTGGAAGTATCATCAGCCCTTATAGACTAGTGTCTGACTAAATTTCAACACGGACTCAGAAGGATCGATTGGCTCTTGCCAACATGCCTCACTTGTGGCTTAGATGAGATATCTGTCTTCCAATCAAAGGACGAGTTTATTGCTCAGCAGTTCACTCTAACATCAACTCCTGGATGCAGATGCATCCTGCTGACAAGTCCCGAGCAGGACGGAACGTGCGTCCTGGATTCCGTTCCTAGCTACCATCCATCTCCACTTAGGATGAAGGTAATAGTTTAAGGTTTTATGATAAAATTGTATCTTTTGTGGCATACAGAACTGTTTTCAGTGGTAGATATTCGCATTACTCCGGCAAATGACCTACTTTACTATGTTTTAGTTGAGGTAACTTCATTAGTTCGAATTATAACCTGTTTATGAATTTGCATTGAGAGTCATTCGTTCCACTCTTACGAAGGTTGTGTTTAGATCTTACTGTTTTCTTTCGTTTTAGAATTAAGGTAACAGAAAAAATGTCATGTTGTTTTCATATATTTTACTTCCAGCTCAAGTTTGTTCATTCTTTGAGCAACCATTAACTAAACTACACAATTCTTAAACTTTACAGATTATATTTTGACATTTGGTCTATCAAATGGATTATCATATGTCTTCTGTAACTCATATGTCTGAAAATTGTAGTGTTTAGTGTTCTTATTCACTTTCACGGAATATCTTCAAGAGAAACAATTCAAACCCCATTTCTTTATCCATCAGTGTAACTGCTATGGTAGATACATGTAAATTACTTAATAGTTGATAATGGCATTAAGAGTGTGCTTTCTAGTTTTTAATCGTGTTTTAAACATGTTCTACACAAAAGGACTCTTTGATCTGGAGAATGAGCTTATTTAGCGTAGTTTTAAACCTTCTTTTGAGTGTCCGTGGAGTGTCATTATCTTTAAAGCTGAGGTTGTTTGTTAGGTTGATCTATGACATCCATAAATTTCACAAACGAAGGACTTATCTAATTACTATTCACTTGCTCACTGATGACTGTTGTCTATTAACACTTCCAAGAGTATTGAAGAGAAACTATAACCTGTTGAGTCTAACCATGCTATAAATTAGACGGTGATTCACTGGTAACGTTAAATAACTATCATTTCTCGATCGCAGATAGACTAAATATGTGTACCGTTGAATTCTTACTCAGTTATCTTCTGGTCCAGATGCCATAGATTTTATCAGTTCCCCAAAATGCCCCAGTACAACCGCCGGCGGAGAGAGTCAGCTCTCCCTCTCGAAATGTTCTCACATGACCACGCGTATGCAACGGCTGCCAGGGAAGTCCTACTCACAGTCTTTTCGCGGCAGGGGCCAGTCATTCGGCTACAACGTAAGACCAGACACATATATACATCGGTCCAAGTTGCCACATCGCATTAGCACAACAAGATGAACACCAAATTCATAGAAGTAGTTAATTCAGAGGTGGTAATATATAAAAGAAAGATTGCAATAAGGATATAGTACAGGAAGAAAGGATTAGTTCATAGAAATAAAGATACAAAGCAATTGTAATCTCACGGTTTAAGGGAAGAGAGAATATATTCACCTACACCACTGTGATCGATTCTGAGCCATGTCACCCAGAGTCTCCAACCATTGGTTAGGATAGTCACGCGGACCCCAACCAAGTAGTTTGCATCTGCCAACATGGCTAAGACTAGAAGTTAGTGACTTCGAGGACTGATGCCACGTTTTCGTTTGGCCGCCCCTAACTTACTTCCAACCATGTTCAACACTGGTCAGCATTGCGCGTCGTGGTGATCGGTGTTCAGATATACGTAACACGTGGCCCAACCGTCTCAGTCGATGAAGTTTCACAACCTCGTCAACTGATTTACCATCATTCCCTAATACCCTGCGTCAAACTTCACTATCACTTATCCGATGATCCCAACAGATGCGAGCAATATTTCTGAGGCATCTGTGGTTAAATACTAGTAGCTTACGAGTGTCTTCTACTCTTAATGGTCACGTTTCGCTGCCGTAAATTAAAACAGAACGGACTACCGCGCAGTATACTCGTCCTTTTATTGATAGACGGATATCTCACCTTCGCCAAAAGTGACGCAAGTTGGCAAAAGCCAAGCGAGCTTTTCGAATCCGTGCTGAGATTTCTTCAGGCACCAACTCATTAGGGCTGATCAGACTTCCAAGATAAGTGAAGTTGTCAAGGCGTTCGACTACTTCACTCCCTATCCTTAGTTCATGTGTTGACGCAGGCCAGTCCTGAAGCAGTAACTTGCATTTAGAGAAGGAGAAATGCATTCCAAACATTCAGGCGTTGTTTCTCACTGCTATCGGCGTCTTCACCAAACAGGACTATGTCATCTGCGTATTCTAAGTCGATAAGTGGACCACCTGGAACGAGATCAACTCCTAACAATCTAGTCAACGTGAACGTTATTTCCATCAGTAGATCTATGATGAAGTTAAACAAAAATGGACAAAGTGGACAGCCTTGACGGACACCACTTGAGGTTGCAAAAGCAGATAACAGTTCGCCATAAGCTCTGACTTGATTGGTAGTGTTCAAGTAAAGAGCCTTCACAGGGTTTATGCACTTCTGAGGTACGCCTCTCAGTGACAGACACTGCCACAGAATCTCGCGGTCTACAGAGTCAAATGCTGCTTTCAAGTCAAGAAAGACCACGATTGTCGGACGTCGATAAGTTTGTCTATGTTCTAGAACCTGACGAATGGTGAATACGTGGTCGATGCAGCCACGACCAGGTCTGAAGCCAGCTTTATTCTCTCGTGTTTGCAGTTCACGAGTCTTAGTTAGGCGTCTGATAATTATTGAGGCTAGTATTTTAGATGCTACATTAGTTGAACTAATCTGTCTATGGTTGTCACTGGATGGTTTTGACCCCTTATTATACATTGAGACGATAAGTGATTGCGAACAGTCAGATGGGATTACATCCAACTTCCAGATTTTAGCTAAAATATTAGTCAACTTAATCTCTAAAACTGGGTCACCATTCTTAAAGACCTCTGTAGTTAGTCCCTCTAAACCAGTTGCTCTTCCTAGTTTCAGATTATCTATAGCTTTTTTAACTTCAATTAGAGTCGAGGGGCCTACTTCAATGTTCCATTCAGGCTGTTCGGAAATGGTTGGTAGCTATAAAGTATTTGAAGGCCATCCGAACTGCCCCTTAAAGTGTTCTTCCCATCGTTCTAAACGTCTGGGCTCAGAGCAGATCAGCAAGGTTGTTGTTTACGGAACTGGGAGAACAGAAAGTGAATGTCCGACGCTCTAACCGGGTTGATGGATCTAGAGGATCCACTTAGGGGAGTTGGAATTCCTGATTCCAAACCAATGGTGCACATAAGCTCCAGGCTTCTGAGGGAACAAAATCACGTATGAATTTATTGTTGGTCACCGGCTACCATGGGACTCTATCTCTTAATGTTGCTCCGTCATCTTTTTGATTGGACCTTGAGGTCAAAGACTCGGGTAGTGGGCCCCTAGGAAAACTATCTGTTCCGTTTTGGACACCTAAGTAATATTGCAGCTCTCACACAAATCAATGATAACTACTACTGGCCTCATTGTTATTGTATGGCGCATATATATTTGGTGCCCTATTGTGCTAATGTGTATGTGTTCAAATAAATAAATAATCAAGTTCAATAATGTATATATGCTCTGTTAAAACGTCTGAAATGAGGTAAAACACATTCTATCGTTTTCTGGTTTCCAGTTGGTCATTCCGTAGTGTTAAACCACTAAAAAATTTGTAAAATCGTATCACGGCTATAATGTTACATTCATCAAGTATGTATAACCAGCGGATTTTCACCATAGTTTATTCGGTTTTACATACTGCTAATGATAATCAATACTAATGTTCATGTTAGGCTTTTGTTCTTCCAAAAAGAGAACCGTCAAAGCTACATTATTTTTAGACGCGTACACAGAGAAAACAAGATTACAGTTTAAGTGTTATGAAAGTTGGCTTTATTTATTGCACTAACTATGATAATGATACTGAGTGGTTGTCTGAATTAAACTTCCTGAAATAGGTTTATATTTTTAATTTTCGGTTTCAATCATGATTCTTTACGTCAGTTTGCCTAAACAACTAGGAATAATGATGTTTCGAGTCTGATTAGGTTTTCCTTGACGTGTGACATTAGTCTGTCTCATTCGTTAATAAAGTTGTTAACATGGTTTATCTTTTTCCAAAAATATACTCCGTTAAACTAATGAGATATACAGCTTTGTATTTAATTGTAATTTACAAATTTCAAACACATGTGATACCATTAACCCTGATAGATTTGAATTGCATTTCAGTGGATTAGTCATAGTGTGACAATTGATATATCCTTTCATTCTATAATGTCTGTTCTACTATTAACTTCAGTATATTTACGTGCAAGTCCAACTGTTTGCTTCGAGCGTTTACGTGCTAGAAATCGTTCTGGTGAAGAAGATATTCCTCTTGTAAGTTACATAGTTAAATTTTATTACTGTTCATACGCTTACTTCATATGGGGGTTGTAATGTTTATTTTGATTGCTCGTATGCTCTTTTTATATTACAGCTTTATGACAGTGTACAACTTCTTTATCTTGTTCAAAACTCTTTAAGATAATTTATCTTGATTTTCATAAATAAGCTGAAAATCTCAATGTCTAGGATTCATATAACATCGTACAATGCTATTTCAAATGGTGCTTCTTGCTTCCTTGGTAAATTTTATCCCTACATTTGATCTTGATAAATATTTTCCCTAGATGTGATGCAAATTATCGCTTTCACAAGACTTGGTTGATGATCATTTGTAGAATATAATGAATTCATTGTATTCGGTTAATTTATCCCCAGCTTATAAGTCTACTTAATATGTAATATTGACAGATAATTTTTTTATTGAGATCATAAGCTGATCAGTATCAGGCCACCCTTGCAAACCTGGAATCACTGGACTCAGCGGTGAGCATCCATGATTCCGCATGCGGGACTCGGATAAGACTCAACAGTTTCCACAACCGTATACTGATAAATAGAAGACAAAATTGTGATTTTGTTTATGTTGAAACTTTACGCATATTTCTCCGGTCCAGTACAAGGAAAAGGGTTTCTAGTTAATGTGGATATATTTACAAAGTGACTGGGAGTATATACCACGCCTTACTGTACAACCACAGAAACAATCAACAAGTTTTCTGCTTTATTTAATTGTTTCGGAGTTCCAGAGACACTGGCTCACAATTCATTTCGGACTCATTCAAGCCCTTCTGTAGTACGAATAGAATAACACATCTTCGCTTGCCAGCCTACCATCCCCAATTGAATGGACATCCAGAACGCTTCATCGACGCTTTTAAAAGATCACTACTGAAAGGAGAAAGCGAGCGAATAACTAGTCAGGTAATCATAAGATTTTTAACAGCTTATAAAACTACTCCCAACCCTACTTTCCCTGGTGCCCCCAAATGCTCTGGAACGGCCGAGAGTGGGGGGAGTCCGCCCTCCCACTCGAAATGCTCTCACATAGCCACGCGTATATAGCCTCTACCAGGGAAGTCCTACTCATCGCCTTCTCGTGGCGGGGGTGTTGTTTACGAAATTGAGAGGACGAAAAGCGAATATCCGGCGCTTTAACCGGGTTGGTGGACATGGAGATTCCACACCTAGGGAAGTTGAGAAACCCCGATTCTAAACCAATGGTGCACATGGGCACCAGGGTCACGAGAGAACGAATAGCGTATGAACCAATCGTTTGTCACCAGCTACCATGGGACTGCATCTCCTAACGATGCTCCACTGCCTTGTGGATGGGACCTTCAGGTCGAAGGCTCCGGGTGTGGCCTCATGAGAAAACCACCTGCTTCGGTTTGGGCACCCGGGCAATATCACAGCCCTCACACATATCAAATGAGATTTGTGTGGCGCATATGTATTTGGTGCCTCTTTGTACGAATATCTGTGTTAAAATCAAAAAAAATAAAAGCTGTCCCTGGTGGAAAGCCATGTCTAGAGGAATTCGGACTACTTTGAACACTGTGTTGCCACCTAAAACGGTGGATGGGCACAGACAAAATTCGAATATCCGAAGTTTTAATGTAGGCCATAAAATGTTCATCAAGTCACACCTCGGAAAGAATCGATGGGAACCAGGAATTATTGTACAAAGATTGGGAAGAGTTTTGTATAGGATCCGAGGAACTTTTGGGATATGTATCAGGCACGAACAAAATCCACAAAGATAAAAGAACAATGCACACTGGAGATAGCCAAGCGAATCTACCATTAGAGTTAATCACAAATCCGCCCAAGAATAACAATAAGAATAGGAAAATGAAGACTTAGACAAGAAAGACAAGGAAAGGAATCCAACGCTGTCGTAAATCAGTGTCAATTTGCAAGTGGACCCCAGCAGGAAATTTTATTCTGAAGAGGTGTTGGGTTGGCTTCGAAAAGCGCGACGAAGCCTCCAGAAGTTATGAAGGAACCAAGGATATTCCATCTAATCAGGACCTGATATAACCTGGAACATCAACGTGCCATTCCACAATTAGACGATAGCATAACTTGCCTCCTTGTGGATTGGTTGAATTATAATGATGTTATAGCCAACTCTAATAACTATAAATACCCATGTTTTTTTGTACATTTTTATTTTTTACCCAGTAATCACCTCCCGTGTTTCTTCTGTCTGCGGCGTTCTGCCGTTATCAAGTAGAGGACGTAACAGTTTTAAATAAAGCGTTTATACAGAGCTGCTGTAAATTAAGTGAAATGATAGTTTTCTGGACTATACGCATTCCATTAAATTTTCCAGGTCAATCATTCTTGTACTTTAGGGCAACTGATTTTTTTAAATATTTATTTTGATTTCACTACCCTCCACTGATCATGTTCGCCGTACAAACTCACACTAATTCACGACACTCCTTTATCATTCTTGAAATTATTTGTTTGAAAAATCCACTAATTTTCTTCTTGTCTTCAACCTAAAGTTACTAACAGTTTGTTATCTTTTAGATTAGTTGTTCTGCAGCTTTAAATCCAAACAGAAATTACTGTCCTATCTTATGATCGTCTGACCTCTCTCGAGGTGTATGTTTCAAACTTCTCAATTCAAGTCCACAAAAGTTTCTAGCTTTATCTAGTGAAGAAGATTAGTTACTCAAGTGCATGGTTTTGGTTACTTTGTTCTCCAGGATTGTGGTTAAATTACTAAGCTTTCGTTGTAGCTGTTACGTTGCGCACTGTCTGAGACTGATATAGATAATAAAACTTAAACACAAGCCCTTAACCTGTCACTGAGCGAGAAAAGTAATGAAGGATGAAGTTTATCAGATTAAGCATATATATATATATATATATATATATATATATATATATATATATATATTCCTTAGAAAATGAAACTGTTTCTTGGCCAATAACATGTACTTGTTATTAATAGGTACTTGATTGGTGCAACGTGTTCTTATTTGACGAATTTCGGTTGATCCATTGTATTGTTTTACACGACATCGTTAGCGATGACTTTTTGCAAAAGTTAGCCGTTTGATCATTCTAAGAGTAATAAATCAACTTGTTCTGGTGACGTTTTTTAGTGTTTGTATCAGACTTGTTTAAAAGTCTTTTCAGATTTCTTAATAACATCTTAAATGTTCAAGAGTTTCTCATCAGGTTAAATTTATTATTTAGATATTTTATGATCGATAAATCATATAATGATAACTAATGATCTAAATTAATTGTCCTGAATCAATCAGTCAGCTACAACGTAAGACCAAACACATATACATCGGTCCAAGTTGCCACATCGCATTAGCACAACAAGATGAACACCAAATTCATAGAAGTAGTTAATTCAGAGGTGGTAATATATAAAAGAAAGATTGCAATAAGGATATAGTACAGGAAGAAAGAATTAGTTCATAGAAATAAAGATATAAAGCAATTGTAATCTCACGGTTTAAGGGAAGAGAGAATATATTCACCTACACCACTGTGATCGATTCTGAGCCATGTCACCCAGAGTCTCCAACCATTGGTTAGGATAGTCACGCGGACCCCAACCAAGTAGTTTGCATCTGCCAACATGGCTAAGACTAGAAGTTAGTGTCTTCGAGGACTGATGCCACGTTTTCGTTTGGCCGCTCAATTCTATTTGTTTGTGAAAACAATTTGTTATTTAAGTTTCATTTTTATTAACAGGACACTTTTTCATGCTTCTTAATATTAATCCTTTTTGTCTAATCTTACCATTTTCATTAATGATTGAATGGTATTCGCAATTAGTAAAGTTTTACGAATGTTTCTTGTTTGTAATTCACATTCTGCAAACCAAATTCTAAGTTAATTTTCGTACTAACTAAAGTTAAATTGCTATCGTGCTGTGTAGAGCTCATTGCGTATCTTCTATGTACGGGCTTTTACATGAACTCTCGTAGGTGCCTAGTTGGAACGATAGATAATTGTAAACATTTCGGTTAACTAGTAAGTTATCTAATTAAACAGTAACTCATTACTACAGTAATTGGTCATCAAGTAGTAGCTAGTGTTTAGTTATCAGTTTTAGTTCAAACATATTAATCAGATTAAAGAAGAATTAGGTCCTGGGAGTGCTGTCGTTTGCCTAAATTTGCCTTATAATAAGTAAATCATATCGTCATATCGACTGGCTTGAACTAGTAGTTAAATTTAAATTTAATCAGTGAAATTTAGTTAGCACTAAAAACTAGATATAACAATGGTCACTACTCATTTAGTTAAATAGTGTGAATAACTTACTTCTTCAATAGACTTATCAGCCGAAAAATTTGCTTGTTAGTAAAGTATCTCTAGATCTACTAAATATTAGGATATTAGCGAGAATTTAGTTAGATATCAATTCTGTGATTATTAATTAAAGAGTCTTATCAGCTGAGGAATTTTCACTAAACATAAAATCATAATAAAATAATCAATACAAGGGAAATACATTAATAATCAAATAACTATTTATAACTGAATTACACTGGAAGCTAATGAATGGAATTCTTTTGAAATAATTTAATACAATATTTTTGGTGAAAGCGTTCCCATCACACTGTGATAACATGATGTGTGTTTAATTTGAAAATTATTTTTACTGATGACTATGAAATAACAGGGAACTTATGCACAAAGGTTCCCTTCCACGAATTTCCAGCCACCAAAAATAATTATTAATCAACTATGATTTTCATTCATTTTCTTTTTTCTGTTGGTGTAATATATGTCCTTACATCTGTTACTCCTCATAGAGAACAGGTCATCGACCAGGATTCTCCAACCAACTGCGTCCCGGGTTCCCCTTTCCAGTTGTTTTCAATTGCTACTCATTCTCTTGGTGTCTGCCTCCGATTCTCGACGCTATGTGTTCCTTGGTCTTCCTCTTTTCATGGTGAGAGTAGGCAGCCTTACCTGACACCAGTCATCACTTGGAGTGCATCTGTGACCTGTCCTCCATACAGGAATTTGTAGTGTAGTCGGTCTTATGAATTTCGTATGATGTCAGTTTGCCTTGCTTATTCTTGACTGATCGTTGATATGTTGTCTGATCCTGTTGCTTTCCCAAACCTTTTTGATGGTCATGCTGATCTCTTCAATTGTTGATGGGGAAACAACTGTGGGAAGTTCTGTAGGTGCTACTTTGATGTTCAGTGGGGTTGGTGTATCCAAAAGTTCTGTAAAATGTTCGGCCTACCTGTTACTCTGCTCTTGAATCTTAGCGATCAGTTTGCCTTGTTTGTTCTTGACTGATCGCTCTGGTTTACCATATTTCCTCTTCAGTTTTTTCGTCGTATCATATAGTTGTCTCATATTTCCTTCTATTGCACCTTTTTCCGTTGCCATTGGAGTACATGGCCTGTTATGTACCTTAATGGTGTTCTCGTGGCGTTCGAGTTGCTTGATGTGCTAAGGGAAATAGGGTAGCGCATGACGCTATTGTTGCCTGTTAGATGCAAAGCGTGTTATACGCTATGTGCATGTGCTTTTCTCCGTTATTCTTCCTTATGTAATACATCATGGCTTTAAAACTTATAGATTTATGCGATTATGTTTTCAGTTTTTAAGTGATTATGTAATGCACATTTTATTCACACTGTTCTTCAAGTTTATGATGTACTGTGTGTACGTATACACATTCGAAAAATACATCACTAAACATTTCGGTTTCTTTGTTATACAGAAATACCTTGAAGATTTGCATGAATTACATGAAGCTTGGTTAATTGAACGCCGTTTCGGTCAGCTACCTGCTCCTTTATTAGTGAGTGCTTACATCAATGATATTATTGTGCTTTAGGTTACATTTACATCTGATATTAATCATTGCTATTTTAGTCATCAAACACATTATGATACAAGGTTTATTTGAATATAAAAACTGATCCATCTGACTAGATGCCTTCTGTCTTGTGGTATGTTGTTTTTCGCCTTAATATTATGAAAATGTAGTCATTGTTTCTTTAAGTTTTGCCAGTAAAATAATAAATAACATAAATATCCGAACTTTATTTCAAAATGATTTTTGTCAGGGACTAGTCTACTACAGTCAAATTCAGTTGTACAGGGAATAAATAGTTAGGAGTTATATATAAGTAAAGAAACCTTTGTCACCTAACTGACCAAGTCAATGCTTATTTATTGATGTCACACTCCGACATAAGCTAATTAGTTGTTTTGTTCTAGTGCAATACCTATCAACAGTGTGCATCCACGACCTTCACCGGGGATCAAACCCATGACCTTCAAATCTCAATGGACGCGTAACATATAGACCTCTGAGGCGGTGTGTGATTGCTCTCCCAACAATATCACCAGCACGTACTTCTAAACGAAGTTTGTTGCGTTATGTTCTGTTGAGTTTGGAGACCACCGTCTAGTATTACGTACCAAGTCACCAATATGGATCTTATTTCTATTTTTTGTGCATCTCTTATCTGTAATTTCCTCCGTAACCTAGTGTCATTGTATTGACCGGTTACACGCCTCACCAGTACCGTTGATTCTGAGCCAGTGCAGTTAAGTTCTTATTTTTCCACTATTCTCTAGCTTCTCTCCATACCTCACCTTGAATCTAAGATGTCAGCATCCAAATTCAACTACAATTATCTTTCAAACATACGTGGATTTATATGAAAATATACTGAACCGCGTCATACCATGAAGTGGAACATGCAAATTACACGTAAACGAACCATTATGGGCTTTAAATAGGGCGAAATGTAATTAGATAGACTGACAAATCAGGGAGACTAAGTCGTATAAAAATAGTTTAACCGAAGGCCTGTGATAAATGGAATGTATATACATAGTAACCAATCTATCTAATTATACAATAATAATATTCATAGTATTGATAATCCCTTAATTAGATCTTGGCGTTAACATTCCTTTTCATAAATCACATTTTGAATTAACTGATTATTAAACTGTTTAACTCGTGATATTTTGTCGTTGGTGACCAAGCAACTCAGAAGTAGTGCTCACAAACATGCTTCATACCTCATTCCATTGATTCGTTTCGATTAGTTATTCTCAGTCTTTTTTAATCATATGATTGCTGCGATAAAATGTGATTTCTGTATTTTATAGGTATTCGACTGTAATGCACCATTACCTGAACTTTTATCAACCTATCGATCGCATAGAGAACAAGTTATGTGCGGCGTTGAGGCATGATTACAGGAGTTTTATACCGTTAAAAACGAGCTATTAGATTTCTGTTATTTGTATTTCGCTCTTTTATTCAAGGCTCGGAATTGTGTACAGATTTGCAAGTACTTCTTACATTTCATTTTTACATGTATGTGTGTTTTCAAGTTTTTAACAAAACATACTATGTATTATATATGTTCTCAAAATATCTGTAATATATGCTTTCTCCATGCAATTTTTCGGTTATCGTCTTTTTATTCTGTGTTATTTCACTTTGAACTTCAAGTAGTTTGCTTTTTTCCATGTTATGTGTGATATGTCTTATGTGATATGATTTTAGATCAATCAAAGGACTTGTGTTAGGTAGGAAATCCGGTGATTACATCCAACTAGGAGAGTTACAATAGAGTAGTTTGAAGAAGCAGCCGTACAGTTCTTGTCAGGATAATAACTGAGGCCGACGACAGTATTATTGCATTGCCACACATACTGCTGAATCATGGCGGTTTGTTTAGCTCTTAAGATTTTTGGTTCTGTGATAAGTTTTCACCACTACGTAAAAGGAAGTGCCAACCTAGTGTCTTGTAGGCAATGCTGGACAGAGTTTTTACGAAGGCATACAGCACACAAGACACTACTATTGTAGAATCCAAACTACGGTTTGGATGTTGAAGAATAGCCGATAGAGGATGTTAGACACGCGCCCTTTCCCGTCGAAATCAGAACAAGTAATCGGGTAACTAGCGGTTCTATAATTCTTAATAAATTTAATGTAAATCATTACCTAAACAAATATTATCACCCGGCTATTCAACCAATGATTGTTCAATCAATTAAATCTAAATTACAATAATAAAGAAGTTGATAGAAGATGAGAAAAATTACCAATCACAACAAATCAACGTTATTCTATCCTGGCTGGATAGATCACACACAACAGGAGGAACAAATCAATATGGCTACCGCCAAGAACAAGTGTCAAGTAAAACAACACAGATGCAGTTCAGGAAGAAACACAAACTTAGTGCGTGCGTAAGAAAAACAAAAACTATAATAAAAAATAACAAGTATCAACAACTCAAATGTAATCAAAATACAACAATGTACAACTAAGGGAATCAATAGGAACAAAGTACAAGTATATACGTGGAGGGATTTTCACCAACACATAAAAACTTCAAAATGGATCTTACACCGGCCCCCAAAATCCCTCCATACCACACAAGCTACCTCGATGCCTACGGTCATGGTTCATTATATAACATATCACACCATAGGAACGAGTAGGACTTACAACAGTACGCCTACTCGACCTAACTACATTAATAACAACAAAGACTAATCCACCGCTTCAAAGAGACCTGTTTCACTTGCTCTCTGGTGTTCAACAATAGCACTCGTGGTATAGACTTAGTCACTCTTCCCCAAACTCCACTCATGCTGTTGGATGAGGGCCTCGCTGACAATTCACTATTTATCTTCTGCTGATTCGACTGTTGCACAAACTTCCTTAACTCAGAAACTGCCCACACGAAGCTTGACGCACTGTCACTGTAAATCTCCGGAGGTTTCCTTCTTCTTCCAATACAACGTAATAAGGCCATTATAAATGAATCAGTAATCAAACTACACATCATTTCAATATGTACTGCCCATGTTTGCAAACAAGAAAACACATATCCATACCCTTTTTCTAATGATCTTCCTATGTGTCCTTGTTCTTTAGGACAATGTCTAATAATCATTTCCGTCACTAAGTGTCGACTGGGTAAAATTACTGGATGTTTAAAAGCATTTGGGGAATCTGAGTATCTTAGTCGACCTCCAACGCAGAGTAACCCATCAAGCATCATCACCGATAAACCTTTCAGATCATCATGGCTTACTACTTCACTGCTGTTCTTAAATTCACTTATATGCTTAACGCAACTCTTTGCCTGATCACAAGTGGGAATAGATATCAAGCAATCATCAACACAGAAATTATTCTTGACAGTATTTACGACATAACTATCATAATCGTCAGAGAATATTTGGGCCGTCTTATTCAAGGCAAGGTTCGCACGAAAGGGCGATGATGTGGCACCAAATGCATGAGTTGTCATTTGAAACTCAGACGGTTCTCTCGACATGTCCCCCTCCTGCCACCACAGAAATCTTGAAGCTCTTCGATCAGACTCGGGGACATTCACTTGCGTGAACATTTCTTCAACATCTGCAGGGATTGCAACTGCCTCCTTGCGAAAACCTAATAATATACACATTAACTCAGCGGTGGTATCGGGTTCTTGATAAATCATATCATTTCGGGGAACCCCTGCAATCTGGGCGGCACAATCAAGGACCACTCTAAAATCTGGTTTTTTCATGTTTAATACTGCACGATGAGGTAAATACCATCGAGGATGATAATAAGACTGCAGATATATTTCAAAGACCCTCTCCGCATAAGTCTTAGTAAAATCACTTTCAGTACTTTTGATATACTTGATGTGCAGACTGACATCCCTCGACAACATACCCTTCAAACCTTGTAATCTACGGTTTGCTACTTCATAATTATTCACTTTCATATCTGGAATCTTTTTCCAAGGTATGGAAACTACAAAATGACCGTCGCCGAAGCGCGTGCCACCTTCCACAATCTTTATAGCCACCTTGTCGTCTACTGATAATGATTTATCACTTGAATAAGCATCTGTAAACTCTACGTCATAAGGCTTACGTCTTTCGTTCTCTAATGCCTGCATCTTACTGGTATGATTAACAACTCTTTTCCTATATTCCGGACATGATGGCTTATCATTTACGACGTTGCTTGTCGAGTCAGTGTGCAGCAGCGGGTGATGTCTCCTCTCGCAACTGTCGACCTTACAGAGCCTTGTCATCTTACATTCATTAACTTTATGCCCTTGCCTAAGGCAGACAAAACAGATGCCATTAACCTTCGCGTGAGACCATCTCTCTTGAACGGTAAGCGCTAAAAAATTTGGACATTTATAAATAGCATGGTCCAGGGAACACATACTGCATTTAGCTCTCTCTTTCGAATTATTCTCCTGCTCCAATTGCCAGTGACAATTTGTCTTCAAGTTGTGTCCCTTTCTCGGACTTTTCGCTAACAGTCCAAACCTACTATTAGCTACCCTCGCGCGGGATGCTATAAATTGAGTAAGCTCGTCAAAGGTTGGTTCTCTATTATCTTCAGTCAATTCATCCACCCAGTCCGCCCACTGGGCTTGCATAACTTGAGGTAAGAGTCCTACTATTCTCTCTAAGGTAAATAGAGAATTTAAATCGGCAGTATACTTCATCTGTTTCAAAACCATAGAACAATTTTCCATCCTAATAGCCAGATTTGTTAGTTGCTCAGGATCACTGTAATCAACATTTGTAGTTTCGAATAAGTCCTCTAAAGTCTCCCGAGCGATTACATGCGCCTGTCCGAACAAACGTTTTAGAATTTCCCTTGCTCTTTTATAACCAGACGATGCTTCCATCATGACACAACCCTCAATAGCTCTTTTCGCCTTGCCCTTACAATAGTGCATCAAATAGAGCAAACGTTGGCTATCATCAGTGACTCTTGACTCTACATAGGTCTCAAATTGCCTTATAAATATCCAGTATCCTCTTGGTTGTCCATCGAAATAACTCAATTCAACCTTTGGTAGTTCTAGACCAACAACATGCGCTATAGGCAAAACGCTTTTTCCTGATAATTCAAGCTTTTGCTTCTCCGTTAAACTAAGATTTTTTACGCCATCTGTCATCGAATTAAGACTAGGGTCACTACCATGATAATCAACCCTATTCGAGTCTGAACCATGACACTTAAGGACATCAAAAGGCACTTGCTTGGTAATAGGGGATTCTTGATTAACATCACCAAACTTTGAGCTCGATTTCTTTCGACAATTAGTTGGCATTATAAACGAAACGACCAAATACTTCCAGAAACGATAATCAAAATCCGCGAACGATTGCCCAACGAATTCGACCAATTAATAATTTGTTTAGAACTGTAGAATCCAAACTACGGTTTGGATGTTGAAGAATAGCCGATAGAGGATGTTAGACACGCGCCCTTTCCCGTCGAAATCAGAACAAGTAATCGGGTAACTAGCGGTTCTATAATTCTTAATAAATTTAATGTAAATCATTACCTAAACAAATATTATCACCCGGCTATTCAACCAATGATTGTTCAATCAATTAAATCTAAATTACAATAATAAAGAAGTTGATAGAAGATGAGAAAAATTACCAATCACAACAAATCAACGTTATTCTATCCTGGCTGGATAGATCACACACAACAGGAGGAACAAATCAATATGGCTACCGCCAAGAACAAGTGTCAAGTAAAACAACACAGATGCAGTTCAGGAAGAAACACAAACTTAGTGCGTGCGTAAGAAAAACAAAAACTATAATAAAAAATACAAGTATCAACAACTCAAATGTAATCAAAATACAACAATGTACAACTAAGGGAATCAATAGGAACAAAGTACAAGTATATACGTGGAGGGATTTTCACCAACACATAAAAACTTCAAAATGGATCTTACAACTATAATGAAAGAAGACTTGGTGGGATAGGTAATTTAATGTAAAATTACAGGGGTACTTCGCAAATTGTAAAAAGCCATATATAAAATACTTCGTTTGCTGATCTCTCACCAACCATCCTTTACATCATGAATCTTCCAATTCACAATTCCTTTCTGTTTTCAGTGCAATCTTCCCAACCTTTCTTTTTATAGGCATTTGACAACCGGTTGGTATTACATACTACTTATGTCTGTCGATGTAAGTACCATACACCACACTGCCATCACATCACAACGGTCTCGGCCTGACATTCCGGTAGACTGCGTTAAAGACATCAACTAGCTGCTTAAAGCAAGACGGGGATTTTTGTACATCTATGACCACTAAAGCAAATTACTTGAACTTCAACCAAGTTAATGTTCGGAATGGCTTTGCGAAAGCGAAAACCGAGGAAGGAAATATCTTGT